GCGGTTGCGCCGGTAGGAGTGCGCACCTCGCGATAAGGTGTCCGGATCTCCCGCATCGTAAGCATTTCCCTTCGGCCCGTCGCTTATCCAGTTCGTCCTGGCTGACCCATTTCGCTTGCTTAGGGTGTTCCTTCTCGAATCGTTGGGGTTTCGTACGCGGTTCGGTACGGTTTACAGAGACAGTAGGGGTCCAGTCCATCTCGTCAGTCGTTCTCTTAGAGCGTGTATTCCGAGTACGATTAATATCCAGGGTGTCGTTGTCTGCACTAATCTCGTGGAGTCGTGTGATTAACTCCGAAAAGGTGCTAGGGACGCCGCGATACCGTAGCGTTTCGGTCATTTTTCGGTTAAGCGAAGCTAGCAAAACTTGCCGCTTAGGCTCGTCAGGCCATTCAAAAGCGCCTGCGTCAGCGAATTCCCTTTCTAACTGAGGTAGGAACCTCGCGAAGGACTGGTCTTCGCGTTGTCGTATTAGGTGAAGCCGTCTTGCTGCTCTTGCTTTGATGTTCGGGTCGCCATAGATGTTTTCGAGGTAGTCAAGAAGCTGTCGTGGTTCGCGGTCGTTTCGCTGTGTTTTCACGAACGAATTGGTGTTCTTTAGGGCTAGCTTTTCTAGCCGAGAGAAGACGTACGCGAATTGATCTTGTGGGCTCCCGATAGCTTCGCCGTCTACTGCTAGCTTGTTTTCCATCACTGTTCGCCAGGATGGCCACTCCGAAGAGCTCCCTGCAAACATCGCTGGGTCCGGTAGTCGTGGCCGAGGGCGTTGTATAGCTATCCCTGTTCTATCCTGCGTGACCTCGGTTTCGATTCGAGAGGGATTCGGCGGTGTTTTGCTAGGGATTGATATGTTCTGGAGTAATGCCTCAAGTTTTTCGATCCGTTCGTCTTGCGCGGTGTTCCGTTCGTTCTGTGCTGTGGTAGCACTCTCGTATACGGCGTGGCTCTGGGCGATTTGCTGCATTAATGTCTGAGCCCAACTAGGGGGACTAGACGATTCGCTATTTCTTGCCATTCTCTGCCGTGTGTAGCGGTTTATTCGTGCGTTCTTCGTTTCTCAATCGGCTTCGCGTCGAGGGTCCTATGGGTAGCGACCGGTACCGTTTCGGTTGCTATTCGCTTATATTCCGTTCCAATGTTCCAATGTGCCTAGGAATTGAGATCTTCTAGGGCTTTCCAATACGTCTCGAGCACTAAGGCCTTATACGCGAGGGTTCCGTTCCGTTGTGTGGCCGTCACTGAATCGCCGGGGATTCAGGGGTGTTTCCAATGAGCGCCTAGGTCGTCTTCCTAGGGCTTTCTAATAACCAGTGGTACTTCTAGGTGTAGAAGGAAGCTTTTTGTATGTGAGGGGCTGAAGTAAGACTTAATTCAATCTAACTAGGCCAACATGCTGTTTACAAAAAGCTTAGGGAAGAAAGGTTCGTCCCGCGTGTTCTCCATGTCAACATGCCAAGGTTCCGTGATACACGTGACCAATATCGGGCAACAGCCCGTGACAGATGAAGGATAGTATAAAGCAACGCTTTCTTCGCTGTTATACCAACCAAACCCTTCACTTCGGAGAGACCTCCTCCTCGCGAGTAGAAGGGGCCCATGCCTATCTCAAGACCTATATCAAATACTCGATTGGAGATCTCCTGACAGTAATGACCCGGGTTCAAACCGCGGTTAGTACTCGTCATATTACCATCAACCAGGCAATTAGGGAGGACCGCCAGAAACTACCAGATAACCTCCTTATACCGTTATTTCGGTCGGTTCTTGGCTGGGTTGCCACATGTGCCCTTCAACGAGTTGCCCAGCAGTTAACTGCCTACCAGAAGAAAGAGTTACAGTTGGCAGACTGCACTCACTACCATCGGCAGTCACTGGGGCTACCTTGTATTCACGAGATTGTGGCAGCAATCGAAGGCAAGCAGGCCCTGAGAAGGGACCAATTCCACCGGCAGTGGTGGCTTCTAGCTTCAATTGAAGACGACTACCAGCCACTTAACATAGAAACTGTTCTTCGAATCGAGGAACCAGCCATCGCGAAGGCCGCCGGGCGTCCCCGTGGACGGGCAAACCATGCTCAAAAGGACCCTAGGGTAGAGGCTGCGAAGAGGACTGTTGAGGCTGAACAACCAACCACTAAACAACCAACCACTAAACAACCAACCACTAAACAACCAATCCGCCGATCCACTCGATTGGCCAGATCCACTAAGCGAGATCCCTCTGGATTCGAGATTGTGAGGAAGGAGACCGCCCGTGTAGGGCGGAAAAGGCGATGAGAAGGGCGCTGAGAAGGGCGATGGGTAGGTGGAAGGGTAATCTAGATTGATAGTATGTTAGCTTCTTAATTAGGAAATTGAATTATCTTTGAAATCTCTGCAAATTCAGGCGATTTGGATGGCTGTATGGACTCTTGGAAAATAGGTGGTAGTGGTAGAAAGGTAGGAAGGGGTATGTGTTACTATGGCTAATTGGAATGTATAGGGTCAACATAAACAACCACCCGGTTGGGTCACATGATCACATGATATCGGCGTCTATGATCGCCGACGACATTCGATTATTTACGAGAAGCGCTTATGTATAGGGAAATACATACATAAGGGCTTGGCAAGTATTATACAGCTGTCGAATGTATCATTTTGGGTGATGCGGGAAGGATACCTAGTTAGGACTAGTGGCATGCCAGGTTTCGTGCCATGGCCCGATATCTTCGTGCCATGATCCTCGTCCTATTTAAATAACTCTACTGATCGGAGCATCGATATTACTGAAGATATAATGGAGTCAATCCTAGAGGAGGTCTTTGATCTAAGACATACTACATACTACATGTCTTGGATTTTCAGGCCACCGTAGTCGTGTTCTGTGCCATGACCAATCAAAACAACTGCCAAGTGAAACATCTGCATCACTGCGATTACACATACTCCGCATCAAGAAGCTCGTACCAGGTAGTGTTACATCTACCCCGCAACCACGCTTATTTTCTCAATCTTGGCATCGATCTTTGTTCATGATTTCCAACGTAGAGCAAAGGACAAGTTAGGCGGTGTAGGGTATCTTCAGAGCCAAGGAATCTACAATAGGTTCTTTACAGAATTGGAACATATTCCATTACGTCATTGCTCCTTATTCAATCGGTGTTCAATGGTCCTCTGCCGTATGTTCTGATATGTCGGGGCAATGCCCGGAGTGAGGGGCTGCCTGTTCTACGAATTTTTGTGTTCTACTACTTTTTGTATGTTATATCTAAGTATTCAAGTTATGATACCAAACTCGGGGGATATTATAAAAACATACATATAATCTAATTTTCTACAGGATGAATCCCATATCAGTATATTGAAAGTCGTAGCTTTTCCACGATAGATGGCAAGGGCCCATCCCGCTTCAAAAGTAACTGAAATTGCCGGGGGATATACCGGTGAGAAGATGAATTATTTTACGATCATACAATAGAGCAAAGTAGAATAGCTGTTAGTTCCAAACAAAAGTAATTAATACACCATTTTGCGACTTGATCATACGTTAATGTGGGATTTCTGGTCCGGCCGATTACAAAATCCTAGCGAAGACGCGACGTAGATTTACGGTGAGGTTTCCCCAATTGTTCAGACAGCAGTTTAAATCGACTATTTCAGGCCAAGTATACGGACTCTTCTTTATTCAATAATGAATGATGAATATTCCTGCAGCCTCAGTTTAGTGCTGTTTACGGAGTATTTCTGACCTTATGAGTAGGTCGGGAGTATCCCTCGAGGATCGAAGACGTGCGGCATGGTTGTCATTGGATCGGGAACAATATATGCCTTACAGTAATTATAGTCTTGAGACCTCACTATCAAATGATTGAATATGATGGCTGAAACACAAGGGTCAAATCATAACTAAAGAAGCGAAATCCATGAATAGGGTTTGAGACTATCATCTTCAACAATACAAGGCCTTCAAACTGTTTGATACTTTGAGAGTACATTCTCCAGTTCAGCAAATTCACGCATTATTGTTTTCTTGCATTCTTCCGACCGGGGAACGATTCGACATGGAAATTTGTTCGCCAAAATGATAAACCCTTCACTATATGCAGTTGTCGGATCAATATCAGTCTCAACAAGATTTCCATTTCCATCCACAGCTTTCTTAAACTCGAAAGCCCACAGTAGCTTACAAATCCCCAAGAAGATGTTTATCTCGCCAAGGTGTATTCCTGGACACACCCGGCGTCCATTCCCATATGAATAATGACCCCGAGCCTCAGGGTCACTAGCGGTCAAATAATCTGACGCTAGCTTTGTATAGCCAGCATAATGATCTGGATCAAAGACATCTGCATTTTGATACCGCTTTTTATCATGATGCAGGTACCACATATTGGTCATAATGGTAGCTCCTTAGGGCAAGAGTTTTTTGTCGATCCAATGGTCTTCTCTCACGTCCGTAACGATCAACAACGCCACCTTAGAATTTTCAAGGTTTACTTACCCTCAGTAAGAACGCGAGGTATGCCAAGGCCACCGACGGAACGCCATCTCTGCGCCTCCTTGACGACCTGTGTAACATGAGGTAGTTGAGCAAAGTCAGACCAGACAGGGGTCCGAGTCTCGTCAATAATATTATCAATCTCTTTTGAGCTTCTTTTGGATGTCGGGCCACTGAACTAAGGGGGGGATGCAAGTGTTTATAACCGAAGAAGAGGTATCGGATCCCCCTTCCAATGCTACCCCACCGAGGAAATAAAGTTGATGATCGTTGAGTCCCAGTTTCCCATTCTGGTCCAAAACGTTATCCATGAAACACCCAAGGCTACCAGTGGTTTTCTGTCGATGCATAACATGCCTCACATTTTCCCCGTAGAGGTCAACCATTTCTTTTTGTCCGTCCAAAGTTCGACTTTTCCAGTTCCCAAGGAATCTTTCGGGTATATAGTTCAGGAATGGGAACATGTCTACCGGTGGCGTGGCCCCAATCTCCATGATTTTGGACCAGTGGTCCACTAGCTGTTAAAGCTTTTGCATGTGTGGTGTATCGAATGATGGTGTTCGTATCCCGAAGACTGCAGTGAATGGGTAGGTCACCTTGATCGTTCACATAGCTTCGATCGTAACGAAACTCACGGGGGCTCATGATAATACTATTACTGTGGCGTTTAGCATGTAACATATATTGATCTGGATGGACTATAAAGTCTCGTAGCATTTGCACAGCCTCGGCATTTTGTGTTTGAATATGGACGTTGTCGCATCGCGATGACATGAATTCCTGGTGCAACAGTCTTCGGAACAGTCTCCATTCTGACCCAGAGTCCATGAACAGCAAATGATCACCACCGGTGATCGTGTCAGCTACTAATAGATCCGGTCGTTTGCTGGATATATCTATTTCTAGGGAAGTTCCCGCACAGCGGCCGCCACCTTACCGACCTAATACACTTTGGTAGAACTTAGTTTGAATCTTCCTTACTTTTGGGTGGCTATTGGTAGCCAGTGATCTATTTTGCTTTTTGTGTTAAGATTCCTTACTTGTTTGCAATGGCATTTGCCACGCATCCAACCAGATCGTGTTCAAAGTCATCTGTTCCTTCCCGAATACCCCGCGCATACTCCCGCCCGTGAGCCATGAAAGGTATGAGAAATCTTCTCTTTTGGGTAGCTGAATACAAGAGCCGATTTTGGAAATGACTTGAAAAAATCCTCCCAATCTCCTCATTATGCATCGTGTGCTACACAGCAGTGATATTCTTCGAACTGTGCCATGCATTGAATATACCCATCTTAGGCATCTACAAGCGTGGTGTTGTTCCCAGCTTCCTTTTCACCTCTATGAGCACCAACGGGAGCGACGTACGAGGAGCTTCAAAATTCTAATACTAGATGAATAATGACTGCATTTTCCCTGTCTCACTCTTTAATATAAATCTTTTGTCTCTTCCACCAGCGCCAACAGTGTCGTTGCGAACCTCTGTGCGATCTTCTAATGACCAATTCGCTGCTGATACGGAATAGACTCCTCGTCGCCAGCCTTCGCGGCTGCAAGTCACCCAGTTGCTCCAAAAGCAAGGCGATTCCCTTCAACCCTTGAAGCGTTAGCTCAGTAAAGCGCAGATTGTCTCCGGTACTGATCCGAATTCCCTCACTCTCTACGACTTTGGCCCCTTCAACAGGGTGCGGCTCAGCGGCAAAGGTCATGAAGGACGCCCAGATAAGGCCACAGTAATATAAGCACATTGGTACATCTATGGGCGGCTCAGAACCAGCTGGAAGAGACTTAAAGTTCTTCTGGATGAGGATAGCATGAGATAAGCAGGGTTTGCATTAGGGGAGCATAGGCCATGTACTTCTGCGCAACATCGTAGCCCTCGCGACCAGTGGCACATTCCAGGGCATTGATGTCAGCGTAGATGCTGATGTAGATGGAGTGCCAGAGCATCATCAGACTGAGCCACCCTGATCTATTTTTCATTACGGGGTAGTAGGATGTATACCATGTTGTGAGGAGCTGCTGGCATTTAGATGCTGCTAGCATGGATGGAAATGTCGGCGAAGATGTCGATATGGATGTAGCGTCCCAGGGATTGTCGATAAAGTACTGGTGTTGCGCTTCACTGGCAAGACCGCTTATAGACTCCAGAATCCCGCTCCGTGCAAACTCACTGGGAGATAATTGTTGTGGGAGGTGGTTTGGGGGCGTTGGATAGTAGCATACCTTAACTTCTGCGCGAAGGCTGGTTTGCTCTTCGAGCATAAGGTATTTCCAGTGCTCTGCACTCGATGCTGTGAACAACTCAGCAGAGGAGATTTGGGGTAGGCGGCCCGGGGAGTGTCGGAGTATTGGCTCATGATGGTGCAAGCGAGCGAGCTCTGCATCATGGATGTATAGGCCAAGGACGATTCTATACCAGCTAATGAGTTGCCTGCATCATAGCGTCTTGATGCGGAGATAGATAGGTTTTACATACCGTTTCTTGACTTCTTTCTCAGGCCAATTCAACCATCTTCGAGCGCCTGACCATCGAGGCCAAGAAGGTTGGATTGGGAGTTCTGTATCTCAAATAGTCTTGCCTTCCGTGCCCACTTGATGCAATAAAGAGACTTTTCGTCATTTGAGGATCATTCATGATATAAAGGAACTAAGCCCACTGCAAGCATACTCCCATGCCACATTTCGACCCTCATTAAGTCTTTTGGCCTCTATTAAGCAGAGTATAAGTTAGCTAATCGATCAAGCGTCACGAGTCATTCAAGTCCCCTCAGGAACAGGTTCATACCCCCATCAAGAGGCCAAAGGTTTGTTCAATAACACAAGCTTGCAAAGCGACCAAACAGGTAGCCCCAGATCTATTAATATAGGTCTCCCACTGCTTCTGTTAACAAAACATCTCCAAATTCCCGTAGACTTCAAGTTAAGTACCCACTGAGGAAAGAATGGCTTTATTCAGCCGCTCAAACATACTGATACCATGATAAATAGCACGCGAGGAGCTCACAAAGAGACTCCCCGCGGAACAAATCGCAAGAAGCAGAACGGCGTTCTGAGTGCTCGGTCGAAACCACGGGAAAGAGAGGGTGGAATTTCCAAAAGTATGCCTGAATACAAAGGTCTTATCAATGCATTAGCATGTGAAGATACCATCCAGAATCAGAGACTAGGCCATGCGAAAGTGAGGAATTTAGAAGAAAAGGGGTAGATGGTAAGATTCCATGTTGCACGCGCTGTTGAAGATGATCTGCTAAGCGCTTGCGATGCGACTCGTCGATGCGATTGCTATCCGATAGCATATCTGGAGTTGTTCGACCGGAAGGGGAAAGTTCTAAGCAGGTATGCCATTTTCTTTGAACCACACTTGAGGGTTGTTTCGAACGTCCGCTGATCATAGAACCAGGCTGTGCCGTGGGAGGCCGTGAGACATTGCTTATTCAGCATAGCCTCTGTGGACACATAATCTGGTAAAGCAAATTGCAAGGATAGATTAATAGCATCTAGATCAAAATCATCACCCGTGAAGAGCTTCTCTAGATCCCTGCCAAGCGAATAATCCCAGCCAGGATTCTGCGAGCTAGTGTCGTTCGGCGATTTGTGGCCATTCTCTTGAGAAACTATTTAGGTCGAGGAAGTCATCTGTGATGGACTGGCGCTGCTTTGACTAATCGAAATGCCAGGTATGCGGTTGTCGATTGATTTGGCGATATGTGATGAGAAGGGACTTATTATATTCCCTGACATGGGGACTGAGGCAAGGTCCAGTGGAGTTGTTTCGGGGGCAGAGAAACCTGGCGCAGTGCTTGGGGGATGAAAGGCAAACTCGGGGTCAAAAGTCGTGCGGATTCTGATGTTCATTCCTTTCATCTCGAGGCACCTCGTGCATCTTAGCAGTGCTGGCGGTCTTGCTTCCAACTAGGTGGGAACGCGAATGGCGTAGAAGTGTGTCTCTTTTAGGTAAAAGCGAGGGTTCAGTTGAAGCAGGTATACCAGTTTATGTATCTCGTAGTATGTGTTTTAGGTCAGGGTGGAGAGTACTTACTGTCGCCCAAATGTCTTGTCGCAGACCAGACAGTTGAACGGCCTTTCCTTCGTACGTGACCGTATATGACGGGCTAAATGTTCCGCTTTCTCAAATCCTCAAGAACACACTGTGCAAATGCGCTCTTCCTTGGACGTTTTGCGTTGGCGCTGACGCTTCATCCCTCGGGACGCGGGCTTTAGGCGTAAAGCACTGGGCAGTGTGCCCCCGACCTAGACAAACAATATTCAGACGCCAGCGAAGACTAATGAGATATCAAATTAGACCCACCTCGGCGGAACCGACTAGGATAACATTAATTCAATCAAAATTAAGCCACAAGGAGGAAGGTCTCCCAAGTTTCCTGAACAATTATAGATTGAGTGGAATGCCATGGGCGGCGATCTACGTTTGCCGACTACCCGGTAAGTAATTTATTCGTCTAAACTTTAAATTTAGATTTCCCTAGATTAATATCGTGCGTTGTATGGGTGCTTGGCCGTCTGGTGGAAATGTGGGATCTATGCTTCTATATCTGGGGAGTGAGTGGGTCTTACATATGAAGGCACTATGCTCGCATTCCGCACAACAACCTAACCTATGGTAACCTAAGGCCGAGAGGACCACTCTAACTAGACCACAAGGGGATTTGCCTGTTTCGTAACAGCGACCGGCAACAAGGCGCTGCTAATGTTGTAGTGACAAAGGGGCATTAGCCCCTAGATCAATTTACGTGAAAATATTTGGTACATGCGAATAATTTATACATGCGGTTGGTGGAAAACCCGCTCCCTAGAAATCCGGAGTTGGGGAAGATTAAACGGCTAGTTGACTTGCTCGTGATTTTTGTAGATCTTCGTGAACCATGATACACCATTGGAATGGCGTTTGGTGTCGCTGAAGAAACCCTAATAGAGAAGGGCGCAATACGAGAGCCTAGGTGTGCGACCGGTGAAAGATGGGATGTGATGCATATATCAGGTCAGTTATAGTAAAGACCGGAAAAGACGTAGGTAACACAAAAGAAGATAACAGTCTCCTATAAGTGTGTAAAGACCGGGCCCTTACATATATTTCAATACTCCATCAGGCCTTCTCTCTCAATCCTTCGAATCGTCAAAAGAAATAAATCACCAGTTCAGAGCCGCCACACAGAACATAGAAGACCGGACCAAGATAAAGAAATCAGAGAACCCAAGGAGTAAGTTATTCGACGGCCTATTAAGGTATAGCATCCAAACCTGTCAACAGTAGCCCTACTACAAGCGATAGATCAATGTCTTGTTTCGCTTCCTTATCGTGTCTTTCTAAACTAGGGTGTGAACAGTTACACTGACTTGGTGTATCTTTCTGACTCTCCGAAGTGAATCCTCTTCTTCATCATTTAGGCGTTAATATCACATGGTAGCGAGCCCAGCAGTAACCATGCCAAGCGTCCAGAGCATCCTGGAAGTCAATATTATGACAGCCATCACTGGTTCGCCACACTAATGCACCAAACCCATATCCACCAGCACTGGTCTCCTCAAAGCTTGCAAACATCAATGTATTTTCTGGGTATATAGAAGAGTGAGAATCAACAGATGGCTTACTAGGCCTAAAATTCCGAGGTAGCACACTAATTGAACCCACCATAAGTATTGGCAGTGTAGGTAGATCCAGTGGTATAGTCGGTCAAAAAGATGTATTGATAGATATAACCAGGACTGGATGGGTTCTCTATGTAGTCGGAAGCGGCGAGCTGGCCATAAAAGGCCCTAACGTGACCAGCCAACAACGTGGCTCCAAGGAGTCTTCAGAACTTCATATTGAAGCCATCGGTAAGTCAAACCCGAGGAAAATTGGAATATTTGAAGACTAATAGGTAGTTGATTTTGATTCAAAGATATGAGAATCATGCCCTTCTTATCCTCGTTACTCATATCTTATTCTTCCGGTGTGGATTCACCTTCCTTAGCTCGGAGAAAAACAAACGGCGGTCTTCAATGCAATTCATACTAAATTCGCATATAATAACTAGTCAAGAGCAGCCTCATTTCATGGTTTATCATGGGGAATGACATAAATGACAAGCTAGTAGTAATTTATTCGTCGAGCTGTTTTCCCAAACAAATGCAACAAATATCAGGGTCAAGGTGTTCAGCGTTCGCCTTTTGTAGTTAGAAGTTGGGTTTCACTTTTTTGGTCAGAAAAGGGTTGATGATAGAATCGATATTTAAAGAGCTCTTCACGGCAGTCGGGACGGTCCTGAATTCTGTACGATCCTTCATGATTTAGACTTAACTAACGATTAGTGCTTATGTTTTTGAGAGACCGGCTACGATTCTAGACCGCTCTGTGGCATAACGTAAGCAAATCGACCCACAATTTGATCAATAAGCAGCCGTAGTGACCAAATTGAAACGGGTAACTAACTGACTATCGGACCTTTATTGAGTCTGGCAAGTGTTGGAAGCTCGAGGGTAGAGGTGACTTGATTTTCTATGCTTTATCCTAATACGGCAGTTGCACGGAATTTTCGTGCGGGGCTCTGGAAGAGCCGAGTTCAGCTGGACTGTGAATTAGCCAGCAATCAACTACCGGAAATGGCCCTGCCGGTGTTGCTTGGCATTTTGACGCGTAGCCCTGACAAACACATTCGGACTCGCGCCATGGCCCGGAGTTCAGTTGGTTATTCTCTTATGGTGAATTCCGAAACGAGAGTACATATGCGCTCATCTTTCATTCCGCTCTCCGTTTCCCTTGGCGGCTGCAGGCTAACCTTAGTTCGCGAATTTCGTCTACCTAAGTACAAAACAGTGGGGCACGTTGAGCGAAGGTCAACTGACCGTGACAATGAACTGACCGTGACAATGTTTACCGGTTAGCCTAATGTATTGCAATTGGCGGGAGAGGCCTGTGATCCGAATTCATTCTCTGTCTACTATACATCTTAGGAAGTAACGAAGCAACAAGTAGAGTTGGGCAGTACATATGTAGAGGAGAATAAGTGGATCGGGGTTTCTATGCTTAAACTTTTCAGGCGAGTCCGGCCCCGCAGATTTGCCGAAAGTGCGAGCGCGGGATGAAGAACCCGCTAGAAATCCCAACGGCACCTAGGAATTGTCATGGTCCTTCCCGATTTAATCATTTGTTCTCTAAAAAACAAGTGATTTTGAAAAGAGTAGGCATTCATTCTTCCCTGGAGACTTCATGATTAACGAGATACGCATTTATTCGCCGTAACTCACCTGGACCCTCATTACTCAAGGGTCATCCTCTGGGAAACTAGATTAATGCATAGCTGCTCGCTAAAACGGGAGGTGTCTCTTGGCGAGGCATCAACTATAACAGAGCCTTTGCTTGCATGAAAGGCTACTTCCCTAATGGTTCACTCGATGAGCAGCACGACGGATTTTGTACATCGAAATGATCCGATCGATAAATTTCCACATCTCATATAGTAAAGCCCAGATTCTAATACGTTTCGATTACAGAGAAAAGACATGAATCTTAAGAATTAATTCTTCCTTCCTTTTCGGACAGCCACTTTCAAGTTATGATATGCGGAGAGTATTTCCAGAATTATGAAAAATAAGCGACTATCAATTTTTGATCCGTTAGCCAAATCAGTTAAAGATGTAAATATCAGAGCCTATCAAGATACCAAGACCGGCTTTTCAGATCAGAGACCCATCGATCGAAATTTCTCCACGGCTACAGACGGGAGGTTAAATCACTCACAGCATACGTAAGTGTTTCATGTAGCTAGATAGTTAGTGTGATGAACTATCTCTGATTTGGCCTAGACAGTGTCTGACGCATTCTTACTGCAACACGCTGTTATGGGGCGAGGGGTCTCATGTATCTTCTGATTATGGCAGCATTCAAATTGTGCAAAAAGTATATAAATAAGGACGCTTGCTTCAAACTGAATGGAATATCAACCAAAAAATTCAAGCCACTTTGCAGAATTATCGGCCAGAACAAAGTTCTTCCATTTCCAAGATGATGAAAAAGGTGCGAGTTGATTAACGTGAGCACCCTGTTATCATACAAAACTAAACATCGCACATCAGATTGTTACCATCTTCGCAGCCATTGCAGTCGTGGCAGTCGCGGAACCTACCATAGGCTATGCTGGATACTTCAACACCAATTGTACCGCTCCCAGCATCGATGCCGCAAATGCGTACGCCGGATCTTGCATCAACGTGGAAAACTTCCCAATTGAATCATACAGCGCTTACGTCGAGGCTGGTTCCTGTGCCGACGGTACATCTGCTGTTCTCAACACCTACACAGCCTCTGGTTGCGACGACTCGACCCTTTTTGACACCGTTAGCGTCAATAGCGAGAAGCAGTGCTTTGAGGCAGACGTGACACTGGTCAGTCTGAAGGCGGAGTGTGTCTAAGGCCGCTGGAAAATAGCAAGATACCATCATTCTTCGCTTGATCTATGTCCATATATGTCCATAGTGCTACGCTCCAAGGTACGGCTGGATAGTGCCTGTGGATTTATTTCATAGTCCCAAGATTGTGGTGATGGCTTCTTTAAAGAGTATTGAGCCCAGAAATTTATCCTTGTCCAATCTTCATATCACATGTACTAGATGTGACTTACTGCTCACGGTGTAGCCCTTGAAAACATGTCAACCCGTTGAACTTGAAACGTGAGTCGAAAACCGAAAAGCACATATGAGCACTCTCCCAATGAGGGTTTTACGGCCAATATTGAGGCCAAAGGTGATTTTTCTTAGCCAAGGATTATCTCACAGAAATAAAATTAGATGCCTTACAATCGTCTATCGTAAGCCAAAATTCCAAATGACCATATAGGCCAGAGAACTGAACAGCCGCTTTGCTTGACCGTTTCTATAATCCAACCACAGATTGCGTACAGATAATTTCTATCTTATTCAATTTTAGCGAGTATCATATATTATTTATCGCTAGACTAATTTATTTTATGACCTCTGACTTCATTATATGAGACGGTCATGCGCCTATCCCCCCCCCCCCCCCCCCCACATTAAACAGATTCATTACGCGTATTGAGTGACACAAAAGCTGGATGCTGTTCAGGGCGGCTACTAAATAATCTCGAGTTAGCAGCTGTGAGATCATAGAAGCCGGTCGTGCGAATGGCAAGGTCTGTACTCTGCAACCGTACTCAAGATCCGAAATACTCGATAAAGTGCACTAAAATTAGCTCGTTAGGAAATATATCAGCCATGGTTCAACGAAGTAATTATAATTTGCTGAAACTGAAATCATAGGTTCAAACTTATAGTTAAGACTATTTAATGCACATAGCGTAGAGTTGGATTCTATGAATTCGGCTTCTCATTTAATTCTTAGTGGAGTATTATGTAAGAATCATCAGCAGTGAGTGAAAATCCAGCAAAGAGCTATTTAATTGAATGAAACTAGTATGAAACTTATTGCTTTCGCTGGTGTGGCAGTATATCTATCAACCTTGACCCTGACAGGCTTGTGACGCTATTGTGGACTACCTATACAATACTAACTCTCGACTTTACCTCTAGCCTATTCATCCATGATATCACAGCCAAAAACCATTTACTACCATTTATCAAGATCCAGATTTGACTCTGCTCTGTTGGCAGGGTAAACGGGATCATATGGCACGGTTTGCGTGCGTTGGTTATACACAAGAGGATTTGTTGCAAGAAGTTAACATTTAATTCTAAATTCATCGTTGAGGAGGATTTCTAATTCCAAGAACTTATTAAACGTAATCATTTAATCCCGTCTCAAAGCGTCTGGCTCGCGAAATTTTTCTCGGGGAATAACAAAGAACCACTGATGTAGATAGAGTATGTCCGTAGAGAGTGTGTGTACGATTGGGTACAGACTTTTACTATCTACTGATAAAAACCTAGCATGGCGGCCACCTTTATCGCTAAGTCCTGCTATTGCAGTACAAAATTATGTGAATAATAACAAAGGCTCTAGCGCAACTTCATAGAGTCGCACTCGACGATATAAGAGTTTACACATATCTTCTGGTCAACAATATTCCCTAACGAGCCTCTAAATTTTGGTTGTACTCACGTACAATCTTATAAGAGCTCAGTAACACATGAAACAGATGATAGAAAGCTTAGGTTTAGAATATCTCTCTGGAGATCTTGACAATTCTGAATGCCTAGCCGAGATCCGCGTTGCCCACATTGACCTACAATTATCTGAGTTGAAACGGTTATCGGAAGCTCCACGTAAATGAACCATCGGATACCAAGTTTTCTATAATACCACTCAAGGTGGCACTCAACATAAATAACGCGATCGATAGCGCAAGTATGACAGGCACTATTAGAGACAAGACCAGTGGCTTCTGTTTCTCGGGTCGGCCCTAAAAGATGTTCAGGATAAGAAATTGCGAAGCAAGGAAATACCGAAGCTTCCAACCCACGTCATAAATCTAGTCATTCAAAAGTCCCATGTGGGTGTCATACCATACTTTCAAGGAACTCCATGGGTAGATGAACCAATTTTTTAAAGTCTTCTGGCCTATGAAATACTGCCAGCAGGTGATATCAGCCACTGCACGATATTTACCACATTGAAGCTGGCTGTTGACTTACACTGAAGCAGAAATTGTTAAAGATCGTCCTCGCGATCGCTTGATGTAAGGGCTCACTGTAATCTTTCTCGCTCTCAGCCTTGACTTCAACAACTGCAGACCAGTCCCGGATCACAGGTGCGATCACATGGGTGATGAGATCGACATAATTTGACTGCTCTTAGCGGGATGTGATAAGAAGGCCTATTTAGGCTATACATGGGCTTAATTTTCGATAGAGTAGATTGCAGATGTGTGACTTTCACCAGAGTTGGGTCCCAGGACGAAGAAGAAATTGAGAAAATCTGACATTACAATGGATTTGTAGGCCTCCTTGTAGGTGAAGTCATTCCAGTGCTCCGTTCTTGCACGACAGTTTCGACCGATTAGCTTTACATCTAATTGTGTTAAACAGAAGGCCGTAGCTAAGACTTATATATAGAGCTTAGCATTATGTCAAGCTATAGATAGGCTGAAATCATCTCCATTTTCACTCACAATGGTGACTGCGGGGTCTTCTTTGCTGGATTGAGTCAGGATTGAGCGAGGACGGAGAGAAGTGATTGGATCATCTATGAGATATATATTACTCTGCTGAAGGCAACTGACATATTTGTAGCTATCAAAGACTAGCCGTTAATTTCTCGAACTAAGCATCTAGACTATGCCGGACACGAAGGAGGAACATACTTTACATCCGATTTCATATTTCGGCATAAGAAGCGGCCAGTATTCCTCTTATATCCAAAAAAATATCAGTAAATTGGGACAGGATAGATTCGCTAATAATTAAATTACCAGGTACGGTTTCTCTAAGATAGGCCTTGTTTCTTTCAGCAGATTGGATCATGGATTTAGACCGTTTCCTACAACGTTGAACCTAATGGCGGTACTTTCAAGGAACAGGGAAACATAGATCCTGAAAAACAAGAGTGCCGTAGGTATATATCGAAGGAAGAACTACCATTTATCATTAATCCCCTGATTATCACTTCGTAGATAGTGATAAGGTGTCTGGTTATGTTATATATTTTAAGATTCATATATGCACTTTAGTCGGTAGGTACCCGGATGAATTACGATATACTCTTTACCTCATCCGTAATTACTAGGATAAGTTAGGCTACCGAGCCTAATGCTGAACACTGAGTATTATTTCAACTCCCTACAATATATGTCTCACATCCTCCTGTTCAAGCGTCATATCTGGTTTCCATCATGCAGTGGGAAGGATATTTCCTTCGAAGTCGTCGATTCCTGGAACATCAAGCCGGTTGGGATTTACAAGACCCCTAATAGCTGATATTAGGATCTTACATTCCTTATCGTATTTTCTACCGGTGGATAGATTCTTTAGTATTATAAGCCAGGTACTAGTCATTTCTTGCTAGTAAGCGCCCTCCCATTCTGTGTTCGTCACAATATAGCGGTTGACGTCGAATCTCTCTGCGATGCTATTAGAGTATTCTAAGATCTCAGCGTGTGGGGGAAAGACCTTAGAGAAATTTGGATTTAGTGCAAACGATAAACTGTAGAACACAGCTAGAATATCGACGGCACATTCGGGGTCTTTTAACATTATATTAGTCTCGGTTGCCTTCCAGGCTTGATACAATGAGTCCACTAAACATTTGTTTACCCACCAAGCACACTAGGCACAGAAGATCGGTTGTAAATAACAAAACCATCGCTCGCAAGCTACATTTAAAGCTAACATACCATGGCCAGTCCTAAAAATCTGGCGCCAATAACTATCACCTGGGTGATAGGCCGAAACTCTCACTATTGTGCTAGGAAGAGGAAATCGAGGTTCTCCAAGATTTTCGTTTCATGTCATCCGTGCTAACTACCAAATAATATAAAGGCAGCTGGTGCAAAGACATGTTCGCATACCCGTTTGAAAAAGTCGAGGGCTGGTTCAATATTATTTTCATGGACCCCCTAGCCCCCTTCTCCACTCCAACATGACTCTTATGAGTAAAGAGGGGAGGCCAAAGCTATCTAATCAGTTGTTTTTGTCTGATCCACCACTCGACCCTGTCCCTGCCTCATCCTAGAAGTTAACCGTGTTTCCTATAAGTTGGTTCTTCGTCATCCTAGCCTCTATAGGCCGAGTTGTGGTGGAGGCCCTTCGGATCTGGTTCCGTGGCAAGATACCCTACCTAAACAAACCAGACGTGAAGAAGAACAATATTCCCGTGACGCTTCAAGGCCAGAGATATAAGTCTTTCGACATCCTATTCCTGCCAATCTCGTTGCTGACGTCTATAGCGACGCATGCTGGGACAGGGTTCTAGAGCCATTCTTCCGCATTTATATCGCCAACCTTGTCGACTATACCAATTCCCAGTCAAACTTATATACGCACTAGCCAAGGCACTACATCTACATCCTGTCTCCATTCATTCCCCAATCAAATCTCTCACCCCTCGGTTCTACACCAACATTTTGAAATACCCAGATCCCAGATCTGGTTTTACTACAGAGATCAAAAGCCTGCCCCAGGTCTCCGGTCCAATTTCTAAACGTCTCTGGGTCTCGGGCCCAAAACCTTTGCAGCATTTGATCGACTCGGAATTTCCCCCAAGAAAGCTCACGTTTGTTTGCCTTCTGCAAGCCGTTTTTCTTGGCAGAGAAAGTCGGAGTCAAAATAATTTATGGATAGTCTCACTGAATCCCAATTTTGTATCGATATGCGCATTACGTACTGGGCTGCACGTATGCAGTCCTTTTTGACCGACAAGATGGCGTGGGATTCATATCGGTTAGCTGCCATTATGGATTTCTGATGCATGCGATTACCATGCAGCTGGTCTGGAAGGGACTATGGAGAAAGAATGCGTTGTAACTTGGATATTATGAAGTTTTCGGACCTCGTTGTAGTACCTGGTATGTTTCTCCTGATACTCCGCGCCAGGAGTTGGCTGACGAGCTGATATTATTAATAGCCCTTCGGCCACATATGATTAATCTAGCTACCATGAGGGACTAGTTAGCACTAGGTGGTAAGAGCAAACACTCAAAAAAGTATCTTATATGTTTTCTTTTTCTCTTTCTTTTTGCGCAGGGCTTAGGGGGTTATAGGCATAAATCACATTTCAATGGCTCAAACCTGCAGAAAGAAGTTGGATGAAGGTATTCTCGAACTTAGAAGACATAATTAACCGTCTTAAGCGCAATAGAAAGGACTTCATTGTATAGTAAAGCCAACCATGCACGGATAAATGACATGTAGGGACAATGCATCCACCTTAATGGATTACTAGTATTAGGCCATCCTCGACTAATCCGGAGATATAACTTTCTCCTTGTTCATAACAAGAGTAGTGGAAATCTATATTCAATACCGGAACGCGATAACGGCCTATTAAACATGAAGAAAACCTGTATCTGAAGTGTGAAAAAACATTTATCTCATTATTTCGTAACCCCTCTAGGCTTATACTACACCAGAGGGGTTGGAAAGTGGGGAGAAAAGAATTTGTAACCCATTTGAACTGTAGTGTAAACCGTGCATTTACTCATCCGTTTTGCGTGAACTATGTGATCCTGATCCCGGGATTTCCCCCTTCCGCTTTTGCCTGATCTCCAAATTTCTTCCTCCATCATCTTGTGTATAGCCTGTTCAAATCTACCTACCGGCAGAATGGCTTGTGTTTCAAAGAGAATCCTACCTACACTAGAAGATCGGGCCCGACATTCCGTTCCAGGAACAGCAGGTGGTAGCAAATCAATCCTAAATCTGCCACCGTGGCCTAACCTGCTCCGGCTAGCTGAACGATCATGGAGATTCAGGGTCCAACAAGTCATGGCGTGGAAATTGATACGTTGATGCAGCGATACCCCTGAATTCCCAGCCCTGACCCAAACAGGTGACCACTTCACGGCGACCGTCATTCTTCAGGAATAGACACGGAGAGATCACCGCGGGGCTAGAACTAAGATCAGATGCGGGGTACGTCTATCTAACTTCTTCAGCGGCAATTAGGCATGATGCTACTTCCGAGTTTACCCCGGATTCGGCGCAGGGGCCCGCCAGAGGCTTGGTTAGCGAAATGGTCGCAGTACCGTGCGAACCGGCAGCCCACTCCACATAGGCACCAAATAGTTCCCCGGCATCTTTCAGGCTACCCCTGCTACAAATTACCCCCCTGCAGGGAGTTTGAGACCGTCACATCGTTTTAAAATGTGTCTAATTGCGCTTTGTTCCCCATGCTCTTTAGAACCCCCGTCGACGATGGCGGAATCGGTTGGATAAACGTATAAATACTCCCAACCCATTACTAAACTTTCAGGATACCTTCCTGTATACCCTTTTCTGCGAGATCATAATTGACCATCATGTCAGCTACCAGCATAAGAATTTTTGCGGCTGGATTAGCCCTGCTGCCTCTCATCCAGGCACAACAGCCGGCCACAACAGACCCTGAAAATCCTGCTCTCACTACCTGGAAATGCTCCACGGCTGGGGGGGTGTGGGAACAGGATACCTCGGTCGTTTTGGACTGGGGATACCACTGGATCCATACTGCTGGCGGCTACGAATCTTGTACGACCTCCTCCGGTGTCAACACAACCCTCTGCCCCGACGAAGCGACTTGTGCCACGAATTGTGTTATCGAGGCGGCCAATTATACCTCCGCTGGTGTATCGGTTTCCGGAGACTCCCTGACAATGCACCAATACGTTGAGAGCGATGGTGTGTACAGCAATGCCTCTCCACGGCTCTACCTGCTCGGAACGGACGGAAACTACGTGATGCTGCAACTCCTTGGTGGTGAGCTCAGCTTCGACGTTGATATGTCTACTCTACCGTGTGGTGAGAATGGTGCCCTTTACCTGTCTGAGATGAGTGCCACCGGTGGAAGGAATGAATACAATACGGGTGGTGCCGAGTATGGCTCGGGATACTGCGACGCACAGTGTCCAGTCCAGAGTTGGAGGAACGGCACGCTGAACTCCAGCAACCAGGGCTACTGCTGCAATGAAATGGATATCCTTGAGGCCAACTCTATGGCCAATGCGTATACCCCCCATCCCTGCAGCTCGACAGATTGTGACAAGGGCGGCTGTGGCTTTAACCCCTACGCACAGGGTGTGACCAATTACTGGGGGCCGGGCGATACCGTGGACACCTCTAAACCCTTCACTATCACTACCCAGTTCATCACAGACGACGGCACCAAGACCGGCACACTGACTGAGATTCGAAGACAATATATCCAGAACGGCAAGATTATTGCGAACGCAAAGTCATCATCCGGTCTTGATTCTATCACACAATCATGGTGCGAGTCGTCTGATGGCTCTGCGGCGACATTTGGTGGCTTGACCACTATGGGCCAGGCCCTTGGTCGTGGAATGGTCTTAATTTTCAGCATCTGGAATGACGGAAGCCAGTACATGAATTGGCTTGACAGTGGAAGTAACGGTCCGTGCAGCAGTACCGCAGGCAACCCAGACACAATTCTTGCCCAGAATCCTACCACTCACGTCGTCTTTTCCAACATACGCTGGGGAGATATCGATTCGACCTACACCAACCCTGATGGGTCCGGCTCGGTCACTACTACCTCTAGCTCAACGTCCATCGTGACCACCACGACTACCAAGATCACCACGACCAAGGCCACGATGACAACCACAACCACCACCGCCGTAGGGGCAACTCAAACTCACTGGGGTCAGTGTGGAGGTCAGGGATGGACCGGCCCGACAGCTTGTGTTTCGGGAACCACCTGCCAGGTGCAGAATGATTATTACTCGCAGTGCTTGTAGATAGTGTAGTTGGTGCACCGGGGACGTTGTTGGCAGAAATGCTTCAGCGGGTGGAACTTTCTGATTGACTCAACTCATTTGTTGACTGTTTACAAAACACGATAGAGTATCCCGGTAACTACTTGCGAATCCATGAATCCCTGTCAATTTTAAACTTCCTTCATCTCGGGACGTACTGATCGATCAACTCCGTATTGGAACTGGAACACGGGGCTAACGGAACGCATTTGAAGTTCATCACACTCGCAAGAATAATCCTTTACCCCGGTTAAGCCACGACAACGTCATATCAAAGTGCGTGGATATCTGTGAGTATCTCAGCAAGCCTTGATAGGTTCCGAAACTCAACGAAAGGGCATTGAAGGAAATTCCGATTTCCTTGCCTTAACTCTGAACTCACGGGCGAGAGCCCGTTACAAAAATGAAGAAATTCAACTCTAAAATGCAATCTGGCCAACACAATCACAATTATCCACTCTCGGGGAATGGCCCGTTACAAAAAGGACTACTGATAGCTGGGATAGATAGCCTGAAACACTTCCACACTGCTAAATCTTGCTACACTATGGAAGTTTGAGAATATGTACCTCGAGACCCCGCTTCTTCCCACGCTGAGGACCAATGTTCCGGACCGGCGGGCCGACCCCAAGCACTGTGATTAGGGACACATGTACCTACTCCGATACTCTGAGTAAAATTGCTAAGCTATTGATAACATAGTGGATATAATAGTCCTCTTGCAGACCCCTTTCTGGGTCTCTTTCATCTACAGCGTCATCATATACTACATTCAACGGTACTATGTGGGGCAAACTTTTATTTGTTACTTTCGATCTGCTCGCTTTGGCGGTTGCATACCAGGCCACTACTACCGTTCGTTCTTTTTCATTCACTACCGGGCTTCCCGGATAGGGAAGCAGATTTCAAGCTGACGGGCGGCTCCGCGCAGAGATACTATGACGGCCAGGAAGGTGCTTGCGGCTGTGGATCCAGCTCTGGCCTTTTCTCTTGGCAGGTACACAACCAACCGAAGCTTCACGCGCCACTTCCACTTTTTGAGAAGTCACATCTCACTAACATATGTAAATCTCCAGCTTGGAATTGCCAGCGGCGTTTACACAGCAGCCGGTTCTCAAGCATTCTTCGACACGGATGGCGCTTCCTGGTGCGGCGCAGGTTGTGGGAAATGCTATAACCTGACCTCCACCGGCGAACCTCCTTGCAGTAGCTGCGGTACTGGCGGTGTCGCGGGCGAGAGTATCATTGTCATGATAACCAACCTCTGCCCTTACAACGGTAACCAACAATGGTGCCCTAATGTCGGTTCCACAAATCAATATGGGTACAGCTACCATTTCGACATCATGGCCCAAAGTGAAATTTTTGGTGACAATGTGGTGGTTGATTTTGAGCCTGTTGCTTGTCCAGGTCAAGCGACCACAGACTGGCAATCATGTGTCTGTTACGGAGATACCGAGACAGATACCACCCCTGTCGGGATCACCGCTGGCAGTTCTGACTCTTCCTCGTCTTCTTCATCAACCCAGTCGCAGAGTAGTACTACTACATCCACCACGGTGACGACAACAACTACCACAGCAGTCGGGACTCAAACTATCTACGGGCAGTGTGGTGGCAGTGGATGGACTGGGCCAACAACCTGTGCATCTGGTTCAACATGTGCGGCACAGAATCAGTGGTATTCTCAGTGTCTGTAGTAGACAATCGCGACGGTATGAAGAATGCAGAATGATCTAGTTGAGAGAACGCGCTGTGTAGAGACCAATTTTTGATCTTAGTGGGTGCTTTGTCTCATAAATCCGAAAAAATCACACATCAACTGGTCTATTACGGAAAATCAATGAATCGTAACAGATCGAGTATTCGTTCTATGACCATGCGATATACGCTTATTCTTATTCTTCCATACTAACATAGATCCAACAAGGGAGGCCGTGGTTAAGATAAAGATACAACACATCTCTACCGCAATAAGATCAAGCCTTGAGCATGTTTTCTTCTTAGAACAGTTATGTATCAAGGGGTAGTAAACACGAATGGATCCAAGTCATACCAGAGGTTTGACAAATACCCACGTATTCATGGCTTATAGAACCTAGGCTTGGGGGGCGAAGCCAAGCTGGGGGCCCGCAGAATCAAATACGACATACTGACTCTTCAAGAAGATATCACCGAAGATCGAAAATCCAATGCCAGAGTTTGACTGAATACCTCCAAGACAGGTGGAGCCGACACCAGATGGGCCATAGTTGATCAACGAGCCTGGAACAGTAGCGGTGTAGCTGCCAATTTTGACGCTGAAATCAGGCAGACTCGCAGAGCAGTCGAAGACATAGCCACCAGCAGAATTGCTATTCTTTGCACCGCTGACTTGTGAGTAGTATGCCGACACGATTGAGCTATCGAGGAGCAGGAGAGTGGTGCCGGTATCCGCGATTCCACTGAAGCCACCACCAGAACGAGTACCTGCTGTGTAGCTCTCGACATTGAAACTCCAGAATCCCTGCGAACTATCCACATCGGTGTAGACAATTGAGCCGGTATGCTTGGATGAATCGATGAAGCCAAAGTCGTAGACACCGGGTTCGTTATGCTTCAAGGCAACGGCAAACAGCGGTTGGTCCAGAGAGTCTTTGACGCTATCAAAGAAAGTACTCTGAGCCTGAGGCTGCACAGTGTTGATGCTGCTAAAGGCGAGACCGAGAAGGCCGTCGTTATTGGTATCCTGTTGGAATTCGGAGCTGATGGTTTGAGCAGCTTCCACAGCTTGGCTAGACGCAGTGATACCACCCACAGTAACGGAATCAGTGTACACATTACCGCTAGCACTGCTTCCATCGCCGTAAGAAATGGACCACGAATAGCCGCTTAGCTCAGTCCCACTAGTGCTAGGATCGTACACAGAGTGGCCAGATTGCTCGGAGGCAGACAGCTCCGTTGAGAAGACCCAACTATATATTGATCAGCATGTGTTGTAGGCCGCCGATAGAGTACGGATAACTTACAGATCAGCGGATCCAGTATCAAAGTCCAGATTCAACGTTGTGCCACCAATAGTTACAGGCGTCAGATATTCCTCGTCATTGTTCACAGGCGTGTTGGTCGCAATACCACTTGCGGCGGCCGCAGCCTCGACATGAGAGGGTACATTGGCACCGTACTTCGAGAGTGCATGACCATAAGCTGCAGCAAAGTTGGATGTTTTCGTAGCCGTGCGAGCAACCTGTTTCACAGAGAACTTGCTGCTCGTCTGTGTTGTGGGTGCAGCCAGGGCAATGGAAGCAAGGCCGGCGAGGCTAATGGTGATCTTACTGAAAACAAGCATGATGGATGAATATTGAACAAACTTGTTGTAAGGCGAAGATTATGTCTTGGATGCTTAACAAGATGAAGGCCTAAAGAGCGGACTGATTAACGACGCTTTATACTTCGAAGCACCTCTTGCCCTTTTCTTGAAACCAGCACAACAAGTGACTTGCATTAACCCATATAGCATAATTCGGAAAGTTAAAGACGCGATGTTACTCTTCTAGAAGCGTACAGTGAAGATCTACACGCCACAGGGATTTACACCGTCGGGCTCCAAGAAACCCGGTCCTAGTGATGAGGCAGTATTCGGGTATTCAGGGTCGCATCCGTTAGCCGGCAGTGATGTTACTGAAGGAGATATTCAGCCAGCGTTTTGTCTGAAAGTAAATGATCAGACAGAGGATGACAATAATGAAGATTCTTGGGATACATACGGTCATCATCAAAAGGCCACATGAGCATAATCCGCTCTCCTCATAACGCGTACTCCCGTAGTGTAGAGCATTAATGAAACGGCGTCTGTGTACAGTTTCAGGGAGCACGCAATGGTGGAGACATTTTGATCCTAAGCTTTTTGATTATCTAGCGCTATCTTTTGGGAAAGCTTAAAATTTCGACGATACCGATGAAGGTGACATCGTGTCCAATAGGTGACCAGTAGGAGTGTTGCTTTCAACTAGCTGGATTCCAGGGACCCTGGAACCCCGCCATAATAATGTAATATGGGCCTGAGCACATCATGAGACAAACATCCTACCCAATCGAGGTGCCTAGAACACGTCCGTGGCCGAGTCGCCCGTTTCTCAGCTTCAAGTTCACCCATTCAGGGATGCTTAAACTGCGGTCTTATGATATAAGTTCGTCTCGGAAGTTCACCCCGCTGCAGAAAATCAGTGTATAAGCCAGATTGAGTTCAATCCCCGGTGGACTGAAGAAATACCGGCGGGAGTCCGCAATCCATCCGGCTTTCGGTGCTGATCAGGACGATTATATTACTGTTTCACCGTTGCCGAGAGTCGCAGTTGGGCTCTCTATTGGTAGAGGGAAGCCCGATAAGGTGACCCACAATCAGTGTGACTATTGACGGGCTCGATTCCACTCCCGGACATCGACTATCAGTGGTGTATGAGAACGGGATTGGATTTCTGCATGATGATCTCGCGGTTAAATTTCTCCGTGTGCTTCGGCTTACCTCCGAGCCCCATCAACCATCAACAGTGGGTATAGCAATATCACACAGAGACATACCAAAGTCGGACGGTAAGCCTGCAAAAGCGCCACCCGATCGGATTACCATAGGGACCCCGTCGCTCCAGCATGGGTTCAGTGGCTTGACGAATTTCCAAATGTGCGCCATTTGTGATGCTAAATGAGCTTATTCCTTTGCATCGAAGGTGGGTGGTCCAGAAGTCCCTTGAAAATCACCGCTTACCAAGGGTCCTTGTTCCACCTTTCTCATGTAGCTGAGGGTTGAGAAGGCACGCAAAAGCATCAGATATGACGAATTTTAGAATAAGTGACGATTAATGGCTTGGACTCCCTAGGAGTATGGATTCAGAATGTCCTTGCGCGGTAAAACAATACATATCTAACGGTCCCGACCAACTGCTGGTCACAAAACAAAGAATAGTCATGATATAATTGCATTCATCCATGCCGATCTAAATATGATTGCTGTCTTGCTAGTTACCAAATAGACAGACATCGAAGTGAAGTGGTGATAATTACGACTCTGTGGATGATAGAGCTGCCCTAGACGACGATTCCCTGTTTGAGGACGGTGTGAGACCTAGTAGCTATACGATCCTTCGGAATGGCAATGTGTCAATCCTTGAACTTGAACTTGAGATTTTCGGTGGTTGAATTTTCTTGTATGGTACGCCTGGATCGTGGTTAGTATGGAAAAGAGCTGTGTCGGGGTTAGTCGTTAAGATGGTAGAACCACCAAAGGCCTCGGATAGACCAGTCGGCGAGACCTTGTCAAGTCCGGCATCCTGGCCGGTATTGCCAAAGGAGGAGGTTGTTGCCACATATGCTTTTGGCACATTCTGTGTTGCTTGTTTGGCAATGTAGCGGGGCTCGAGAGAGGCTCATACCTCGTCCTCCTCGTCTTCAGCAGCCTCCTGATCTTCCCACTCTCCGGGTTCGTCTCCCAATAGACTGACTAGCTGCAACAATGCCGCCTGTGATTGCCGCATCTGATCCGTAGGTTGGCCTGGGCCTGATCGGGCTTTCAAGATCGAACTCTCGAGTTCACCCGCCTCGGCTGGTTGTGAACTGGAGATCTCAGGGGCCAGGCTCACTGTGCGAATGGCTTTGGTGGGGAAAATTCGGGCGGGGTTCTCTTGTGGCAGCGTTGGATTACTGCCGGGGATGTTGGAGATCGATTGGCGCCAACCAAGAGTCTGTGGTTTCTGAGATTAGCCCAGGACGGTTCGTGCGAAGCACTGATGGGGAAAAGGAGAGACGGACTGTATACGTTGTCATAATCGCATCATCGCACAATACCATATAGCTGACGGGAACCGCCAGCTGTGGGGCGGAGCTGGTCAATATCGAGAACGAACCGCGCTCGGGATGGTGGACGTCTTGAATGCGGTTCTTGTTATCCAACGTGACGACATAAGCGCGATCGTGGATTTCGAACAAGATGCGGTGATCACGAACGGACAGCCAACCACCCAGATCGAAATTAGAGCCATCTGATTCACATTCTAAAAGAGAGCTGAGTATCGCAAAACTGGAGTCGTCGCGCAAGGCTTTGCGCCATTCAGAGCTTATGAAAACACGACCGGCTCGGGAAAAGCCGACAAACAGATCGCCGTCCAACATGCCAGCTCCCCATTCGTCCTCTCCATTCCGGACGTGCTCCAGGTCGCTCGGGGGCGAGAGCGGACCCTTTGCGATCTCGATAGGGACAATCACATTTCGCGGAGTTGCACTAGATGGAGGGGAGCGGATATGATATTTGTCCGTGCAGTTAGACGGCTGCAGTACACCCAAAAAGGCGCCGGACTTTTTATCATAAGCATAGTAGCCTTTCTCTCCGATCGAATAAATCACGGCATCCTCGCACTGGTCCAGATGTCCAACGGCGCCTCGCTCAATATCGAGGCGGGTGGTTAATGCAGGAGGTCGCTGGGTCATGTCATAGACAAAGCCGTGCCCTTCATTCGACACCACGCAAAGCGTCCAGTAAGACAATTGAAACCCTCTTGTCTGACAGTCGTGATTCAAGATGGCAACGCGTCGAAACTCCCCGCGAGCAGCTCCATCCATTTCAGCCTGCCAAATCTCGACGGCATCCCCCTCTCGATCGAATACCGCCATTCCATCCTGATACTCTAAATGGGCGTACGGGCGGACGGCGTCCTCGTCACAATCCTCGGTGGAGGGAAGTCGCCAAAGAATTAGACCCGAGTCCATATCGGTGACATTCAATCCACCTGCATGGGAGGTGGAGATGAAGAAGCGCCGCTTAAAGTCGGCCCGAAAGCGCCAGACCGGGGTGTTGCCAACCTGGAGCACCGATTCTTGAATGACTGGATGCCGCGCCGCCCAGTTGCGAGCAAGTAAAGTCTGTCGCTTGCATAGATCCTTCCATGATGATGTGCCATTGAAGAAATTCGTGATACTGCAGGTGTTGGAAAGGAAGGCTAGATCACAGGTGCCGCCGGGCGGTTGTGTTGTCTTGGATTCGGCGCCGTAAATAGCTTGTTGATGAGTGACGTCGATGAATTGGTGCCAAGCCTTGGAGACTGCGAGGAGGGAGGCGAGGGCCGATACGGGAGAGAATTCCAGGATACGAAGAATAATCTCTGGAGGAAGAATTGCCAATGGATCTTCTATGGACGACTTCACAGTCATGGTCTTCACTGTGGGAGGAGAGTTGAATAATGAAAGAATTGTCGAGTTGGAAGACAGTCGAAGCCCCGGAAGTCACTGGACTTGGAAGTCTCACCGCCTTCCTGCAATGGGGATGATCATCATCATCATCATCATGATTATTTTCAATCTTCAACTATCTTAAGTACTACAATCTAGGATCCTCATCGACCTATCCAACAATAGAGGCCGCAGTTCCCCGTTGAGAAAACGGGTTTCTGGGAACCAACCGCCATCAACAGCTCGTCCGAGTTTATTCCACAAAGGGTTCATTCGATGATGGAATCAATCGAGGTCGGAGATCCGGGGGCTCGTTGAAGCTTTCGTCAAAGGGCCACATGGGTCGATGGATTCGACAATGTCCAAGACGCTTCAAATCTTGATCGACCCCACCGGGAGTCAGGGCCAGTCTCCAGTCTGCCGCCATCTCGTACAGTTCAGGCTCCAGATACCCGATCTTCACCATCACGATATCTGCCGTTCGTGGCTCAAGTTTGAGCTCGGTAAAGTCAGACTCGTGGTGGTAGGGCTTTCGTAGCTTGGTGATGATGACGAAAACACTTCCGACCTGAAGAACACATTCGATGATCGCGTCCCGATCTCCGTGTTTGATGGCGTGCACCCGACCAGTCATGGCGATGGGCCCTTGGTGAATATTGTCGACTTCTGCGCCGGCAACGACCGTCACAATAGCACCGACTCCTGCTCGGACAATGGTGTCGGCTGCTTGCTGTCCCGGAATACTGGCGTACACCACCACAGGCCCATCGGCCTTTTGGAATTCAGGGCGAGCCAAGACTCGGGCGAGACTCCACGTCACGTCTCCGGCGCCTCCAGCAGTTGGATTGTCCCCGGAGTCTGAAATGTAGAAGGGACGGCGGTCTGATTCAAGTGCGACATGGATACACTCTGCCAGACTGCCCGTGGGAGCAACAAAGTGGAAAGCTTCCCGTGAATCCCAGAAATGCATTGCCAATCTTTGAGCGTTTTCAGTGACGATCTCCGCGTCCCAGCCTGTCACCATCACAACTGCGTGGTTACGAGGCTCGTCTGCCCATGCATACCCGACCCAGACTGCGGCATCTATCACGCCAGGTATGGCTTCTACCCCGGGGACAAGCGCGTAAAGACCCTTAGCGGGCTCTACCCGTGTTGATGTCTGTTCCCCTGGTAATAAAATAGGAATCTTGCACCATGCCTTCAACGGACGAGACCTCGCATCCGCTCTCGATGTCAAGATATCAACCAAGTTGCGACACGCGCGCTCTTTGGTATCCATTTCGTCCTCGTGTGGTGCCATGCGATAGCACGTGATGAGATCCGTTTGGTATGCAAGCTGCTGAGAGACATTGCCATGCAGGTCCATCGACGCTGATACAATGACGTTGGATCCAACAACTAGACGAATCCTCCGGAGAAGTTCCGCCTCCACATCCTCCAGCCCTTCGACGCACATGGCACCGTGGATGTCAAACCACAGACCATCAACAGGGCTCGACTCGCATATCTGGCCGAGTCGAGTTAGGATTTCATTTGCCAGTTCTTCAAACGCTGCCCGAGTGACAATTCCACCGGGTAAAGCATGACCGATCAAGGCACCTTTCCAGCTGGCGCTGTCCCCAAGCGGCATTCCCGGGCTCAAGAAGGCATATTTCTCGATGATCTCCCGACCGCGACGGGGGTGAAAGGCTGCTGCCAACGTCCGGGCTGGGGAGAAAGTAGACGTCTCGCAGGCCAGACCTGCGATCGCGATGACTGGGTGTTTCTGCATCGTATGTAGCTGAATGGTTTGCTTCTCTGGATTGTCAGGAGCTAAAAGAAACCCGCCTCCGGTTGTAGATATAGCGCTGCGCTATTAAGGCATGATCACAGATCAGCTCAGTAGGTCGAGGTTACATTGATTTCTTGCGAAACCTTTGAGCTCGTTGGAGTATTTGGACGTCACTTTCCCCCTCTCCCCCCACTTGCATCCAACGTCGCTTCAACCCGCCGATCGTAAGGCTCTCCAACCCCCCACTTTTCCCCACATCCAATGGTCTATAACCATTCAGGCATTTATCGTATCCTTTTTTTCTGTTCGCCAGAGTCTCCTATGTAGAACACGAGAGATAGCACAATGGTATAGAAACGGAAATTAAACAGAACAGAGCGACGTGAAACGAGAACGATCGATCATGCAACTCCTGGTACAACAGCATAACGGGAGCCATAGAAGAACGAGGTGCGCTCCACCTTTTTAACGGAACACACGGCCTAATCTCGGGAGTGGAGAAGTGTCAAGCCTCTGACTGGAATGCTTAGCAGACGATAGCAGACCAGTCTTTCCTATCACACGTCTTCCTCCCCCGCTGATCGCGGGTCGGCTAACGTACAATGGAACGCTCTTATCAACTCTTGTTCTTGTGTACTTTGTTGATCTGTGCAACCTTGATGGAACTGCGGGGAAACCAGTTCAGACATTGCAAAGAAATATATCACACTACGCTTCGCTACACCTTGCCAACTTGAAGGTATCTGGAAAAAAAAAACAGATCCCGAACGGCAAACTACGCGCCTGCCTATCCGCAGGGTGCCATTCCTAAATGCTGAAGAAGACACGTACAGGGACATGGATGCCCGCATGGGTTCCCGAGTCCACCTTCACCCTATGCGTTCTGTTGCTCATATCGTCTATTGTGCAATCTGCGGTGAGTAAATCATACAACGAGTACTTCTTTTCCATGAACACTGATGTTAGAAGACCGGTGGGTATGATGGCTCGATGTTGAACGGTCTCAACATTTTACCATCATATACTGAATACTTCAATTTAAACCCTGCAACTACCGGGCTGAATACGGCTTCTGTTTTCATTGGAGGTTTCCTCGGTCCTCTGGTATCTGGTATAATCGCAGACCGGTTAGGTCGTCGCCCAGCGATCTTCTGGGGTTCATGCATGACAATCGTCGGCATTATCCTCCAGACTGCATCGCAGAATATTGCCATGTTCGTGATTGCGCGAATCATCTTAGGTTTTGGCTCGGCCGTTACCGGTATAGCTGGTGGGGTCTATATGTCCGAAGTGTTCCCCAGTCGATGGCGCGCCTGGGGAGTGGGTTTATTGAACGACTTTTACTAGTGAGAAGGGCCTCCCTGTTGATATTTGCCGCTCATGCTAACGTCAATTTCAGCGTTGGTGCCCTCGTCGCAGCTGGTGTGACGCTTGGAACAGGGAAGTGGCAGTCCACTTGGGCCTGGCGGGCTCCCTCCCTTTTCCAAGCGATCTTCTCGGTGCTTTGCATTTTCACGCTTCCATTCATGTGAGCTTGTATACCATACGCTATATTACAGGGCATACCACTAATTATCAGTAGCCCAGAATCTCCTCGTTGGCTTGTCCATCAGGGCCTATTTGAAGAGGCTCGCTTGTCGGTAGCGCAAACAAATGCGCATGGCAACCTCTCCGATCCAATCGCTCTCGCAGTATTCAAAGAGATTGTGGACACATTGAGATGGGAGAAAGAGCATGCGCATGCTATGAGCCCGTTGGAAATATTGAAGAATCCAGTCGCTCGAAAACGACTTCTAATCGGAATGTCTCCCGGGCCCTTCTCTTGTATCGCCGGGAATATCATTGCCTCGTATTATTTCGGCTCGGAGCTGGACACAGCTGGCATTACTGATACCAACGATCAACTTAAAGCGGTAAGCTCCTTTCTCAGGACCCTGTGCTTGAGATTCCCTGCTGATGAGCTAGAACGTGGTTCTGAATGTCTGGTGCCTTGCATGCTGTCTGATCGGCACACATCTAGCTGCCAGGTGGGGGCGGAAGCCAACCGCTATGCTTTCCCAAGGGCTTCTTATTACATGTCTTTTTATCATCGGAGGTCTATCCAAATTATACGCTGCTAATCCCCAGGGGGCATCCAACAGCCTTGTGTATGGAAATGTCGCTGTCATGTTTCTCTTCCAGGGATTCTATTCCGTTGCATGGACACCACTTCTTTATCTCTATCCACCAGAGATCATGAATTATTCCATCCGTGCTAACGGTCTAGCGTTTTCATCCTTCGTCTTGAATGCATTTGCGTGAGTAAATTTAACATCTTCTTTGACCCGCTATGCTGATTTCTTGTTCAGTCTGGTTTTCACCTTCATTATGCCGATTGGTCTGGGAAACATCGGATGGAAGATGTATATGATCAATGCATCGTGGGATGTTGTGATTCTCGGCCTGATCGTACGTTTCTTTAGCGATAGTGTTAAGGGCCATACTAACTCGGTTAGGCTTATTACTGGGTGGAGACAAAGGGCAAAACCCTTGAGGAGATCGACGCGTTATTTGAAGGCGAGAAACATTCCTCGGTCCCGGACATCGAGGTTCTCCGCCGCGGCGAAAAGGTCCTTGATACCGAGTTAGTTAAGGAACAGCTCAATAGTGTTCTCGCCATTGTGAATGTTGGATAATCCACGGCCGGGCTGATTTATCGCCTGAACAAGCACATTGTTCAGACATTATTTTGCCTGCTCGGTTTGGTGGTTTGCAGAGTATGAAAGGTCGGCAGATGCACGGGGCCGTCTTGGTCTCCGTCGAGAGCATCGAATTCATTCACAGGTTGAAAACGTCTTTTTTGATTATTCATGCTATAGCATAAATTTAGTGGCCATCTCCATGCCCGTTTGACAATGTTTGATCCTGTACCTCTTGTTTCAGTTTTCTCTTTCTAGACGAGGTTGACCTATATCGTGTGGGAGGACGGGATATATATTTCCGAGGTTATAGACTCGCATGTTTCTCAAGAGGCACAGATCATCTTGATCAATTATTTAATACTAGTGTAACCTTATCAGAGCAGATAGATTCATTGTAGAACTATACATATCATACAACCCAAGGGTTCTATTGTCACAGCGTAGTCCTAGCATCCCTCCAGGAGCACCAGAGTCCAAACGATCGGCCAAAGTCGCCTCGAGCCGGAGAGTTCCCGATCACACTGGATGACTAACCGGCCCGGCTTCTTCCCGTCCCTCACCACCTGCTACGATAACCATTCCAGCTTGACTTATCCCTTGGACATAAGCTTGTCTTTCTGTTGAGAGAACGCGCTAGAAAAAGATCTTTCTTGCACTCTGAAATCTGGCCCCTACAGCTGAATTTTTTTTCCTGAAATCATACTTGAATTTCATAATGGGACCGTTGCTGGAAATTGCCTGTTTCAATGAAGAGTCGGCAGTCAATGCTGCTAATGCGGGTGCCGATAGGATCGAGTAGGTGGCCCTTATAAGAAGTCATCATGATCTAGAATCTGGGGAACTCTCTCGGCTTCTAAGCGGAGTCTTGCTACCTGCCCTTTCGGCATTGTGTGCCCAACCATTGTACTAATGGGATTACAGGCTATGCCAAGATTACCATGCTGGTGGACTCTCACCTCATCCTGCGGTCCTGCAAGCGGTGAAGACTCGGGTGTCAATCCCTGTCTACGTGATGATTCGGCCGCATTCCAAGGACTTTTGTTACGATTCTGAGGATTTCGAAACCATGAAAGCTACCCTCCAGCTTATGAACAGCCTTGGGGCGGATGGTTTTGTTTTTGGAATTCTTCACCAGGCACCAGATCACAGAAGTGCCGACCGGACCTCCTGGATTGATATCGCCAGGAATAAGGAGCTCGTACAATTAGCAGATGGAAAACCCTGTACCTTTCATCGTGCATTCGATTGTATCCCGGAGTCCGACTGGAATTCTGTCCTAGAGGACATAATAGAATGTGGCTTTGCTGCAATTCTCACCAGTGGCGGTCCTTCCAGCCTGAACGCTGTTGACTGCATGGATGGGTTAGCTGATCTTGTGAATCGCCTCAGCCTTGATTCTCAGGCGGGCCGCCGTGCCCTGGAAGTGATCGTTGGTGGAGGCGTGAGACCGAGTAATATTGGTAACTTGAGGGTAAAAACCCTGGCGACCAATTTTCATTCTAGTGGACTTTCTCCATCAAGCGAGATTGTTTCTATAACCCAAGTTCAAGATCTAAAACGTTCTCTGGAGTCTTGAACCGGCGACCAATCCGGAAACTAGCAGCAGGCCTTACGGCTCGGCAAGGCGGCCGCCACGAGAACCCTGACGCGGTCATCCGCACGGTGACAACTGTACAAGTTGTTCACGTGGGCATCGGATCGTGGAAGACATGGATCTAGCAAAGGCTGATTGTCGCCTGCCATTTCCATCTTGGTTTGCGCCATGGTGACTCGAGTTCTAGAGTACTTAGGCATCCCTCCTCTTGACTACGAATTAAAACGCAAGAATTATGAGACATACAAGCGATGGCGCCATTGGACTGTGCATTTGGCTTCTAGCTCAGCCTTACATGACTACTTTTTCAAGATCTAATGTTTGATCACTCTTCCATTCGAGCGGTCGTCCCTAGCCATATGGCAACGTGCGAGGAAAAAAGTCGTACCGATTTATCACTACGAGAACTTAGAATCCGTGTATATTAACTCGAACGGATAATAGGCATGTTATGGGTCGTGGATTTTCTATTTCAGAATCTCCCAGTTCATACATTTAAATTTGGTACAGTGCAATGTACGATTGACTGAGGCTCAGCCAACCCCGCTCTTGGCATCCGATTTCCAAACTCTCTCGTCATCCATCGAGGTAGCCCTTGTATAGAATAGAATAATAATGTCAAACTTTCAGATTTGCGCTTATTATTCGGTTCGCCTTTGTTTTCATAATGGGGGCAGTGTATAATCGCCGCTCTGGGCTCGGTTACTAATTCCGGAAACATCCTCTTTTACTCATTCCGGAAACACCATAGTTGTATGAAATATTGAACCATGGGTGCAGAAACGAGTTAGCAGTGCCACCGAGCAGACTCACAGAACTACCTTCAATCATCTAGTCTCACTAAAGGATGTATATGAATAATCTTTTTGCTATTGCACTGCTATTGCAAGCAAGGCAACAAAACTCGGATTGTAAGACATCTTGAATGAATACGAGATTCGGCAATTGCCTGCCTGCTCCCCAGGCTCAATGTCTTACTTTTTACAGTTTCGTGTTCGGCAACTTTGTCAACTTCGGTACAAACCGTACAGTTGGACCCTTAACTCGCTGTCATGTATGTAAGACCTAATCGACCCCACATTACCGGCAGAAGTCATCTATTCGTTTTTTTACCGCGAACCTCAAATATCACTACTGAGCTCGCCCAACTATGATGACCTAGTGGGTTTCTATTTACTGATAAATCCGATGCAGGACAAACATAGAAACGCCACCGGTAAATGGTATTATAACACACTCGCGGAGATCATCTAGTTATGAAACCATTAATTCATTTCCTGTATAGAACCATATCAAAGCGAAAACTTCAAGTTGGAAGCTTACTTGAAGCTCAATAAGATAGAAAGTTGGGTGTGATCTCACTGGTTAAAAAGGCGGCATATGAAATCGCCAGTAGATCGGATCGCTTTCGTCGATGTCCCTAAGTATATGCTAAATGATTGAATACGATATCCGCCTTGTTCACTGGTTCATCTACCGTTTATAATCAGTATCCAGCCAGTTACAATAGTCGTGGACAAAACTAGACATGACGTGTCTTTTGATGACCACCGCACCCGGCTGACTTCTGCTCAATTTCTATTACTCCCGACTTACTTGTGGTGGCTGTGAGGTGTTACTTCCCGGGCCCATGAATAATATTAGAGAAAATAAAAAGGCTTTTATCCCGCATCTAGGTCTCGGGGTCATAGGACGACTGAGCTGAGACTTGCTCTCTCACCTGGGCGCCGTATGAATGTACGCGTGTACTCTAATAATAGAGCTCCACGATGAGGTTTGGCGGGCTCCATTCAAGTCTCTTCTTGAGCAAACTGCCAGTGGCCAGAAGTATAAATTCCAGCACTCTCCCCTCGAAATTCTAGTATCCAAACCAGCCTTCAGTCTCTCAATCTGCAATACGCATATACCAACCGAACTCCATCACTCTCTCCAATACCTCATTGAACTCTTCTCCCTCTCCAATACCAAAAATGAAGTCCATCATTGCTGTCTGCTCCCTTTTGGTCGCATCCGTTGCTGCCGTACCACTTGAAGCTCGGACTGCTCAGTCTGTCACATTTGCACTCTCCAACGACAAGTCGGGTGCCTATGCAGGTGCCGCTTTCTCTGCCGATGGCACCGACAAAACGATCACCTCCCTCTTCGGTACATCATCTGTGGCATCGGGTGGCCATGTTTGGGCTACATCTTCCCAGCTGACGGCGTTCCCCCAAACAATCAACTGTGTTCTTAAGAACAATGGAGCTGTTCTCACCACCCTGACTGCCCAGCACACCTACTTTGATCTTGACGGAAACCCGAGTGCTGCTATTCCAGTCGATCTCACCGGCGCAGTCATCAACTGCAGCGCTTAGTTCAACCAAGCTAAATAGAGCGGGTTCAGGCCGACAACAGCCAAACTCTTGATGAGAGCCCAATTCAACCACAGGCTTTCTGGTCGTTTTAATGTAGCTACTTTTATATTTACGAATTGAATGGCAGTGAAAAACTTTCAACTGAAAATTCCAACATTGAAACACGCCAAATAATTTAGCTGAGCGGTTCTACTATTGTTCCTCGTCAGCACAATGACCTGGCGTTGGTCAAAGAAACTCCATGTAGGAAACTTGGCGCTTCTTATTTAGAGTTAGGTCATTTTGATGCAAAATCAAGTAGTATCTACCATTGCCTGGTCTTGAATACTATGGATAGGCTCTTTGAGACTCGGCGTAATATCACATATCCTACTAATGAGGGGATAAAGGTGTATCCGTTACCATTGAAGGTCATGCCTTGTCTGGGGTAATGTCCAGTCACCTCCTTCTTCAGAGCGCTTTGAACTCGTCATTACTTCAAATATTTTGTTTCCAAGATATCGAAATGCAGATGAGATGCCGCCGTGGTCATATAGCGCCTTCTCCATCGGACTCAATTGAAACTGGAACGCTTTCCCACAAATAATGAGAGCTCTTTCGTCAAAGTTGATAGAAATATCAGTCCCTTCTGTAGCAGCCTCGAAGAATTTTTCATCTTGTATGGTAATACCCAAAAGTCCTAAATTAGGCATATTTCTCTGAAAGATAAAGGCAAAAGACCTTGCGATTACGCATTGGACACCGCATCCTGCCAAAAATCTAATTAGTATGCCAAGACTTGGTCTTCCATGATTAATTAGGGTTCAAGGCTTACCCAGTAGGGCCATTACGGCTTGTTCCCGCGATGACCCACAGCCAAAACCTCTACCGGCAACCACGATGTTGAATCCGTTGGCTACACGAGCACGAAAGTCCGGATGGGTATGCTCTAGACAGTGCATTCCGCTGGTCTTGTTATCTCTCATGCTCATAAGAAAGTCGGCAGGCGCAAGCTTAGTTTGATCCATTAGTATTGAAACGCCCAAGTAAATCATATTGAAATGGAATTTCTATACCGCATCAGTGTCAACAAAGTCGCCAAGCGTGAGGACCTTGCCAGTCAGAATAGATGTTGCGGCATTCTCTAATGCGGGATGACCCACATCAGCGGAGTCTTGTACTCCTTGTGGTTCTATCAATGATGAATCATGGCCGCCACGGGGTTCCATATATTGGGGCCAATCAAGAATTTGTTCTTCTTCACTTGATTTCAAGCCTCTGAGATTATTCCAGATTTCAAGGTCAATTGCCGCCAGCAACTCGTGGGGATCTGTGACTTTCATGCTGAAGGAAGATGCTGCTACTGTCGCGGCAGAGGCAAGATGCCCAATCGAGCCTAGTTAGTCAGCCAGGTACAGTTAGTTACAATTTCAAAGCCGAGCTATTCTTACCTTTTCCCATCCTGTTTTCGAAATTTCGGTTTTGCGATGATAGCCAAACCTCCCCAGGTCTGGCCTGATCTGCCGACATGCCCACACAGTAGCTACACCCAGGAATACCAATCTCGAAACCAGCATTCTCATAGATATCAATGAGTCCCAGTCTACGGAGTTTGTGGAGGATTGGCAATGAGCCTGGAACGACCTTCCTCAAACCCCCCTTCTCTGGTCTTTGCCCCTCTTTCAGCCCTTGCTCTAGAACGAGCGCACCGAGAATCAGATCCTCTTCTGCCGTAGTACAAGCGCCGATGAAGCAGCCATCCAGTTTCAGTCCCTCGTGATCCTGGACAGGAACAACGTCGTCGGGCTTGGGATATCTAGCCAAAAATGATCTCACGTTTGCTAAATCAATCTCATATATAGCAGCATACACTGCGTCATCGTCGGGCTTGAAATATGTCGTAAGATTCTTGTGTCGTGCCAAATGTCGTTTTTGGATGAACTCGTGGGTAATTTGATCTGGCGCGAAGATACCAGTAACTCCACCAAATTCCTGCAGTAAACGTATGGATTAAATCTTCCGCCACCAGTCTCGGCATCTTCTAGCTCGCATACCGTAGTCATGTTGCAAATTGCGAACCTAGCATCTGCAGAAAGGTGTTTGACAGCAGGACCAGTGAACTCGACTATTCGATCCGAGGCGACAGTGTTTCGTTTCAGCTGCTGTAGAATATAAAGGATCACATCCTTGCCTCCAATTCCAGGTCCTGGGGCCCCTACAAGGCAAACGTTAATACATTCTGGGACTTTAAACCATGTTTCTCCCGTTACTAGTGGCAAGGTAACGTCCGCAGCACCCAACCCGATGGCAAGACATCCCAAGGCACCAGATGAGCATGTGTGCGAGTCCGACCCAACGATTACCATGCCAGGCTGCGCACGTTCTCTGTAGAACTCGGTGTGGAGAATGGTATACTAGAAAATAATTTAGTGATGTTGATCTGGGATGGATATTATCAAGCTGGAGTGCACACATTCATGCCTTGGTAATCCGTCATCTTAAAGACCTTCTTCGCACGTTCACTTGCGTCAATCAGCGCCTGCACCTTTGGCAGTTTATTGACCCTAGGATCCACAACATGATCTCCGGCAAGCCAGAATCGGTCATTACGGAATATTCCCGGTTTACCGAGACTATCATACGTTCTCTCCATTCCCTAGTAGAGATGTCAGATCAAAATTATGGCTCGGAAAAGGAAAGATCCCCGCTTACAGCCCAGGATGCCTCGGATGCAATGACCCAGTCCACATGAACTCGAATCAGCTCCCCGGGGATAACGAAGCCTTTACCTCCCATGTCATGCATAGCGAATATCTTCTCACTAAGTGTCATTCCCCGTCGGCCTACTGGGCGGCGTGGTATGGGTTCCGGCAAACTTTTTGCACGATCTGCTGAATTCAGCGCCTCTAGCCACGCAGATGACAAGAAAAGAATCTCAGATTCTTGTACTGAGCTGAGCTGGCAAACTTCAGATATCTCTAAGCCGCCCAACTCTCGAGGCTGGCAAGATATCTCAAGTACATCCTTCAAGGCGTTTGCCTCCCGGGTCTTCTCTAACTCTTGTAACAGCTCAGTCGTCACCATAAGTGCTTCTAAGACAGTTTGATCCCTATTCAGAATCTCTAAGAATTTTGTCAGGCCACATCCCTACAATCTGGAGCTTCAGCAACGAAAATTTAATGCTTGCCATTTGGAATGATCAAGGAAATATTTCTTGACTGATGAAGAATATCAACCAATCGAGCAACAGGGTTCTCTCGAGGTGAAGGCATTTTTTTCGATTCCGGTTCACTCCAGTCAGTGTTTCCTAGAATTGCAGTTCTCACCCCAGGAGAAATCCTTCTCTTTTTATAATCAATTTATTTAAAAGCCTGGTTTCTAAAATCCGATATCACGTCGGGCCGTGAACGGGCCGAAAACGGCCCGGCGGTGCGGTAGAGCCCTCAGTACATTAAATCGCCGTCGTTTTCAATGAAGAAACCTATCGAATTTTCCTTCTGGGTCTGACAAGCGTGACACTTTCTTTCATAAACCATCCGATTTCTCTTGAAATATTCCAAACTAGAGACCCCTTACCAAGGTTGGCCAAAGGAGTCCCGCAATATGGTAGCTTCCAATGCAGCTTCGAGACTACGACAGAGTTTGGCTGATGAGGTTAACATCGCTGTATGTCCTGGAGTATATGATGGCCTCACCGCACGTATAGCCCTGTCATTTGGATTTGATGCGCTGTACATGGTAAGTTTGGGCATCTCTCTCTTTAGTAATGAAAGCAATGTGTCTCATGGAATCCGTTCTTTAGACTGGGGCAGGAACCACTGCGTCACGTCTTGGACAGCCTGATCTCGGAGTGATCACTTTGACAGAGATGCGTGAGACTGCTCAAATGATAGCCAGTCTTGACCACTCTATTCCTCTCACCGCGGATGCTGATACTGGATTTGGCGGTAAGTCACGGTCCATTGCGAGGTGAATACTACAAATCAAGAAGTAACTTTTGTAAGGTATTTCAGGCTCGTTGATGGTCCATCGCACCGTTACCGAGTATATCCGCTCGGGGGTTGCTGCTCTCCATCTTGAGGACCAGCCAACATCTAAGCGGTGTGGGCACCTTCTACATAAACAGCTTGTCAGCGTGGACGAGTTCTTGTCACGCATCAAGGCAGCAGTAAATGCTCGTCAATCATCCGGTAATGACATCGTACTAATTGCTCGAACCGACGCACTTGCAACCCTTGGATACGACCAGGCCATCTCACGCCTAAAGTCTGCGGTAGCTCTAGGTGCAGATGTCGCTTTTCTTGAAGGCATTACCTCCAAAGAGCAAGCAAAACAGGCATGTGAAGATCTCAGCCCCACGCCAGTGCTTTTCAATGCAGTAACAGGGGGTGTCTCACCCGATCTGTCAGTTGAAGAAGCGCGGGATTTAGGTTTCAGAATGATCATCTTTCCCGGATTTGCAATTGGCCCGGTATATAGCGGACTCAATGAAGCGGCAAAGAATTTGAAGGAGGGTGGGAGGTTGATCACTTCCGGGATAGGGGGCCCAAAGGACTTCTTCAATATTGTTGGCCTTAAAGCCGCCATGGCCATCGATGCGGCATCTAGAGAGAACTTATTTCAGGACGGTGTTTGATTCGACTGTGAATTTCGTCTATTTATCGCACTTTATCATGGCTTGCCATAATTCTTGGATTCTCTTAGTAAAATTATGTACTCCTTGCCTGTTAAGGGAGTCCGATAATCTGATAGTGTCGTGGTTCAAGCTTTCAGAAGGGTACTTCCCGTATGTTAATCCAGTACAAATTCATATTGAATTGCAATCATACACACTTTAATATCGTGATATTTTGTTATGACTTTTTTTTCCTTCCATTTATGCAATGGCTAATATGCGGCGTATCACGTGAAGACGCGCTTGATCCCAGGCAGGAGATCTCAACAACTCGATGTGTGCGACCAAGGGATACTAGGGATACTACTAAAGAATCCACCAAATCACTCCATCGTAGATAAAATCGACCAGAAATTCCACTCATAAAATTCGCGAGGCTTAAATAGGATTTTGACAATTAACATGAGGAGACAACGAGACTGTTCAGTCACCTCACCGCAGTCGACAAGCCATCGGAAGCGGCGGATTGCATGTCGGCAATGTCGACAAGCAAAGGTGAGAAACCATTCAGCACATTCGTGGTTTTATATTCCAAAGCATTTAATATATTCTCCGAGATACCTAACTCCATCATCTGGCAGATCCGGTGCGAACTGTCTTCTGGAGGTACAATTCCCTGCTCCAGATGTCACCAAGCCGGGCAAGAGTGCGAAATCACAACAGATTTCAAAAGGGTCAACAAAAGAGCGCAAGTCGCCCCTGATGGACCCGTTGTCTTCATTTTCATATATCTCATTATTTCATTCAGGAGACTCGAGGAGCTTGAAGACGAAGTCCGCCAACTCCGTTCCTCCGTTTCCGGCCACCGTCTCACCACGCCTCCGCAACAAACAGCTAGCAAGACGCCATCAGCGGAAATCCCATCAATGGATGCAGTGGCTCCTGTCAAGTTCCATTTGCCTTCCGACCATCAAATTTCGAATGTTCGCCTTCCAGGTCAAGGGTCATATCCCTGTCGGGATTCTGAGTTGCGAACATCTCCAAGATCGTTGGGTCACGTACGACTAGAAATGGGACAAATCGAGGACCTTTTCAGTCTGTACGTTTCATAATACTATATGCATCATTGAACTCATTTGGCTAACAGTCACTAAGTTTTTTCTCTCGATTCCACTGTTTTGCCATGCTGTTAGATACTTCTCTCTCTCCGGATCATTACTATGAACAGGGCTCTCTCCTCTTTTGGGTGATTATCTACATTGCCTCACGCCAATACACCGTCGATTCAAGTTTGTCAATTTCTTTGGTTCCATTGGTCAAGCAATTGTTGTGGGAAACGATCCAGAGTCCTCCCCATACTTGGTATAATGTGCAGGCAATATCATTAATGTGTATGTGGCCATTCCCAATCTCATCTTTGTCGACAGACACCACCCCTATGTTGGTCAATATCGCGCAAACAATTGCTATGCAACTTGGGTTAGATCAGCCCGAGTCCATCCAGGACTTTTCTCGTACGAAGAGGAAATTGACCTTGGTGGAACTTTCCGAGGCAGCGAAAATGTGGTGTATGTGCTATATCGCATCTCAAAGGTACATCAGTTATATTCTGCTATTGTATGTAGCCTGCTCATCATTGACGTATTTCAGTATCTCTTCAACCTACGGTATGCTACCGGTATCTTCAAACGGCATGGTGGATCTCATTTGCGACGAAGAGAGCGCGTATGATATCCCCATAGAGATGAAACATCAACTCTTGATTGCCAGGTTTTCAGCGCGGACCAATAAATACATGTCCAGGAGTATGCCCTTTTTACGCGAGAGAACCTGCTCCAAAGAAACCAGTGGTATTCTTGGTTTGTTGGAACAGGAATACAGCGATCTATGTCGCGGTCTCGGCCAAGCACTAACAGGTACGGAATTTCAAGTGTAGTCAACCTATGTCACGCGTGTCTACTCCTATTTTCTCACTATTTAACTAGCCGAAACCGAGATTTTGTTAATTGGGACCGGAATACAGCTCTACGTATTCTATCTTTTGGATACTGGACAGTCATTGGCTCGCAAGATCGGTCTTTTGGGCGCGTTTGACTTCGCAAAATCACTTATCAATAAACTCCAGCAACTTGATGCCACAGCAGATATCATCAAGTACTCCCCATTCTCCTATTTTCGAATGGCCACTCTGGCTGCCTTATTCATTCTTAGACTTGAAGATTCCAGCTTTGTCGGCCTTGTCGACGTAGATGGTGGGAAACAAGCATTCAATACTGCTTTAATGCTACTCCGACGTGCCTCTCTGGAAGACAATGATCTTCCAGGGCGAACATCTAAGATCTTGGTCGAGCTTTGGAGTGCCCAGGCCGCTCACGGCAGAGTGGTGAAGAGCCTCGATTGAAGCTGAGAACCCGCCTCGCCGCTAGTCTTCTACATGATCAACTTTGGTCGTGGAGAGAAAAGTTTGGTGGCCAAGCTGCGGACACCCCACCCAATGGTAATCCTACTCTCTCTCTCTCTCTCTGTCAAACACACACATATATTATTTCTCTTGCTCTGGGGGCTTCTGCTAATGGGTGTTACGTGCATGCAGACAGTCAAAACAAGCATACGCTTAGGAGTCCCCTTTAGTCCCCGAAAATTCTGCAACTATCGTCTCTAACTCCGCGATCGACCAATTCCCATTTCAAGAGATCTTTGATATGGGGCTTCTATCTCTACTTCCCTTCGACTTGGAAAGTGAACTGCCAGAATCAAATTATCCTGACACTTTCTCAACTCCGGCATGACGTTAACAAGACATTTTCGCCGACTGTCAATGGGATCAGTGGAGCTGTATATTTTTAACATGATGACCTGGCTGGCGTAAACTGTAGTACTGCAGTACAAAGAATATTGACCGATATATTCTTTTCTTTTCTGCGTTCTCATTGTTGCTCAGTGGACCTTTGGACCCGTTGGAAATGTAGGTGAAAATTTGGAGTCAAGATGGCATCTCTATTTATTGCACTGTACTTTTATCAAAACTCCACTTTCTTTGGTTTCTGCCTTCTGCCTGAGGCGGCAACCTTCTTGAATCTTAACAGACAACTTCAGTACTTCTTCTTCTCAACAGTCAAGACTTCTTCACCATTCTGGTCTCGACCTTGTGCATTGATATTATTACTTGCTTTGCGCCATTCCAAATTCATGCATGATCGCCATTCGTCCACAGGGCATAATCCAGACTACGCGTGATACGGTCCACCTGTGGGCCAACCTGTGGGCCAACCTAGGGCAACCCTTGAACATCCGTCTACGTCCCGCACGGCTGGTGACTTGGTCGCGGGGCTTCGGATGTGATTTTCCAACTAAGTTAGCGTGGGCGGGCTTGGACCACACTAACTATCTCGTGGCGCCCAATCTGATCTCTGTGCGGGGGTGACACTCCCCTGAGTTTCTTCAACCCTCTGCAATGGTGAATGGGCCAAAGAGGAGAGAGGTCAGCAAAGCTAGAAACCACAGCCAGCAGACGCCAGTCAGCAAGCCTTCTTCATGCCCACGCCTTCGTACCGTAGGAGGCGCAACCGTCCACTGTTGTCAGAAATGGCAAAGCCCAAACACTTTCTTATCTCATACATACTCCAGATAGCCTCGGCAGTGTTGCTTGTCCAAAGCTTGGCCTTCACATCATTCCCGTGGCTTGCCAGAGACGCTTTTAGCCCCGGCGCCACAGTAACATTGCATCGGCTTCGCTTATCAAAGGCCTCTCGCGTTATTCTAAAATAAATTGGCCGATCGTTGCCCAGTTGGCCCCGGTTCATTTGGACGTGGTCATTCTCCGCTAGATTGTGCCATTTCGGGCTTCCCTTTGTCGTGATTCTCAAATTGAGGACTGCCTTATGGCAATTATACTCCTGGAACCCCCGTCGGACATCCGCCATATCTTAAAGACAGGTCCCATCGCTCGATAAAATCGCGGCGCTAAATAAAAGTTCCGTTTGGCTAGCCCAACGTGCCTTGACGAATGTGGGGGTTTAACCTTGTCGGCACTACTCGAAATTCCAGATATTTTGTCATTGGTGGGTTCTGTCCGATAACTGCCTTACATGTGCTGGGGTATGCATTGCCAATGGTGGTCCTGAGTCTATTCATCCTCTTCCTTGACATTCCTGATAGATGCGCATCGCAGTGTCCACGGGATGTTCAGTTCACCCACTTTCTACCGGGTTGCCCTTTAACGTATGGCTTGACTAAAGTATTCTCTGATCATTTGATCGTTGAAGAGCACGCAATCTATAATTTTTGACTCTCCAAAGCGATCTTGTCGAGAGTGGTCCAATCTGGTGCTATCGCAGTGACCCCTCCATGTGAGCTAGTGTTGACGGATACATTTTGCATCGAACTCTGCAGACTACTGTACGATATAGTACCCAAACTAGTCTGCTAGAACCATCGGTCTCCGACGGCGTGACGATACTCATCACGTAGGCCTGAGTCTTTCATCTTCCGCTAACCTATGGTCTCGCTCTATGGGCGATGATGTTGCATCGGGCTGATAGTCGCATGGCGCCAGCATTGCCAGCAGTGCGCTCGAAATGAGAATCATGCTGACCACTATCCGGCCAATCTATCCTGTATCAATGTTATCAAAGCCTGGAAGTGCTGCCATGTCAGGCATATAAAATCAAGGTCCTCTTCTGCTCCATTTCTCTTTCTCCTTCATCGTCTCACAGCCTTCCTCCTGATCTTTGATCCTCAGAAACTACTTCTCTCCATCTGATTTCCTGCTGTCGCAGCAAGTTTCCACCATGAAATTCTCTACTGGCATTATGGGTACCTCGCTCCTTGCGACTGTCGCCATTGCGGCACCCCTGACTGCTCAGCGCCAGGCAAGAAACGAGGCTCGTCGCCTTGCTCGCTCCAGCGGCCGCGCAAGCCACCCACCGTATAAGCCTGGTACCAATGAGATTCTTCACCTGAACAAGACCTCGCATGAGGAATACAGCTCTAACTGGGCCGGTGCTGTTCTCATCGGCACTGGCTATACCGCTGTTACCGCGGAATTCACCGTTCCCACTCCCAAGGAGCCGTCTGGGGGTTCCTCTAGCACTCAATATTGTGCCTCCGCATGGGTCGGCATTGATGGAGATACTTGCGGCACTGCAATCCTGCAGACCGGAGTAGACTTCTGCGTGAAGGGGAGCTCCGTTTCCTATGACGCTTGGTATGAGTGGTATCCCGATTATGCCTACGATTTCAGTGGCATCACCATCGCCGCTGGAAACGTGATCAAGGTGACCGTTGATGCAACTTCTACGACTGCTGGCACCGCTACTGTTGAGAACGTCTCTACCGGAAAGTCCGTGACCCACACTTTCAGCGGTGGTGTTGACGGTACTCTCTGCGAGTATAATGCCGAGTGGATTGTCGAGGACTTCGAGGAAAATGACTCCCTTGTTCCATTTGCCAACTTTGGCACCGTGACTTTCTCAAGTGCTGAGGCCACCGATGGCAGCTCTACCGTTGGTCCATCCGGTGCTACCATCATTGATATCGAGCAAAGCAGCAAGGTCCTCACCTCCAGCTCTGTTACCTCCAACAGCGTGACCGTGGAGTACGTCTAGGTTCAGATTTTTGTCGAGTTCGAGATGTGTTGAAAGCCGAGGAAAGAGGAATTGCACTATGAATTGCTGTGGTGGTGAAGGTGGAGAATTTGTTGACGAGAAGAGGCATTTCGGACAGCGACAGCTAGCCCGCTCTCCTTTTCCCCATCTGCTAGTCGAAAGTTGTACATAGGGCCAGAATGCATATAATCTTCGAGTGGAGTTTCCTATTCCTGCCTTGGGGTTACTCAAGCTCAGCAAGCTCGCCACGAAGAGAAATTCACTTGGAGTAGCAAATTCCTGTCTCTATCAACAACCATATGACTAGTCTGATTTGGTCGAGATCCTAAAAAGCAATATTCGGACAAAGGCGGAGGGAATGTGACTGTTATTCTGAGGATTTACTATAGGCAATGATTAATATTGTTCGCTGTCATTTAATGCTTGGACACATTACATCTCTCAGCTTGTGGGCGTAATCCTTCATTTAAATTTACCCATTCAGAAAGTAGAACAGTATTTTGAGTTATTTTGAAGACACAGAGATACACTTAAATTCAAAGCCTCTGACCTTTCATTTGCCACCTTCATTCACAGATAATCTTACATGCCCTTTCGGGAGGTACAGATTCGCAGAATCGTGCGACAACATCTCCGATCCTCCTATCACGGGTGGTTGTGGCACAGTATTGGCCCTTAGTCTTTCTTTGGTGTGTCAAATGCTCTTATATTCAAACATGCTGGCTGGGTCTCTCAATCGCTCACACCCTGTCAGAAGACGGCAACTAACTGAGGGTGCAGACTCTTCGAAAATTTCGAACTCACTTAGCATCCTCTGCTCTCCCTGACGATGTTCAAATTATCATTACCCCGGTTTCTTATCTTCGCACATTTTTGGCCCGTATGGCCGGTATATTTCGTTCTCTGTCTATCGGACGTGTCATCGGCTATCAAGTTAAGATTTGATTCTGCCGATGTTATTGTCCGAGATATCGCTGTCGTGGGCGGAGGGGCAAGTGGGACATACGCTGCCATTCGGTTGCAACAAGACTTTAATAAGTCTGTTGTGGTGGTGGAGAGAGAAAAAACTTTGGGAGGGCATACGCATACATACCATGATCCTGTTACTTCATCAACTATCGAACTCGGTGTTGTGGCTTTTCACGACCTACCTTTGGTACACGACTTCTTCTCTCGCTTTGATATACCTTTAACGAAATTGTTTTTCAACTCAAGCCTTCCAAGTGTTGATTTCCATACCGGTCAGCCGGTTTACGTGCCTGCTAGTCTAAACGCAACAGAGGGAACATTCGCAAGATGGAACCGGAATTTAATGCGATTTCCCAACCTCAATGAGGGCTACAACTTCCCATTGCCGGTACCAGATGACATTTGGCGCCCATTTAGTCAGTTTGCACACATTCATAATCTGACTGCTATCATTCCATATATCTGGACAATCGATCAAGGAATCGGAGATATTCTGAATCTACCAACATTATATGTTATGAAAAGCTTCGGACCACAGATGTTGCGCAGTTTATCAAGAGGCTTTCTAGCAACTGTCAGGCAAAACAACCACGAGGTATACGACAAAGCACTAGTGCATCTACAGGAGACTAAAAGCGTGCTCCTTAACAGCTCAATTTTGGACATGGACCGGGATGCTCCCGGACCGTATGGACATGCTATCATCGCCACACCCTCTGGCCACAAGCTCGTCCGGGTCAAACAATTCCTTTTTACCCTTCCTCCAACATTGGATGTCTTGACTGGTTTCGATCTAGACCACGAAGAAACTTTGTCATTTTCTTGTTTCGAACGTATGGACTACTTTAGCGGTCTTCTTCGGAATACACCTATCCCTCAAAATGCAACTTTTTCTAACAAAGCCACAAACCCGGACACATATTATCTCCCACGTTTACCAACCACATATACTCTGGGCCCAACAAATGCTCAATCCTCCCTTACGAATGTCAAGTTCGGCAGTAATATCTCCATGTCCGTTGAGCAGGTTCAAAGTCAGATCATCGATGAGACGGGTCAAGTTATTCCTGGGAAACCTGCACGGTTCGAAGCATTCGTCAATCACGGACCTTACGCGCTCCGTGTTTCACCAGAATTGATTCGCAGTGGGTTTTACCAAAGGCTGAACAACCTTCAAGGTCGTCGCCGCTCCTTTTGGACTGGTGCTGCCTGGCATACTCACGATAGCAGTCTGCTGTGGAATTTCACCGAAACAATAATCTCTAAGATGCAGCAGGATTGGATTTGAGTATTGTGATATTTGAAAGTGATATATGTGGAAGTGCAAGCGATGAATTTCAGATAGTCTCACGGAGTCCGGATTTCACCATCTGTTAGCCATCAAGGTCTGATGTATTCGTTACAAAAAGGCCCTCGGAATCATGCACGATGGGAATTGCACATTTGAATTTGTGGCTATGAATCAAGATGCACATGTGGTATCATTATGTCCAATACCAATTGAATTCCCCGTCAATGTACATTGTTACTGTTTGCAAGATGTCCTGAGAACAAAATATCTCGGCCGGGGTCATCCGGCAAATGGATACCGTAGAAGCGAGAAAACACGTCTTGTATCACGTGGTAACAAGCCCCGAATCGGAGCACTCTCAGATCGTTGAAATTGATCATTGTCGAGGAAGGGCGCGGATGGGAATACTTCTGCCGTCCATAGTCGATAATAATATTCGCTGCCGCTTTGATCTCAGGCTCAATTTCTTCTACGGTTACTTTCGTTCCCGTGCCCGTAAGATTAGCCGAAGAACCGAGGAGTGGAAGCTCTTCATTGCTTGCAAGCTTAGACAACTCCTCTTGGAACTTTCCTCCATTCACAAGCATAGCCATAGTTCCTCCGACGGAACTCTGATTGAGTAGATATTCAGGGATCTTCTTGATTATTGGATGATCGGGATGGTATGAGGCGACGACTCCAAGGGGTAGATCTAGGTCGACTGTCAACCGTCTAACCATCTCTGCCCCTCGTGCAGGAAGATTGTGAATATCCTTATGAAGGTCATAATTGCCGATCATAGCGTGCCGTTTATGCGGTTGGCGCTTTTTTGCGTTAAAGATGCGACAGAGTGCCTCCGGATCAGTGGCAACAATTCCGTATCCAACATTGCTAGGAATGATAGCAATTCCGCCATCTTTCAGGACTTTAAGAACCCTTTGCGCATCATCCTTTGGTGATATATCTTGAGTGGGATATCTCTCGATGCCTGTGGTGAACGATTCCATGAGGAAGCTCAAATGGTAACTATATCTATTGTGATAAATAAAAGCAATGATCAGTCTGGCTCGGCAAAGAGATGGGTTGCCCGCCCTTTTACAAGATAGTTAGGTCTGCTGGAGTTGAAAACATATTTAGGAATGGAAAACAGATAGTTCTCGAAATTATACACGAGTAATGTGCTTTGTGGGTACAGAGCTAAGCCCATGTCCAAAAAGTGCCCAGCCAGATTGAACAGTCACTGCCCAAATGCATGGGCACATAATCGCAAAATACTCCGACTACTCAATCTTCACAAGTGCAACATTTGACCGAAACTCACCGCGGTTTGCCCCTGAGAAATCCGCTAATTGGGACGCAGTCACGCTAGCGAGTGGCTCCTTCCAGATAGCATGCCAAATGCCTTTTGTAACAATGGAGTAGTCATGACCTTCTTGGAAATGTATCCCACGTAGCTCAACCATATTGTCCAGGACTTGGCCTCCAGCAACTTCGATCAAGTCTTCTGCCGAAGCTGGAAGCTTTCGGGACATTTTGAGCACATCTAAGGCTAGAAGCGTTCCATCGGCTGTATCACAAACTTCGAAGACTCCCGACACTGCGGCATGGGCATCGAACGGAGTTCCCCATTTCAGAAATGTCACAGGGTCACTCCCAGTGTTATGGACAGAAACTTTGACTGGGATGGTAAGAGAAGGTTGTGCGTGGAGAATCGGCAATTGGGATGCCAGGGTGACTTGAAGGCCGAGGCTTGGTTGCATCTCATCAAGAAGGACAGATAAATGGGGAGTAATTGATTTTCTGAAGTAATTGCTTTCTTCCCGCTCGTTGCGATAAAACATGCGGATGGCATGTCAGCCTTTTATATCCGACGCAGCTTCATCTAGCCACGCATTCTTCGTAGTTTGATAATCTTTGTTCTGGGTCTGGGCATTTTGCCTAGAGGGATATACATCCATTTCGGGTGTTGCCAAACCCGTCGATTTCCCCGGGGCTCCATCGCGTGCTTTCCGGTACTTCCATGCTTTCATCCAATGAGAGACAAATGCTATATGCCAAGCTCTGCAGGGGGATATAATTCTAGCTGAGTTGCCGGAGCTGCGTGTAACCCTCCCCTCCAGACTTGGCATGCTTTCTTATCAGGCAGCAAGTCCTGAGTTACAGATCAAACTGCACGACGGAATGCCGAGGGAATTCTCGAAATACACCTCCAGTGAGCACTTTTGAATGGCTAGAACTATGCGGATGGTCTGCAGTAACGACATGAGAAAGTCTTGGGCAAGTCTTGGGTGGTATCTTGGCGTCGGAGTCCGGAGATGATGCAGGGTCCGGCGGCTTGGCAAGCCTCCCACCGAAGGAAACGAGGCTATTGGGTAGCCTCCGTCTGATATTGGGAGGGTGGAGGCCAATCAGAAACAATAGACACCCTCTGTCGATCTTGCAGACTAGATCTATTATGCATAATGCGGGCTGGCGTCTAACCCCATCTATGTTTCGGCCTACTTCAAATTGATCACGGGCTGTTACATCGTGGGTTTGGTTCTCACGAGGCTAGATATCACACCAATCAAATGAACAGACAGCTATTTTCCCCTCAAGAATCAAGTGTCTTCAGGGTCCAGAGTAGACAACCCTCGACTACCAGAGAATGGTGACGAAAACGGGCCTCCGCCGGGCCAAGGCAATACAGCGGGCATCAACACCAAGTGATCTTCATAGAATAAACCGATATCGTGAGATGTCGATGACAAGTGACGAGATAACGTAGAGGGCTTTCACCATCACGTATGCAAGGCGAACAATGTGATCAATTTTGGGAAGATACTACCTTCTTTCTTGAGATATTCGCGCTGGCGATCACTCCAGAGAGCAACCAGCATGAGGGTTTCAGGAGAGCGGGGGCGATCTCGTTGAGAAGACCTGATAGAAAGGTCGCAGAAATCTATAAATCAGAGCATCTTGCCCGCCATAATGTGATGTTAAAAGATCAACAGCACGACAATCGAGGTTAATCTCTTAAAAAGACGACAAAGCCAAATACTTGCATTTCGCAGTATCCAATATGCGTTTCACTGTTTTCTCCGCCGCTATATTGGCCCTCGCGCAACATGCCTGCGCCTTGCCGGTCGAGACCGAGCAAGCATCGGGTTTGGACGTTACCTTGAGCCAAGTCAGCGATACTCGCATCAAAGCAGTCGTGAAGAACACTGGCAACGAAGACGTTACCTTTGTGCACCTCAACTTCTTCCGCGACAGTGCCCCAGTGAAGAAGGTTGCAGTCTATAAAGATGGTATCACTTATTGACATCCCATGTACCGTTTCCCACGTGGACTAATGGCATTTTAGACGACGAGGTCACTTTCGAAGGTATCAAGCGTAGATTCAAGCTTCAGGGTCTGACCTCCGAAGCTCTCACGACACTGGCTGCGGGAGAGACTCTGGAGGACGAGTTCGACATTGCGGCAACCAGCGATCTGTCGCACGGCGGCCTAGTAGTGTTGCGTTCTAGCGGCCTGGTGCCTTTGGTAAACGAGGGAGCCGTCTCCGGCTACCTGCCGTACCACTCGAACGACCTCGAGATTGAAGTCGATGCAGTGAAGGCCGCCCGTGTGAACAAAGCTGTCAAGTCGCTTAACCGTCGCACTCAGGAGAGCTGCAGCAACACGAGCCGCAAGTCGGCTCTCGAAAAGGCCCTTCGCAACGCTGCCTCCCTGGCAACGGCAGCAGCTCAGGCAGCCCAATCTGGATCCGCATCCAAGTTTTCCGAATATTTCAAGACCACCGATAGTTCGACCCGTCAGCTTGTGGCGGCTCGGCTAAATGCTGTCGCCAAGGAGGCTCAGTCAACCACCTCGGGGGGCACCAAATACTATTGCACTGATGTGCTGGGGTACTGTGAGACCAACGTGCTGGCCTACACGCTGCCCTCTCAGAATGTCATTGCCAACTGTGACATTTACTATTCCGAGCTGCCGGCCTTGGCGAGCAGCTGTCACAGCCAGGACCAGGCGACCACCAGCCTGCACGAGTTCACTCATGCTCCGGCCGTTTACAGCCCCGGCACTGATGATCTGGGTTACGGATACGCCGCGGCGACAGCCCTCAGCACCAGTGACGCCCTCAACAATGCAGATACTTATGCCTTGTATGCCAACGGTAAGTCCATTCTCCATCCTTTCTTGTCCCCATATCTCCCAAAAATTGTCGGAGACTGATTCAAGGGATAGCGATCAACCTGGGCTGCTAAGCTGGGTTCGCTAGTCAGGCAGCGGATGACTGGCAGAATATGGAGGAGACCGTGGGATATGTAGAACGCGGAAGGTCTAGAACCACGCGATATGGATTGAATCAGGATCAATTGAGGATCATGAGCAGAACTGACTTGTTGAACATGACGCTTGATTATCCAAGTATATAAATGCTTTCGTCTGCAGTACTGTCAATATGAAGAGGAATTTCAATTGGTCCTACTATTTCGGCTGTAATCCAGTTTGAGATTGAAGGATACGTAGACATCAATGGCGTCGGTCGAGAGAGCGTTGTCGATATAACAGGTGTCGACTGTCTATCAAGAGGAGGGCAGTTTTCATGCAGCGGATGAGCCTAGGTTGTGATTTCATCGTAGATCGATGACATATGACGCATTACTTTCGGTCCAAGATATATAGCCAATGGAAAACCTCGGGAGTATAAGCAGAGGTAGACACTGGCCCAGCAGGTGCTTTCACAGGAATGCGCGATCGCAGCGACCAATATTTGTCGAGAATTGGGCGTTTGTCAAATCGTAAGCTCGAGTATGACAAAACAACCCACGTAGTGTCCTTCCGGCTCAATGGGACGAGATGCAAAGCAAGCAAATCCACCGGTGACAGAGCGGTGGAGGACTGTTGAGAGAGAATATCTTTAACCAGCGGACATACACGCGACATGTCATCAGTCGCGGTAAAGATTTGATCGTCAAAAGTCGCGATCGCGTCGCTCGTACTTTTGTCAAAAATCACGTCAAACGGTGCAAATTGAGTCACGCCGGAAACGTCATCCCATGAGAGCAGGTCAGCACGGTACCAAGTCATGGCCTGGTCGCGAGGTACCTGGCTCTCGGCCTCTTGGCCAAGACGAACAGCTTCGGTGGAAAAATCCACATTCTGTATAGAAAAAGAATCAGTCAATACGGGCGCAGTGAATAGGACTTGTTTCGATGGTCTTTTCAACTAACCACAATACCGCGCGCTTTCCACTGGCGCTGGACACAAGCACGTCGCAGTTTCAGGCCTAGCTTCGACACTCCGGGCCCGAGGTGCAGGACGCGTGGCGTTTGAGCATCGAAGCTAGAACGGTGCTCCAAGTCCGCCAAGACAGCGTCAATCAAAGCTTCGCCGGAATTCAGCCATTCGCCGACATCCTGGCCGGTCGCGAATCTGGCATCCCAAAAGTGGGGATTGTCATAGTCCGGGGCGCCAGTAACCCTAGTGTGAGTTCTGTGGCTTGCCATTTACTCGGGCGAGGGAGAGAGCAAGGGGGAAAATCTCCCGTGTGCCCATGAATTTCCCACGATTTGCTTGACGTCATGTGACATGGATCAATTATTTCGGCTGAATATCAACTGGTCAATAGGCCATTCTCTAAATTCCGGGTTGCTAATTTATTGAATCTCTTGTAAAAATTATCTATTGTTATTTCCACTCAGAGAAACTTTACATAGGTATCATAATTTATGTTCTGCATATGTCCAGAGCCCCTACTTCCTGAAATTCACCACCGCGTCTTTGACACCTCCGTGCCTATACCATACCACCCCATAATTTGCTGTGATGAAACCAACATCAACCCCCTCTGAATCTAGGCATCCGGGCTGTTATTTCTGTCTTGGATAGTTTGTACTATATCTAGCTCCCTTGGGGATGTTTGGTCTGCCAAAAAATGATCGTGTGAACCAACACGGGAGACAATGACTGTATGCAAGTATATTGCCAGGTGCAAGAAAAGTGCGAGCAGATAAAGGCCCACAGAAAGCGATAAAAGAATTTTGGGTACTCTATGCAGGCCTGAATAGAGCTCGCTCATTTCGGATATCAAGCGCCCCCGGCTTTCGTCCTTGGCTATCAAAGAATCAGCCGCTAAGCATGGAATGAGGTTGATGATAACCGTACCTCGCCAAAATAGGCTTCCCAAAGTCAGGCATGCACCGCAAAAATAGAAGACCACAGCGAGAGAAGAAGCAGTCTTCTGTCCCCGACTGAAATCGGCTGTGGATTTTCTTGAAGTCCAGATTGCTCGTCCTCCAATCACTAGGCAAATGATTGCAATGGATCTGACTAGTTCCATCATATTGAATATGAAAGACTAAACAGTGGCGATGTCAAGATTATTCGTAGCTGTATGTATGAGCAAAATAGATCAACAGCCAAGGGAATCACTCGGAGGCTACAACCTACACTTGAAGCGGACAGAAAGGTGCAGAGAGAAATCGGCCTGATGAGTATCGCGCTCGATGATAACGATATGTTTAGTGAAATAGGTATCTCAAAGTAGCACAAAGTCCTAGCAAGTGCGTGAAACAGATCGATTGATTTTGTCTGTAAATCTAGTCGCTAGCGTTGGCCAGGTGGGTCATACGCGTAAGCCAGCTGTTCTGCGGCAACCATAAGTCCAGTGCTGAAGAGCCTCAACAACGATGTAGATGAAGTTAAAGTCCAGTGTAAAGACTTAAACCCAACTCCTTCATGTTCTGGTTTCTCAAATAATCCTCTGGTTTTGAGATTGAGCTCCGTCAAATGTGCTTTCCTAAGATTTGGATTCTGATGAGTGAACTATTTCCTAGTAAGGCGCCCGGCCATCCGCGCGTTAATGCTCATATATCACCGTCTTTTTCTTCAAGAATAGAGCACTATCTATTTGACTATGTGTTCCATAACGACCGCATATATTGACGTAACATTAACTGTTCGAGGGGTCTATCTCTAGTAGGCAGCACTTTACTTCGTGGCTCTATATACAAGTGCGCAGACCTTTAGGCAATGTTACACTCTAGCACTTGTCAGAATGCAGATCGTAATCTCTTCCTGGGGTATCCGAAATTTCTATATGTAGAAAGAGAACAAGATAACTAATGAGAACCCAAATACTCAACTTAATCTAATGTTCCTAGTCACTTATTCCGCCTCTCAAAAGCCTAGCCTCTCATTATGGACTCGGAGCTACTTAACCTCATCAATAACGGATCCATTAATCGCAGTGATTCAGGATTGAGACCAAGAGATTATTCTTGATGATAGCCACCTCTTTGGGAAGATGGTATCATCAATTGGGAGGATGACAAGGAAGCCGGGTAAAGTTACCAGATTTATTCGCCCATTGACAATCCACGTGCATGTTTCAGAGGTTTTCGCCCCTGCAGGAAGGCACATGTTGGGTGCGCAATATATGTCTATTAATTGATACGCGTCATCGCAAAATCCCACGGGATGGCATGTCTCCGCCGTGGGTTCCTATGGTTTTGAAGGGATTACCCCATATTGTCTCTACTTTATAAAGAGCTTTAGGCATCTTCCGGGCCTATCGTATATGCAAGCAGTATATCACCAAGCATCGGGCTCCTATATTACCCCATAAAGGTATTTTAGGTGATAGCAGCGACAGTAGAATGTAAGTTCTAGAATTTTACTTAGCTCCCATATATGAGAAGTCAATTCTTCCACTGGTCGGACTAGGGAGGTTGAGACATGAGAGTCTCGGAACCCACGGCCTTGTACGGAGTAGTGTCTACCATAATGTATCGAGGATTTTAGTGATTGGTGGCACAATCTCGGACTTAGGATTATCGGCCCATCATATCAGGTTTCAGGGGTCACCTCTCATGGGCTTACTTCGGCCCGCCGTCAGAGGTTGATGGAGCCTCGCCCCACTGCGGCTGGCCGATCCAGCAGTTCTTCGAGGTCGGCCCGTACATTTGATATCCACGTCTCACGCCCCTTGAATATTTTATATGGAAATGTCCCGAAAATGCTCTTGTCGGTGGACTTTTGGTCTTTTAGTTGACCCACTTAAAGCTTCGCAGAGCTTGTCTTCTTGTCCATTACTAACTATATTCCGTCCCCATGGCCGACTACCCGACCGATATAAAAGGCTCCCGAGTTCTTTTTTTACAGTTGGATCTGGTGTTTTCTATTCGATCATTCCTCTCATTTCCAATATCCTTTTCTGTTGATCAGAATCGGCTCATTCATTCTTTTGATCGTTTAGATCCATTCCTTCGTTCATTTTCCTCTGTCTACTTCTTCGATTTACATTCTGTTGAACAGAAATATCCATCGCTCGCACCATGCCATCCTACCTTCAAAATTTGGTCTTGGCCACCCTGGCTGCCGGGCTCGTCTCGGCGGCTCCTACGCCGTCTCGCGTCTCGGACCTGACCAAGAAGTCGTCCTCCACCTGTACATTCACATCAGCAGCCAGTGCCAGTGCAAGCAAATCCTCTTGCACCACCATCGTGCTGAGCGACATTGAGGTGCCTGCAGGCGAGACCCTCGATCTGACCGACCTGACGGACGGAACCACGGTATGCCACCCTTCACACAACATCGGTAGCGGCTGGCTAGGTTATCCTAGCTCGTCTTTTCTACCGAACATGAACATTTCCTAACGGGAAACTTAGGTCATCTTCGAGGGAACCACTACTTTCGGTTACGAAGAGTGGAGCGGCCCTCTTATCAAGATCTCTGGATCTGATATCACCGTCGAGGCTGCCGATGGTGCCGTCATCAACGCCGACGGTTCTCGCTGGTGGGATGGAGAGGGTACCAATGGCGGCAAGACCAAGCCCAAGTTCTTCTATGCCCACTCTTTGGACGACTCGACCATAACTGGCCTCTCTATCAAGAACACCCCTGTCCAGGCCTTCAGCATCGAGTCTGATAACCTTGTCATTGACGGAGTTACGATTGATAACTCCGACGGTGACGACAATGGTGGCCACAACACCGACGGTTTCGATATTAGCGAGTCCACCGGCGTTACCATCAAGAACGCTGTTGTCAAGAACCAGGATGACTGCATTGCAATCAACTCTGGCGAGGTATGCCTTACTGGACTTCGGTGATATCCATGTATAGAGAATAAAGGGCTAACAAAGTACCAAAGAATATCTACTTCACCGGAGGAACCTGCTCTGGTGGCCACGGTCTTTCGATCGGCTCAGTGGGCGGTCGGGACGACAACACCGTCAAAAACGTAACCATCACTGACTCCACCGTGACTGATTCCGCCAATGGTGTTCGCATCAAGACTGTTTACGATGCCACTGGCTCCGTCAGCGAGGTGACTTTCTCCGACATTACACTCTCTGGTATCACCGACTACGGTATTGTGATTGAACAGGACTATGAGAACGGCTCCCCAACTGGCACTCCTACCGACGGTGTTCCCATCACGGACTTGACCATTGACGGCATCACTGGCTCCGTCGAGTCTGACGCAGTTGAAGTGTATATCCTCTGTGGTGACGATAGCTGCAGCGACTGGACCTGGAGCGGTGTGGACATCACTGGCGGAGAGACCAGTAGCAGCTGCGAGAACGTGCCCTCTGGCGCGTCTTGCTAAATAATTAATAGGGGGTCATTGGCGAGGAACGTGGCGTGTCTTTGCGGGTTTCTAGGCACATTTGTTGCCATAGGTTCTTTTTAGACTCCATAGATTCAGCTGATAATAATAATTCTTCGTCGTGCTTAAAGCTCTGTTCAGAAAGACCACTGAGCCTAGAACGTACAAGGTTGGGGTTAGAGGCACATAAACCTGTACACAGTCGAGAACCGGATCGACAGAGCAAAGGTGAAGATCGAGCAAACCCTCACGTATGGCCCATCGATCGACAGGAAGTCAAGCTTGTTTTCACGCTAGCGATTTGGGTTTGGGGAACGACGGGGTTTGACTGCTGGTTCCTGAGCTGATGATTGGCTCATCGTATGGAATGCTTGGGCGTGACATCACCGACATGGAACAAATCCCATCAAGATTTAGCCAGGGATGCTGCGCGCTAGTTATGTACGCTGGGCTGCCTAGGCGTAATTTCATTTCTCATTCTGACAGGAAGAGTCGTCCAAATTTCCAGCTCTTGCAAGAACCCTTCATTTTTACTTCGCACCGCCCGTATAAAGGATGCCGCACGACCGAAAGAAGAAGATTGCCATTATCGGAGCGGGTGCAGCTGGCATGGTATGACTCTACTCCACGAGATTTATGGCTTACGGATTGAATCGGCTTATGACGGTATCTATTCACAGTCCTGCGCTGCTACTTTAGCAAATCACCCAGATAAGTTCCAGGTGACGATGATTGACATCGAATCCCACACAGGTGGTCAAGCAACATCAATTTCTCTAGACGAACAGAAATACGGCGCAAGCTGGATAAACGATGGAGTCCAGGGTGGCTCTGCGATCTTTCGGCATACGTTCCGGTTCTTTCGTCGCTACGGCTATGAGCCACAGCAAGTCAAACTTCAGGTCTCCTTCGGCAAAGGACAAGACAACTTTTGGACAAATGTATTCCCTAGTCCACTTGTGGATCAACACTCTCGGGGAATCAAAAAGCTCGGCCGGGTTCTGAAATGCATCAAATATCTTATGCCTATTCTTGGTATCCTACCAGTCAAGGTGATTCTCCGACTGTTCCGGTTTAGCGACGACTTCAACAACAAGATGGTCTTGCCGCTTTTAGCTCTCTTCCTCGGCACAGGAAACCAGACTCCAAATGTACCAAGTGTCTTGCTGGAGCGCTTATTTGACGATCCGCAAATGAAGCTATGGGAGTACGACCCTGACACGCTGTTGCCAAATCTTCCCGAGATGTACACCTTTCCAAATCTGGGGAATTTCTACCGAGACTGGGCAGAGGATTTACAGAGAAAAGGGGTTGAGATACACCTACAATCTTCGGTCACAATCTTGGAGCGAAGCAAGAAAGGTGTTGTTCTGCAAATTCAACAACAAACTAGTGACGGAGAGCAGGCAGAATCCGTCTCCTCCCCAGAGACATTTGATGAGCTTGTTCTTTGCTGCCCAGCGGATGAAGCCAAGAAGATGCTCGACCGAAGTGCTACCTGGCGTGAGAAATATGTGCTTGGTGGCGTGAAGTTCTTCAATGATATTACCATCACCCACTCAGACTCGGATTATTTCCAGAAGATATTCGAAGCTCGATACGACCCAGCATTGTGTGCGCAGGCAACGACGAAGGATCGGAAAGAGCAGATTGAATTTGCCGAACAGCAGCCCCGATGTGAAAAGGATGGCTGGGTGGGGTTCCGGCCAATGTATTTCACCCACTCATTTGAATCAGATCCAGATAAAATTGAAATGGGCTTTGATTGCTCAAACTATCAGCATCAATTCCGGGAACGCCTCGGTGTGGGAAGCCAGCCCCTTCCTTTGAATGAGCATGTCTTCCAAACAATCTTCTTGAATGATCAACAAAAGGATATGTGGACATGGAATGACATCGATCCTTCTAAAATCATTACCCGGAAATGGTGGCACCAATTCGGCCATAGATGGCAGCATTACCTACGTGTCATACCGGGTATGATGTTCATAAATGGCAAGAATAGAACACTGTACGCGGGAAGTTGGACCATGGTGGTAAGTACATACGAGAAATCTATGAATAAGAGTTTGCAGCTGACAACACGCATAGAATATGCATGAGATTGCCTGTATCTCCGGTATCGCTGCAGCTTATCAGCTGGGCGCCGAATACGACCACTTTGACGATTGTGCAGAGGATTTCTTTGCCAAGTACCTGCTTGTTTGCCATGGCACCCGCTACAAGAGAGGAAAGAATAAACAGACTTGAGGAAGGCATGAGTTTGACATTCATATAGTATATTTAATCACATAATTTCTTTTACAGGACGTATCTGAAGCTGTCTATCTCCCCGTCCGTCTTGTTGGACAGCTCGTCCTGCAATTCCTCTGCCTCGGTCAACTGTCTTGGGGACCCGTACAACTGGTCACGACGACGGTTCTCCCACATGTAATATACGTAGAGACAAATCAAAAAGAAGATTCCGAGCACCAAGCCTGACATGGCGGCCTTGATACCAGTCTAGATGGTTGTTAGATGGTTGCGTAAACAGGATTAAAGACAACAATGAAGTACTCACGGGGTATCCGGGCTTCTCCGATGGGATAAAAAACTGAGGGCCCACAATGTTACCCACACAGTATGCCACGAACATCAAGGCGCTAACAGTACTCTTCTTAGTAAAGCCGGCAACGTTCGAACTGATAAGACTCAGTGAAAGAGGGATGTTAGCAGCAAAAACTGCGCCCAAGCAGAGGCCGGTCATCCTGCCGGCACGGTTGTGGCTATCGAGCTTCCAGATAAGAATCATTCCGATGACTGAGACGAGTGCATTCAGAATCATCATTAAGATACGGGTTTGCTTGACGTATGTTGCAAAGCCAGATGTCAGAAGCAGGAAAACGAGTTGAGCAGCACCCAGGGGCATTTGAATCAAAAGGGCCTTGAGGTTCGAGAACCCAAAGCCGGCGATGATGATAGACGAGAAACTGGTAATTCCACCGTTGCAGAAGTTGACACACAGAGTGTAAAGAACAAGGAACCAAGTCTGGGGATCCTTAATGGCCATGAGGACCTGACCCCATCGGAATTTACCAGTATCCATCACACCAGTTTTGTTCTGAAGAGTTCGTTGCAGCGCAACTGACTTTTCAGTTTTGTTGAAGAACATCACCTTGGCGGGCGAGTCAGGAAGGAAAACGAAAAGAATCAATCCATATCCAGAGGTGATGGCTCCCAGAACCAAGAAGAGGAGCTGCCAGCTGTTCACCGAGTGATTGTGGATCAACCCAATTCCGTATGCGACTAGGCCACCAATCACCGATGCGATGGAGTTTCCAATGAACCACGCTGCCTGTCGGGCGGGCTGCTCTTCTCTTTTATAGAACATTCCAGTGATCAGGGCAAAGCCGGGGGCAATTGAGGCTTCTCCCACTCCTAGGAAGAATCGCGCTGCCATCAAGCCACTGAAAGACTTGCATGCAGCATGGCACATGAGAATACCACCCCAAAGGAACACCGCGACACTCAAGTATTTTCCAAGGGGGAGGCGAACAATGAGGTAGGAACTGGGCCAACTCCAGGCGAAATATCCAAAGTAAAAGACTGCAGACGCCCAGTTGTATTCTTTGCCTTTGAGATGCTAGATGCGGAAGACGAGACGTTAGAACAGATATTTCGCAAAAACAAATGGCAAAGGAGTGGAGAGCATACAAGGTCTTCTGTTAGGTTAAATAGCGTAGCCTGGCTCAGGGCCAACTTATCCATATATTGAAGCATGTAACAAAATCCCATCAGGGGAATGAGACTAAAGTTCGGCTGCGTAAGCGATCATTTGCCACTGTAAAGCTGTTGGGGGGGGATCGCATACTAGAGATCAAGTTTCCAAAGGACTTTTCTTTCCATCTCAGGAGTCGCATGCGTTTCCAGAACTTGGCCAATGTCCACATCACGAGCATCGAGATGAGATCGGACCTTGACCATGTCCAGGTCAACAGTCCCCCCTGGAGGGGGCGTAGGTTGCTTTTCCATCTCGATGCTTTTTCCGGCGAGCAAAGTGTGACAAGACGGACAATTTTTTTTTCACGACAGTGGATGCAAAGGGATTTAAATAACAATTGAGAGTGTGAAAAGGCCAGTGAATGATTCAACTGGCTATCGAGGGGCGTTGTATTTCAAGCTAACAAAGGATATCTTCGTCTGCCCAATGACCCCGGGGAGGAGACAAGGGGGGCTACTGTACCTCGTGCAAGCCACAGTGCGGATCCCCAGGAAGTCAAATCCGCGACTTGTTATCGACTATCGGCCCCCAGATTCAGGTAGATACTGCAGCAATCGCCGACGATTCCTTTAGTCAAAGGGCGGAATCTGGGGGGCGATACTGCGCGCCTGCAGGGTGATCGGATCTCGTACCAGCGGTTGAGGATATCGGCAATGGAGCAGTGGCGCACGACCGGACTCGATTCTAGATGCCGAAATCGCATCCTATACGCCGTGAAGGACAAGGTGAAAAATCTTGGCCTAGATGTCAGTATCAACGTTCCTGGCGCGGGATGCGAGATTAGAGTCCAGCATCGGCAGTTGGGCCAATGTGGATTGCCCGTCGGCAATCAGCCCCAGTTTTCTCCCTTCTCCTCCTGTCGGCAATTCCCCACTTGGCCGACTTCACAGACATATCAGTCGCCATTCAGAAGACTGGATACGCGGGGGATCTCAAGCGATTGACCAAACATGATTAGCAACTGCCTAACACTGACGGGTTCACCACGTTTCCATCTCGTTATCCTCCGTAGTCGTACCCTTTCTACCCCACAGATTGCGACAATCCTGGGGGAGAAGACCCACCACCTCGTTCTATGTATATACTTGTCTCCTTGTACTTTGCCGACGGCGCTTGGAAATCAATCTGCTCGCCAAACCGGGAAACTTCATCACGAATTCCGCTATCTATCGGCAAACCTCCGTAGGGCAGATCCAGGGTCTGCCATATCCCCCCCCCCCCCCCCCCCTATGAGGCGAATAATACTAAGATAGGATACCTCGGATGTGACGCAAGAAGAACCCCTCTTTGAAGAGGGGCACTCGTTATTAATATATGGCTAACCCTCCGCTAAGGAGCCTAGAGCCACTGTGATATTATAATTTTGCAATTCTCGCTCCTTGAAAAGATTAACATGACAGTCTCAAGCGTGGGAATCGAGGAGGTTCGAGCGGCTGTTGACGTGGCTCTTGATGAGCTACGGGAGTCACTACGGAAGGTGAACCAGGAGGTAAGTAATCCAATCTTCTTCATTTTATGAGATTCTTCTCATCAGTCGATACCGTCAAATTTCTAACGGGCTCTCGCGGCGAACTATAGATCTGGTCAAACCCCGAGCTTGCGTACGAAGAACACCATGCCCACGATACGATCTGCACGTTCCTCGAAAAACAAGGATTCACAGTTACTCGCCATGCATACGGTCTTGATACATCTTTTGAAGCAGTGAGCGGATCAGGCGGTCGTCAGATCAATTTCAATGCGGAGTATGATGCTTTGCCTGGTATTGGACATGCCTGCGGCCATAACCTCATCGCAACCAGTAGTATTGCAGCCTTTCTAGCTCTTTCATTCGCGTTGAAGAAGTTTGGTATCCCAGGGCGCACACAATTGCTGGGCACTCCAGCTGAAGAAAATGGCGGGGGCAAGGCTGTGCTTATTGAGGCGGGAGCTTACAAGAACGTGGACATCTCTCTCATGGCGTATGTTTACCCATCCGCCCCTATCAGTTGGGTTTCCTCATATTCTAATCCGGTGTTTAAGTCACTCTGGGCCCAAGAAGCTGTTCCCTGACCAAGAGCCATCCGACGGAATTGCAGGTACTCTTATGAATGCCCGCAAGAATATTCACTGCGAGTTCAGTGGCAAGAGTGCTCATGCTGGCGGTAACCCGTGGGAGGGCATCAACGCCCTGGATGCCCTAGTCACGTCATATAACAACGTCGCGGTATTACGCCAGCAGCTTTTGCCAGAGCAGCGAATTCATTGCGCCTTCATGGATACCCCAAAGGTAGCGAATGTCATTCCGGCGCATACCAAGGCATTCTGGCAGGTTCGAAGCCCTTCTCTCAAGGGGCTTAATAACCTGGTGAGCAGAGTGCGCAACTGTATCGAGGCGGGCGCGCTAGCGACTGGATGCACTGTTAAGATCATCGAGTGAAACTCCCCATGAATTATCTACACTCGGAAATTTTGCTGACCACCAGTCTGTGTGTAGAGAGGAGCTTTATACCGATGTGCGGCTAAACGATGTACTCTGCGAACGGTATCAAGTTCACATGGGCCAGTATGATCGGAAGGTACTCAAGCGACACGATAAAGTTCTGACTGCATCGTCTGATATTGGTATGTCATCCTCGGGATTAATCGGAAAGAAATGCATTCAGAATTTTGAAGAGCTAGCGCTGATATTCCAATTTTAAACACAGGAAATGTCAGCTACGAGATACCTACCTTGCATACCATGTTCGGAATTCCCACGCCAGACAACACGTTCCCCCATCACCCCACATACACTGCCTCCGCTGGAACCGACGAGGCACACGCAGAGGCATTGATTGTAGGCAAGGCACTAGCCATGACTGGATGGGATATGATCACGAACGACGGATTGTTCGAGACGGCGCATCGGCAATGGAAAGAGGAGATTGAGCGGGATGATTAAGTGAGATGATTTAGGATTGCATCCGCATACCCTGTGGGACTCGTAAGAAGGTCTTGAGGTGTATGTCAGTGTACCAAGTATATCATATAGCATATAGAATTCCCTCAAACTGTTTGTTAGACACACCATGAAGCTAGGATCAGATATGACTTGGACTATGTATAGAGAAGGAAAGGATAGACTAGGCTGGTGCTACTGGTGTTAATTCTATATAACCCCATGGCCAGCCTACTGTCAAGTGAATAGTCACTAGGGAATAATGACTATATTCAACTCTACCCGTGTATGTATATTCCTGCCTCAGGCCCCTCCGGTATAACTTCGGCAAAGAATCCCGTGATTTCCGTGGCTCCCCGCGTTATCGGCCTTATCGAACGGCCCACGGCCCGCGCCCTCTTCTTCTTCTTCGATCTTCCGATCGTTTGATCCATTGTATTCATCCTCCCCAAAACGCCTTTCCACCTCCCTCTACTCCCCGGTCACGCTCATCGACCCCCCTGATGCCTGCACTTTGGTCTCTCGAGATCTACTGACACGCGACGGAGGGGTTTGATTCTTCATGTCCGGACGGAACGCGCCGCGCTCGAAGAATGGTGAGTCTCCCCGCTCATTTCTTTTTTCCCCAATTTTCAAATGCCGTTCCGACTTTACAAGTACCGAACTGACTGGGAATTCCTCTGCTTTTTTGGTCGATATTCAGGCTGCAGTACCTGCCGCCGTCGCAAAGTAAAATGCGGCGAAGAGCGCCCCATTTGCACACGATGTCTGAACCTAAACCTCAGCTGCGAGTGGGGGGTGCCAGTCAAGCGCGGGCGCAGCACCCAGATTCGACATCTTCAACCAGCCCCGACGAGCACACCCGACCAGATTGCTTGGTCTACGTCTGAGCTAAGTGACGCGGTAGCTCTCACGCCGGATGGGTTACTCAATGGCCTCTCCCCGATTTCCTGGCCAGGCGACTCGCCGATTGTAGAACAACCCCAGTCGACATCATTCTTTCCACCCGTCGCACCGGCCCCATTCTCGACTCCCCTATACCCACCATTGAGCGTCAACGAGATCGCCTGTGCCAATTCCCTCACCCTCACCGAACATGACCAAAAGTACTTTCAATATTTCCCCTCTTCCTCGATCATCTACTATTATATGAAAGGATGGAATTGGAGCAGCTTCTGCTACCTATATCAAGGCCCCGCTGCCACCAACAAGGTGATCATGCGAATGTTTCTCGCCATGGCTGCCAGTGATATGCATCGACAGGGGCTAGTCGTGAGATCCCCCGGTCGGCCTACCGCGGAAGATCATGGGCGTTATCATTACAGCCTAGCTGTCAAGGAGTTCCGTCAGCTTCTGGAGACTCCTCGGCGAAGCGTCTCTGTCGAGGAGCTAGAGATTATCTTTGCCACCATGTTTCTCATGATCACATATGAATGGCAGTTTGGACATTCTGTCCGCCACCTCCAGTTACACCTTCATGGGGTGCGATCACTTTTGGAGTCGCATCCGCAGCTCTTTCGGCTCAAAGATGTCAATGACGTGTTCCTGTCTCCAGAGGCCGAAAGCCCATCCTCAGAGGATGCAGTGATCTCCAAAGTGTCTTTTATTCCGGAGCAATTCTTGCTGTGGACACTGTGAGTATACCAGACTGAAGTCTTTTTTTTCTCTGTACCTTATAGATCAGCTTACCCGTAATTACAGATACATCGATGCAAGTTGCCGACCGATGGGGCTGACCGAGTCACTATATGACTATATCGTCCAATCCAAAAATCCAGCACTTCATCCAGATCACTTGCATCGTTGCGCACGTCTATGGGGTCGCTGCTTCTGGGGAGAGCAGTACCCAGATCAAGAGGTTCTGGACGACATTGAAAACTACAGAGCCTTGGAGCTGTTGCATGCCGGGTTCTGTTTCCGCCATCGAACCTGGAAGGTCCTCGTAGACTCTACGGGAGGCACCGACACTACCGACTCCCTTTATAGTGAAATCATCTCTACTCGCGATGTATGTTTTACTTTCTTTGCTCAGCTTGTTCCTGGACTAACTTTGCCTTTTTTTTTTCCTCTTTCTGTTCAGAAATTCTCCGATCTCTTCATTACCGCAAAATTTGCCGGCGCTGTTTCGGCACGACGCACACTCAACACGATATACATGGCCGTGTGCACTTTTTACGCGCAAATCATTCTGCATCGCCGACTCCTCTGCGTTGACAGCCTCCCCGCACCCCTGCACAGGCAAGCCACGGCCGGCATCGTGGACATTGCCCGCAAACAGTTTGCATCCGATCCCCGACTGCTACGACGCCTGCATTGGCCTCTGTTGATGGCTATCATCGAGACAGATGACGCTGGCCACCGTGTATGGCTCCGGCAACGGTTGTTCGAGCTGCGTGATACCCACTCAGAGTACATCTGGGCCAACGAAGTGGCCGATCAGATCCTGGCCCAGCAGGACGTGAGTCAGGGCTGCTACGCCAATCTCGCCGAGCTGCTCCTCCAACGGCTTCAAGTACAATGAGTCATTTGAAGAAAAAGAAAAAGAAAAAGAAATGTGTATATCTAGCTGTAATGTCTATAAAGATTTTAATAGGCCCCGCAATGGCCGATAATGATGATGTGACAAGACTCTGTATTTTGCCATACCACCCGCCTTCTAATGTGTATATCGTGTCAAATACTCCTACTCCTTGCCCCTCGCCAGACCAGTCGCCCAAGCCACTCTAGAACGGAAAATGAACGATCTCTACGTTCATGGGTCATTCTCCAGGAAGTACGCATCGTAAGCGACTTCGCCCTTGGCTCTTGTAGCTCTACCGATGATAACTCGGTCATTCATCCACTTGTACTTCTCGTGGCCCGTCTCAATCTTCACATGGAGATGGAACCAATATTTGCTAGGGTCGACGGGGCCCCCCTCCATCAGCGCTTTCAGTACCTCCGGAGGTCCAGCTCGAGTACCTTCAGTTCTATTCCGATATCAATATCTAGTCCACATGGCCAATAAAGCATTTCACGCACCGAATATACAACAATGCACCGTCGTCGCTTTTGATCACATAATTGGTGTTCACATGTGTCGTCTGATTATCCTCCACCAACCTAAATCCTGTCAGACATACAGCTGATAATGTCGATACAAATTCAGCTTACATGAAATCCGCTCCTCCTGGCACAACCTCTCCATTAAAGTACGGTCCTTTTACCGACCCAGACATAATCGGTACGCATCGTCGCCGACCGTAGGGGCCATTCCCAATCTCCATTGGCGGGTCCACCGCACACCGTAGAGTGAAGAGATGGGTAAGCTTTGGTGGAGGGGCGAGGGTTTCCATTTTCGATATACGACAAGCTCGGGGATTTAGAAGTAGGCGAATATGCTAAAGAAGAAGGAGGAAAGGGTGTGGGGTGACGAGATGGATATAGGTAGACGTTGAGCGTCTCCACAACGCGGGGACTTTTCCGGTGGGAGACTATGAACTGCCGTGTTTTCCGCTGTCAGTATGATCACTCGAGTCCTATTGTTCTGAATTGTGCTAAGTTGATTACAGATTTATCAATGGCTATGCTCCGGTAATGGATGATCTTCGTTTAGAGGGTTCGTCCCGAACTGGCGCATCTTCGACCACTCACCCTCAAGGATAATGGACGATTAGAACCGGAAATATCTGCTTATTGGATGATAGGTGGTCAAGCCTCGGTCCCGACAAACTTGCCGAGCTCGATGCTTGACATCATGTCCAAAACAAGCTCTAGGGATGCTCCACCGTGCCGCCGTTTGCAGTCATTGCGAACAAAAGTGGTCAATTTATACACACTTTGGAAAAATATTCCACAAATTCTCTTTCTTTTTACATGTCATGGAATCGATCAACCGTTTATTTCTTTTGAGATCAATCCTTGAGGCTCTTAAGATTAAAATAATGGACATGCGCATGAGGCCCACTGCCATGCGTCTTGCATATGTAGGATGTGAGTGTTGTCACAAAAAGCAAGCAAGTTGGGAATGTAATACTAGCCTCGGCACTCGGGCAGAACTGGAGGATCGTTGAATATTCCATGTTAAAGCCATGTCCAATTGTCTCATGGACATGGCGTCAAACAGTCGATTTATTTATTCTTCCTTGACTCTTTTTTGTCGTGATCGTCTATATACTTTTTGTATAGAAAAACAAACTGTCCACGCTGTACAAAAATCGCGGGATCAATGCTCGACCGCCAATACCAAAAATTTCAGATCTCGAATCAATAAATCGTTTAGTTGAACACAACGGTCTTGTGTCCGTTGAGCAGCACACGGCGCTCGGTGACATACTTCACGGCAGCAGCGAGCACGTTGCTCTCAACGTTACTACCGGCGTGGGTGAGCTCCTTAGGGCTCATGCCGTGGTTCACACGCACGACGTTCTGCTCGATGATGGGACCCTCATCGAGGTCGCTGGTGACAAAGTGGGCAGTCGCGCCGATAATCTTCACACCACGGTCATAGGCCTGGTGGTAGGGCTTGGCGCCCTTGAAGGAAGGCAAGAAACTGTGGTGGATGTTGATGATACGTCCAGACATGGCCTCACACAGCTTCGGCGACAGGACCTGCATATAGCGGGCTAACACGATCAAGTCAATCTCGTATTCCTTAACCAGCTCCAAGATACGAGCCTCCTGCTCGGCCTTGGTAGCGGCAGTGACGGGAAGGTGCATGAAGGGGATGTTATAAGTGGCAGCCAGGGCGGCGAAGTCGGGGTGGTTGGAGACGATCAAAGGGACCTCAATGTTAAGCTGGCCGGTGGACTGGCGGAAGAGCAGGTCGTTCAGGCAGTGGCCAATCTTGGAGACCATGATCATCACGCGGGGCTTCTGGGTGGTGGGGTGGATCTCAAAGTCCATGGAGAAGGACTGTGCGGTGGACTCGAAGGCAGCGCACAGCTTCTCGAGTTCGGGGACCTCATCAGTCTCGGAGGCAGGCACAAACTGCACGCGCATGAAGAAGCGCTTAGAGGTCAGGTCGCCGAATTGAGAGGAATCGACGATGTTCAGGTTGTGCTGGACGAGGAAGGCCGTGACGGCATGGACGATGCCCGGGCGATCGGGGCCCGAAAGGGTAAGGATGAAGCTGGGGGCCATGATGATGTTGAAATGGTCTAGGGGCAACGGTGTTGAATCCGCGAGGCAAGCCACGAAGCAGGAGCAGGAGATTGTGAATCAGAAGATCCCAAAAAATCCCACATTCATCCCACCTGGACCGATTACGGCGCTGACTCATCCGAGGCCGATCGGCCCCACCAGCTCAAAAAGGTTAACCGCTTTTAAAATGCCGCGCTAGTCCCAATACGGTGATATCGACAGAGTATTTACTCGGAGTTAACCAACGTTACTATTTAGTTGGCCAGCGAGGTAGTGATACTTCATTGAGAAAAAAATAGCTCAGTAGTTATAGTACAATTGTTGTTCATCCGGGGCTAAGGAGGGGCTATTCAGTCCAAAGTCCTGCCTAGTCTATAGCATGATGAATTGATGTAGAGACAGTCCTCTATAGATGTATGTATGTGATCTATTGTAAGTCATCAAGATAAGTCAACCAGCGATTCCAGTATTCTTTCACATGGTGGCTTTCTCTCAGATTTACCCCAGAGACTACCCCCCAAATAATCAAACGTTTCATCCCCTCGTCACTCATAACTCCCCCGCCTCGGTATTAGACTAATCTCCCCCGACCCACGCTAATGTACCTCGCATCCCTGCAAGCCAAGGATACATCCGGGGTTGAATTGCCGACTTTAGCCTGCAGAACACGAATGCGACCAAAATACCAGCTCGTCACGGACAATCTTGTCCTCGCTTAGTCCGGTCATACTATTATAGTTTCTCTATAACGTATCATGCACCCCCCGTATCATGCCCCGCGTGTCCGTCACGTTCGAAACGGATCATTTAGCCGCCTAAATCCCCCTTCATCAAAAGAGGATAGTCTACTATACCCAACAGGCACCACGATACCTATAGTCACACTTGTCCCAGTACGGAAGACAGGCTTCTTCACGGGGCGCCTCCCGAGACATGGGGGAGATTAGGTCCCCCTGCAGGAGGTGACCTCATTTCGTCTGAGGCATTGCCCGCAAAATCTGGGGAGCTTCCTCCGTGTCCGCGGAGTGTTTGCTCTACTCTGTTCCCTTTTCGTACATCAATCAGTCTAGTATGCTAGAGTGTAGGCGGTGGTACGGACCGTGACGCCGTGGATTTCAATCCAAAGTGTAAAGTTGAAAGGCTTCAGGATCCACCTTTTGAAGGTATATAAGAAGGTCTATCTTGGACCATAATCCATTCATCCTCACTCCTCTCCATCACAAAACAGCCTTCAAAACTACAATTGATCATTCTGATCTAAAATCCTCCGACAAAATGAAGGGATCAATCTCCTATCAAATCTACAAGGGTGCCCTCCTCCTCTCGGCACTCTTGAACTCAGTCCAGGCCCAGCAGGCTGGTACTCTGACGACTGAGACTCACCCATCCTTGACCTGGTCCAAGTGTACTTCCAGTGGTAGCTGCACTTCCGTGACTGGCAGTGTTGTCATCGATTCCAACTGGCGCTGGGTTCACTCTACCAGTGGCTCGACCAACTGCTATACTGGCAACACCTGGGATGCCACCCTCTGCCCCGACGATGCGACCTGCGCAACCAACTGTGCTTTGGACGGTGCTAGCTACTCCAGCACCTACGGTGTTACCACCAGCGGCAGCTCTCTGCGCCTGAACTTTGTCACTACTGCTTCGCAGAAGAACATCGGTTCTCGTCTGTACTTGCTGGAGAACGACACTACCTATCAGAAGTTCAACCTGCTGAACCAGGAGTTCACCTTCGATGTTGATGTGTCGAACTTGCCCTGTGGTCTCAACGGTGCCCTCTACTTTGTGGACATGGATGCCGATGGTGGCATGGCCAAGTACTCCACCAACAAGGCCGGTGCCAAGTACGGAACTGGTTACTGTGACAGCCAGTGCCCGCGTGATCTCAAGTTCATCAACGGTGAGGGCAACGTTGAAGGCTGGACCCCATCCACCAACGATGTCAACTCCGGCATTGGTGACCACGGCTCTTGCTGCGCGGAGATGGACGTCTGGGAGGCCAACTCGATCTCCAATGCCGTCACTCCTCACCCCTGCGACACTCCCTCGCAAACCATGTGCGAGGGAGATGCCTGTGGTGGAACCTACAGCACTGATCGCTATGGTGGTACTTGCGATCCGGATGGCTGTGATTTCAACCCCTACCGTATGGGCGACACTTCCTTCTATGGTCCTAGCATGACCGTCGACACTAGCTCCGTCTTCACCGTGGTGACTCAATTCATCACCGACGACGGTACCGACTCGGGTACTCTGTCCGAGATCAAGCGCTTCTACGTACAGAACGGCAAGGTCATCGGCCAGCCCAACTCCGCCATCAGCGGTGTTTCCGGTAACTCGATCACCGACACCTTCTGCAATGCGCAAAAGACCGCCTTCGGTGACACCAACGACTTCAGCAAGCACGGTGGTATGGCCGGCATGAGCGCCGGTCTCGCCGACGGCATGGTTCTGGTCATGAGTCTCTGGGACGACCACGCTGCCGACATGCTCTGGCTCGACAGCAACTACCCCACTGACGCCTCTTCCACCACCCCCGGTGTCGCCCGTGGCACTTGCGATATCTCCTCCGGCGACCCCGACACTGTCGAGTCCACCTACCCCAACGCCTACGTGATCTACTCGAACATCAAGACCGGTCCTCTCAACTCTACCTTCACTGGCAGCACCTCTGGATCTAGCTCTTCCAGCACCACCACGACCACCAGCAAGACTAGCACTACTTCTACCAGCAAGACCAGCACCACCACCACTACTACCTCCAGTGGCTCGAGCACTACCGGTGCTGCCCACTATGCTCAGTGTGGCGGAATTGGCTGGACTGGCGCCACCACCTGTGTGAGCCCGTACACTTGCACCAAGCAGAACGACTATTACTCCCAGTGCCTGTAAAGGATCTTGACTGATCTTTAGATTTGGGAGAAAATTGGTGGAGAGAGAGAGAGCAAATATGATAACGGGGACGAGGCAGCAGAGAATGTTGATCAGATTGTTCGCTCGTTGTACTTCTTGATCTTTTTTGTCTTCTTAGTTTTTTTAGTTTCCTTTGTGTTAGAGGATATGAGAATACAATCGCTTTCTGCTTCATTTCAGCTATTCAACGCTAGTACTAGACTACTTCCCCCGCTTCGCTTAGGTGCCCGGAGGCGACAGTCTCAATTTCGGTTGCTTGGCGGATTTGCCATTTACCATCGTTGGGCTTGTTTAATCTCGAAGCTCAACAAATTGGTTTAATCGGAACCATAAATGGGAACATGAATATAGAAAATAAAGAATAGCAAAAGAATAGCACTCTTAAAATCGAAAATAACAGATCGAGAATATCCCCTGCAACATGAATCTCTCTGGAAGTTTCTTGATCCCTCATCAGGCACACTGCAGTTCTTCATCAAATTGATCACTACGACCAGCCAATCACGACACCAGCTCCGACAGCCACAGTCAGCACTAAAACCCACACAACACAACGAGGCAGCGAGGCAACGGTCTTCACATGAGCCTGCCATGTAAGATACTTTTCCCCGGATTGCGCGGGGTTCGGGGAGGGTCCCTGTGGCGTTGACCTGCGAGATCTCCGACTCGTGCAAAATCATGGAGTACGCCACCCATGCGGAGAGACCTCCGGCAGCGCGTACAATTTGGCTGTTTCAAAGCGAGTTCACGAGATAATGAAATGTCCGCTGCAACGATCCGCCGCATTTCCTTGAAACTTTAAGAGAAAAAAATTGCATTGTTGAGCCAATGAGCGCCAAGGCAAGCCTGTAGAACTTGGCACTGGCTGGCCCCTGCGGGGTTGAAGAATTACTTTGTATCCTGAGAAGTTGGAGAGTACAATACTTATGGACATCTAGATAATATGAAAAGTCGCAACTACTGATTTTCGCATACCGATGATCATCACAATAAGAAATAGCCAAGCATCCAGTAATGCTTGCTCGTGAAACGTGAACCTGTTGATCATCACCATACTGGTGTTGGGCTCTGTCAATCTTCCCACCAGGGATTATTATAATGAACACGGACGAACCTACTGTATGTGAGACCGAGGTACTCCAATAACAAGCCAGCACCCCTGTCAACATGCATCTCGTGTTCAGGCTGTTGGGGCAAAGGTGGCACTTTTCCCAAGATGGAAGACCTCGGGGAAATCCGTGTGCTGTGGATTTGAGAACGTGAGAAGAGGCAGTCCTCTCTTTCGCTAGGATTTCCCATTATGGTCGATCTATTTACCTTGACTTTCCCGGCCGGACTAATGTTTCATCAAGATACCAATCTACTACTTAACCGCCGAACCTGGTAAAAGTGGTGCCTGCTGTAGAGATCTCTCTAGCTCCGTTCACATCTACTCTAGTACTTACTATATTTCGAGCCCGTGTCTAATCCGGCTGAGATCCAATTTATCGTCTTAGTCTCAACTAATTTCCATAGCTCCTTCATTACCACCTCGTTTCTAGAAGCGCCGAAGATTCAACTTGAAATGGCCGACAATCGGACCTGTAGACGACAGACACGACTTGCTATCACGGGACGACCTTGGCAATCAGAGATGGTTTATGCATAGTTAGTCAATAAATTACCTGACTAATATACTCGACTTATGAAGTATGAACAAATGGATATCGACAGCCTCAACTATGGAGAGCATTGTGGGGATGATGTAGTCTCCCCCTCTCTCCACGTTGAGCCCCAGCCAGTCTCTTATAAAAGGCGGGTGGTCGCCCTCTCAAGCACGGTCCAATCGAGATTTGATTATTCTATGGACGCCGTCTCTGTTACAACACCAAAAATCATCGCTTTCATGGAGCACTGAGCATTAAACTCACGATGATAGTCCAGACGATCGGTCGGCTGATGGGCCACGCGACAGTATACGTGGCAGATAACCAGTCTCATCCCACAAAAGCCGAAGGCTTAAGGTAAGGGAACAGGGATATCCAGAACTCCCGAAACACCTCAAACCCCATGTACGTTGGCACTCTCAGTCGCATGAACGAAACCTTCAGCCCGGCATCGTCCCAAATCGCCACAACCGACCGGGTAGTGGTGGCAACCGATGGTGCCGATGGGGCGGCAAGGACTTTATCCCCCCAAGTGGGGGAAATTCTGACTCGGGGAGGGACAAGTGCCGCCACTGCCGTGTCTTGAAAGCGAGGAGATGGTTGGTGGTTGCCTTTTGGAGGGTTTCGGTGAAGATGGTGTTAGATCAGAGAGCATGTTGTCTTGGGTATGGTGGTGTTCATCTCGACAGGAAAATTGACGAGCTCACGCGACCAGACAAAAACTTAGTCAGCAGCGAATAGTTCCAATCTACTATACAAATCAAATGAATCAAGTTTATCATGGCCTATTTTAAGAATGGAAGAATGTATAGAATTGAATTTATGCGATTCTCTCAATTATATATTTTCATCTGAACGTACACAAGTTTAAAGGTGCAACGACAGCCCAGCGCAGGACAGAGTCATCGCGGGTCGCGCAACTTTAAAGTTGATGCGGAGAATCTGGGGAGCTCACGACTTGACAGTGTAGCACGCGACAGCAAGAATATTAATCAAATAAGGGTATTATTTGGATGAAGTTTGTAAATCTCGAGAATGTTATCAAACATTGAAAAATAAGCATTTATTCGGAGCTCCTGATTGGTCCAACTCTAAAAAATGATGTGCAGGGTTCACTGCATCTGCAGGCGAGTTCCCAATAGTTCATCGCCTGGCCCCCCTACACTACGACCGACCTGGTTAAAGGTAGATCCAATGGGGCTGGGCTGGTCGATGGTCTGATTATTACATACAATCTAGATGGATACTAAAGTTTATCAATCCCAAGGTTGTTACGGGAAAAGTAAAGAAAAAAAGATTCTTCATATATACATCAATCAATTTTCATCTCATCTGATTCTTTTTTTCGTACAGTACATGAGAATCAATGAACCTCGACAAGAGGTGTGGAAAATCACAAAAACAATAAAAAAAGCCAAAAATAGATCGCTAAGTCCACAAATGCAATGCTAGATCAGATCGTCTGCAGGGACGGGGTGTGGAGAAAGTTTTATAGGAGATCTCCACTTTCCCAGCCCTATCTCACATTGACCACTTTACAGCTTGTTGCCCATAGAACGCTCGAAGGAAGACTTGGGAGGAGCAGAGTTGGGGTTGGGGTGGTGCTTCTTCAGGGCCATGGTGACGTTGTACTCGAGGTCGAGCTCGGCCTTGGGGTCATCAGTCTTGGGCTTGAAGTCGACAACCAGGTCGTCCTTGACGGCGAAGACGGAGTCGATCTTCAAGTGGGGGTCGGTGCTGGGGTAGATCTGGTTGATGACGGTGGCGTAGTCGGGGTGGGTGATCATCAGGTGGATGTGAGCGGGGCGCATGGGGGAACGGTCCATGACGTTCAGCAGGACACCGGCGGGGCCATCGGTGGGCAGAGAGTAGGCAGTAGGGTGGTAGCAGTACCAGTAGAACTCGCCGTTGGCGTTGGAGCGGAACTTGCCACGGAGGTTGTTCTCGCTCTGGTTGGGGTCCTGGAAGTCGTACTGGGCGTTGGCGGAAGCCTGCCAGATGTCGAGGACGGCACCCTCGATGGGCTTGCCAGTCTCCATGTCGGTCAGACGACCGTGCATGTAGGTGACGCGACCGTTCTCGAGAGGGTCCTGGATGATGCTGTCACCCAGAGCGCGGAAGGGAGCGTTGGGAGACCAGAAGGGGCCGAGAATGACGTTGGAGGTGGGGGAGAGACCCTGCTCGGTGACGATCTTGTTGGCGATCTCGTCGACGAGGGACTCGAGACCGATCACATCACAGCAACGGTGACCCTCGTTACGGATGGGAGTGCTGATGGCACCGATGGAGTTGATGAACTCGACACCGGTCATCCACTCGGCGGGGGTGAGCTCGACCTCACGGGCAAAGTCGTGGATGTGACGGATGAGAGAACCGAGAATGACACGAGCACGCTCGGGGGTACCGGGACCCATGGCGTTGACCACCTGGTCAGTGAAGGTAGGGTCGAAACGGTGGTTGACGGTGGGAGCCATTGTGAAGGGAAAGTATATAGATGTGGGGAAGTAGATCACCGAAGGTTTTGTTATGATGGATTTGTAGATGAGGATGAAAAAAAAAAAGAAGGTTAGCACGAGACGAGAAGAAGGCTTTTATAAGATCATCTCCAACTCAATCTCCAAGTTCATCATGATAGGGTTTACCCCAGTTCCGGAGTCGTGCGGCGGCAACTTTGGCTCTCCTCGACTTTGGCAGTCGGCCAACTCGGCAGCCGCCCACCGCCCAACAGCCGAACGCCCCGGGATTGTCTTTTGCGCAGTGCCGGTTGGTTCACGATCTTTGCGCTTTCGCCACTGGAGTCTAACGCTGGGCGACCTCCCGGGTTCAGCCACTCATGGTTCACCCCGGGCCCCTTCAGAGTTGGATCATGATGAAATGGGCGCAGACTGTTCGTTTTTCCACCAGAACCGGTCAATCCGCATTGGGTACTCCCAAGTCGTCACGTAACGCTGTGCCGCCCCTCGCTGCCGGACCCCTCGAGCTCCCCGCAATTCATCCAGCGCCGAACAGGCATTCCCGACCGGGTCAACGCTACGACCTGACGGATATATTCTGTATCCTTCGCACGGGACTGATCAATATCGTATGATCCGATCATTGCGCTCGTGGGCTCCTGCCTTTGTCCATTCCTCTGCCCCCATCACTCCAATTACTCCTCCTCGTTCGCGATCCTTTAGCACATCGCCAATCGCAACCATGAAGCATCATTTGATGGTCGGAACGTGGGTCGCCCCTGGGCGCATCTACACCGTTCAATTCGACGATGAGGCCCTTACTTTGGACTTGATCAAGAAGACCGATATTCCAGAGGCTGAGCCTATCTCCTGGATGACCTTTTCTCACGACAAGAAGACCATCTATGGCGCTGCTATGAAGAAGTGGAACAGTTTTGCTGTGAACAGCCCTACCGACATTGTCCACCAAGTCTCCCACCCGGTCGCGGGCCACCGTACGTACTCGAGCTCCAACAGCCATTGAATATACATGAATCTTGTTCTCGATTGAAGGAAACAAAGAAACATCATTATGGAAGCTTCATCTTGGTCCATTTACCTCTGCAGTCACTAATCTAGTTATTTTTTGTTTTTCGCAATTCAGCTCTCGCTCCCAGCGCCGAAACCAACACTCGCGCCATCTTCGTGCTTGCCGCCCATCAGCCTCCCTTTAATGTCTACGGTAACCCCTTCTACAAGTACGCCGGCTATGGCAATGTCTTCTCCGTCAAGTCCGACGGTGCCCTGGACACCAATGTCCAAAACTACGAGTACGATCCCAACACGGGCATCCACGGCATGGTCTTCGACCCTACCGAGACCTACCTCTACTCGGCCGATCTGCAGGCCAACAAGATCTGGACGCACATCAAGGACGCCGAGACGGGTCAATTGACTCTTCTGGACTGCCTCGAGGCTCCTGCCCCCGGCGACCACCCTCGCTGGGTCGAGATGCACCCCAGCGGCAAGTACCTGTATGCCCTTATGGAGGCCGGCAACCGTCTGGCCGTCTACGTGATCGACGAGCGCACCCACAAGCCCGTCTTCACTCACATTACCTACCCTCTGCTCCCTCCCGGTCTTCCCCCTCGCAACAAGTACCGCGGCGACGTCACCTTCACCACCCGCAGCGGCGAGTACCTCTTCGCGACCACCCGGTCCAACCACTTCGACGTGACCGGCTACATTACCGCCTTCAAGCTGGGCCCCTCGGGTGAGATTGAGCGCCAGCTCTTCATCAACCCCACCTCCACCAGCGGTGGTCACTCCAACGCCGTCAGCCCCTGCGACTTCAGTGACGAGTGGTTGGCGCTGTGCGACGACCAGCTGGGCTTTGTCGAGATGTACCGCTGGCGCGACGAGAAGCTCGCCCGCGTGGCACGTGTGGACATTCCCGAGCAGGGCTTTGGCATGAACGCCATCTGGTATGATTAAACGAAACGAATTAAAAATGAATGTTTATATTTTAGAGAGCAATGCATATAGAGTCGATCGATGTTGGTGATTTGTTGGAGCTATACATTTTAAAGCCAGCGCGTTAGACTGGTAGTATTGAAAAGTGATAGTACTATCAATAAATTCATCTGAAAACATATCCAACGATAGAGCTATCAACCAATAAACTGTCTAATAAAATTCGGGGTTTGATCTCAACAGGATAAGCCTTAAAAAAAAGTCGCGGGGCAATCGGCAGTTTCCATCGGGTGCGTCTTGCTTTCTTCCGGCTGAGGGGCACTGCCGGGTCAACTCCACGAAAATGCATTTGGATGACGATGGACTCCGGAACCGGGGGAATTTCAAAGATGATAAAGTTATTGGAGATCTAGAAAATAATTGATTGTCTTCTTCCATCTTCCCCTCCTCCCCATTGCCCGCATCTCGAGATCACCTTTTTTGTATACTTCGAGATCTCCCCCACCATGCCGACCCCCGGCCTTCTCTACGTGACGATGCAGCCCAAGGGCTCGCTGCCCGAGGCCCAGTTCCATGACTGGTACAACACCGAGCATGGCCCTCTGCGTCTGCGTCTGCCCTTCGTCACGAATGGCTTCCGTTTCCGCGCGACCGACGGCGAGGAGCCCGAGTATGTCGCCCTCTACGATATCACCGACATGGACGAGTTGACCCGCAAGACCTACCTGGATCTGCGTACCGACCTGATCAAGACGGAGCGCGAGAAGAAGACCATGGCCCAGATCGACGTCGGTCGCTTGTTGTATGATCTGGTCGATGAGCGCAGCTCGCCCAACTTCCGCCCGCTAGAGGACCAAGCCGACACCGATGCCGAGACCCACGGAAGCGTTCTCGTCGCCGTCACCACTGCCACCCACCCCGACCCCGAGAAGCAGGCCGAGCATGACCGCTGGTATCGCGAGGAACACTTTGAGATGCTCTCCCGCGTGCCGGGCTGGCGCCGTAGCCGTCTGTTCGTGACTTCCTCGATTGACCCCAAGGCTCCCCGCGAGTCCCTCGCTCTGCACGAGTACTCCCCCGTCAACGGACTGGGTGGCGATGTCCACAAGGCCGCCATGAACACCCCTTGGCGCCAGAAGCTGCAGGAGACCGTGGTCACCTCCAAGAAGCGCCGCGTTTATCAGTGGTACTACACTTTCGGGCCCGCCCCGCGTGAGCTGTCGTCTCTGACCTCTCCGGACTGCGTTGGACCCTGGTCCTCCAACGATGGCAAGACCCGTACTTTGCCTTCAGCAACTCGCCCAGCTGTCGAGTCTTTCATCACTACCAAGGATGGTGTCGAGATCCCTTACCGTTTGGAAGGTAGCACCGACCCCAACGCTCCCGTCGTTGTGCTCAGCAACTCCATCCTCGTCAACTGGAACATCTGGGACCGCTTCGTGGATGCCTTCTTGGCCCGCAAGGAGAACCAGCGCTACCGTGTTGTGCGCTACTTGACCCGTGGCCGCCGTTCGGCCTCTGGTGAGCAGCCCGTCACCGTGGATCTGTTGGCCTCCGACGTGGCCGATCTCCTCGAGGCTCTCCGCGTGTCTCCCAAGGCAGCCCGTTTGATCGGTGTCAGCCTGGGCGGTGTCACCGTCCTCAACACCTCCCTCCTGTACCCCGAGCGCATTGGCGCGTTCATCTCCTGCGACACCAACTCCTCCGCTCCCGAGTCCAACCGCAAGGCCTGGGGCGACCGTGTTGCCATGTCCGAGCAAGAAGGCTCGACCGACCCGGAGACCAACGAGCCTATCGTCGGTGAGCAGCTGGCCGAGATTACGACCCGACGCTGGTTCGTCCCGGAGTCGTACGAGACCCAGCCCGAGGTGCTCGCCCCCGTCAAGGAGGCCGTGCGCACCAACAGCTTGAAGGGTTTCGCGCACAGCGTGAATGCCCTTTGCGCCTATGATATCCGTGAGCGCATGGCCTCGGCTACCGTGCCCGGTCTGTTCGTGGCTGGTGCCAACGACGGTGTGCTGCCCCAGACCATGAAGAAGATGGCCGAGGACTTGAAGGGCGATGCTGAGCTGAAGATCATTGACAAGGCGGGTCACTTGCCTATGGTTGAGCAGCCCGAGGCCTTTGCGGATGTGGTGACTGAGTTCCTGAGCAAGATTGATGGTTGAACGGTATTTATGATGGATGATTATGTAGATAGAAAGGGATATGGAAAAGAGATATAACAGCGAATCACGGGGGTTATGACCTAAAATATGAACATTTACAAATCAAATCATTATGATCTTCCTAAATACCTTTATCTTTTTGTATCCTCATCTATTTATCATCGGATGATCAATCAACTGAACAGTCAGATGGCCAGTCACTCGCCAGTCGGCCCGCTGCGGTGTCCGAAGACCGCCAGCCGCGCAGTTCCTCTTCCTCCTCCCCCGCCTTCCACTCCTGCACATCCACTCTTCCTCCGCTAAATCGCCTCGCCATGACCGACAGTAAGGTCCCTCAACCGGGACCCGCCAAACTCAAGCGCAATGCAGGCCCTGATGAGTGGCTCGAGGCCGCCAAGGACTGCAAATACCTTTCCGAGGCCCACATGAAGCAGCTGTGTGAGATGGTCAAGGAGTATATGATGGAGGGTAAGCCACGAGAACGAGCATACATCCTAGAGGTTCCCTGCCCAAGTCTCACACGATCCTCTCGCATAGAATCCAATATCCAACCTGTATCCACTCCCGTCACCATCTGCGGCGACATTCACGGCCAATTCTACGACCTGCTCGAGCTCTTCCGTGTCTCTGGCGGCATGCCCGATGGCTCCGCGCTCGACGCCCCCAAAACCTCTCCCTCCGTCATCACCTCTGCCGACATTGAACCCCCTTCAACCATAACTGATCCCAAACTCCGCAAGAAACTCCGCGGGCCCAGTGCGAATACCAAGGCCGACGGTGATGAGGAAGCAGAGGAAGAGACGGAGCCAAACCCCAACCCACACACCCGATCGAACAGTGAGACGTCAGAGAGCCTCCAGCTGAAGAGCAATTTTGTGTTTTTGGGAGATTATGTCGATCGAGGATATTTCAGTTTGGAGACGTTGACGCTATTGCTGTGTCTCAAGGCCAAGTGAGTGCTTGTCGGGAGTTTTCTATCCCAGATGGAGTAAGATGACAAATGCTGATGTACGGGGTGATTCAGATATCCAGATCGAGTTACGTTGGTACGCGGTAACCACGAATCCCGCCAGATTACCCAAGTCTACGGTTTCTACGAGGAATGTTTCCAAAAGTACGGCAGTGCCTCGGTGTGGAAGGCTTGCTGCCAGGTCTTCGATTTCATGACGCTGGGCGCCATCATCGACGGCAAGGTGCTGTGTGTACACGGTGGACTGAGTCCCGAGATTCGAACGCTGGATCAGGTGCGAGTCGTGGCTCGTGCCCAGGAGATTCCCCATGAGGGTGCTTTCTGTGATTTGGTCTGGTCGGATCCCGATGATGTGGAAACGTGGGCAGTCAGTCCTCGTGGAGCAGGTAAGAGATATATACCCGGTTGATCTCGTTGATAGTCACTAACGGTTTCTTCCCCAGGTTGGCTATTCGGTGATCGTGTAGCTGATGAATTCTGCCACGTCAACGATCTCTCCCTGATCGCTCGCGCACATCAATTGGTCAACGAAGGATACAAATACCACTTTACCAACCAAAACGTCGTCACCGTGTGGAGTGCACCCAATTACTGCTATCGATGCGGTAACTTGGCGTCGGTCTGTGAGATTGGCCAAGACCTCAAGCCCACCTTTAAGCTGTTCAGCGCCGTCAGCGACGATCAACGACACATGCCCACCTCGCGGCCGGGCCGCAGCGAATATTTCCTGTAAGATGATTGCGAGATTTTTGCACGGGCGCCGGCGTTTTCTGTTTGATTGGGATTGGGAATCATCTCTCCGTTTGAGGGGGGAATTCATGAGCATTTATATAATGATCTTAGAGACGAATTGAATGTCTGAGCCTTTGGCTCATGAATGATCGATCAGATGTCGAGATCTCGTAGTTGATGGTTTGATAGTCATACCTGTTTCTCTTGTCGCGTATAGTAGAAGATGCGATTCCTCGGTAGATCTCACTGTACGACCCCGAGATTCCACCCCCAACTCCCCGACTTCCTTGCACCCCCCGGATATCCGGAGTCAATCCACGGCACAAGATATGGCATGAGGTTTCTTTCTGAAAGCCGATTTATCCACATACCACCAGATGCCGAGACGATCTCCGCAAAGTGCCCACGCATCCAAGTGCCAGTGGCGGACCAAAATCACCCGGAACACATCCCGAAGAGTCCCTCGGGATTAATCCCGGACTGTCTTCAAAAGTAGTTCTCCCCGCGGGGAATCTACATAACTAATCGAGTTAGATCTCTCTCTGTCTACATTCCATTCCCTGCAAACTCACACGTCACATTCATCATGGAAAAAGTCGACGTACTCATCTGCGGCAGCGGTTCAGCCGGACTCTGCGCCGCAACCTGGCTCGCCCGATACGGCGTACGCTGCAAAGTGCTCGAACGGCGCGACGGGCCCATGAAAATGGGCCAAGCGGACGGGGTCCAGTGTCGCACGGTGGAAATCTTCGAGAGCTTCGGTATCGGCGAGGAACTGTTGCGAGAGGCGTATCACGTTCTCGAGGTCAACTTTTGGGCGGATGAGGGGACTGGGGTTATCAAGCGGACTGGTCGGACGGCGGATACGCAGCCGGGTCTGTCGCATCAGCCGCATGTTATCTTGAATCAGGCGCGGATTAATGGGCTGCTTATTGAGTTGATGAAGAAGTATAATGATCAGAAGATTGATTATGGGTATAACGTTACCTCTGTGGAGGTTGATAGTGCTGTCGCGAAGGATCCGGAGGCGTACCCGGTTACGGTGACTGCCGAGAAGGATGGGAAGGTTGAGACGTTTGCTGCGAAGTATGCGTTGGTAAGCTACTACTCCTTGGCTGAGACCTATCTTGGGTGTCTAGAAGTGGAATACCAGACTAATGTATCTGCTAGGCCTGCGATGGCGCCCACAGCATCGTCCGCAAAGCGCTGGGATACAAGATGATCGGCGACAGCACCGATGCAGTCTGGGGTGTCATGGATATGATCCCTCGCACCAACTTCCCTGACTTCCGCAAGAAATCCACCATTCGCTCCAAAGCAGGAAATATCCTGATCATTCCCCGCGAAGGCGACAACAACAACTTGACTCGGTTCTATATCGAGCTGGCTCCCGGCACGAATCCCAAGGACGTCACACTGGAGAACTTGCAGCGCCAGGCACAAGCTATCCTCCAACCGTATCAGATCGAATTCGTCGAAACGGTTTGGTGGTCCGCCTATTCAATCGGTCAACGCCACGCCGATTTCTTCCACAAGGATCACCGCGTCTTCCTGGCCGGTGACGCATGTCACACGCACTCTCCCAAGGCTGGTCAGGGTATGAACGTCAGTTTGCAGGACGGGTATAACATTGGCTGGAAGCTCGGCGAGATTCTAACCGGGTTGGCGGATCCTACTCTTCTCGAGACGTATGTCTTGGAGCGGAAGAAGACTGCTATCGATCTTATTACCTTTGATCGGTACTTCTCCAAGCTGTTCTCCTCGGGGGCTAACACGTCTCCTGCGGAGTTCCAAGAGGGTTTCATCAAGTCTGGCAAGTATACCGCTGGATTGACGGCCAAATATGACGTTTCTCCTATCACGACTGCCTTGGAGGGCGAGCAACTTGCCTCGAATGTCGTGGTTGGTATGCGCCTGCCCAGTGCTCAGGTTGTCCGATTCTGTGATTCCAAGCCCTTGCAGTTGATGAAGGCACTCAAGTCGGATGGTCGGTGGAGGATCATGGCTTTTGTGGGTGATTTGACTGTTGCAGAGAATCAGACCAAGTTGAACAAGGTATGCTCTCTTTCCCTTTCAATTGCAGTGATCTTGACACTAATCTATGGTTTACAGCTCGGAGACTACCTGTCATCACCTGAAAGCCCTATTCACACATTCACTCCCAAGTCCCAGGATGTGGACAGTCTGATCGAGACTATCGTGATCGGCCACGGAAAGCGTCACGATGTCGAGCTGGAGCAGATTCCAGAAGTATTCTACCCAGTCGCAGGCAAGAACCAAACCAGAGGTGAGTACAAGATTTTACAATGCTACACTCGGTATACAGGACTCATTTTCTTTGTCAGATCTCCACAAAATCTACTACGATGACGAAAGCCACAACAAGGGTCACGGCCATGCATACGAGTACCTGGGCATCGATCCGCAACAGGGTGCCCTGATCATCGTCCGACCCGATCAATGTAAGCTCCGTTCTACCCCCAATCTCACATCTAACACCTTACTAAACCATCCATTCAGATGTATCCGCCGTGCTGGGCATCACCGACTACACCCAAATCGGTAAATTCTTCGCAGGATTCCTGAAACCTCAAGCGTAGGTCCGTTACTTCCCCGGTCAAACATCACGCAAGCACGCTAAAATGGCATCATTCGCAGAACCACGCAGACTACGGAGCATAGCTATCGCACCACCAGTCCGCTCGATAGCAGATTGTAGTGACTCGAATACCCCATCTTTTCTACATTGTACATATTACCATTTAAGAAAGTTTTGCATAGAATTATTCATTGGATTGGCCAACTACTCTCGTCTTTGTCATCGGCTTTAAGAAGTAACGTAATCCACGGCCGACCGGATCACACGGCCGACCGGATCACCCCTTCTAAATTCGCGTCTTTCTACCAACCTGATTAATTCAACCACCTACCATGCCACCAATTCGCAGTGAATCTAGCCATAAATTGGCCAACCAAGAGGGCAAGATCCTATTGGCCCTTTCTGATTTAAAAGAGGGCCGTATCTCTTCTATCCGCGCAGCAGCAAAGCTATATGAGATACCCTACACTACCCTACATGCGCGCGCCGATGGCCGAGTCTCACGCGTTGATAAGCGCCCATCTGGTCATAAATTGACCCAAACCGAAGAGGATGCGCTTGCTGAGTGGATATTATCTATGGATTCACGTGGAGCAGCGCCTAGACCGGCTACTGTGGGAGAAATGGCTAATATCCTACTTGCTACGCGCGGTAGTAACCCTCCGCCTACTGTTGGTGTTAATTGGCCATCAAGCTTTATTAAACGCCGCGATGAGCTTCGGTCTCGCTTCTCGCGAAGATACGATTACCAAAGAGCCCTAAACGAAGATCCGAAATCGATTCGGCAGTGGTTTACGACCGTACAGCGCACAGTCGATGAGAAGGGTATACAACCGGAGGATATCTACAACTTTGATGAGACAGGCTTTGCAATAGGCCTTATATCTTCGCAGAAAGTAGTTACAAGAGCTGAATACTACGGTCGGAGGTCTCTTCTACAACCAGGAAATCGCGAATGGGTTACTGCGATCGAAGCAATCTGCGTAGATAGCTATTCACTACCGCCATGTATAGTCTTTAAAGGCAAAGTGGCTATTACAGGATGGTTTAACGAAAATCTACCGAAAGACTGGCGAATCGAGGTCTCTGCCAACGGTTAGACTACCCATGAGATTGGCCTACGCTGGTTACAAAAGATCTTTATACCATATACGAATTCGCGCGTACGAGGTCGGTTTCGGCTATTGATTCTTGATGGTCATGGTAGCCACCTTACACCCCAATTCGACCGAATCTGCACAGAAAACGATATTATACCTCTTTGTATGCCTGCGCATTCATCGCATCTACTACAACCACTAGATGTTGGGTGTTTTGCAGTGGTTAAGCGCGCGTACGGTCGCTTCGTTAGCGATCTTGCGCGTAGAGGATATAACCATATCGACAAGCACGATTTCTTAGTGGATTACCAGCACGCGCGGCTAGAAACGTTCCAATCAACCAATCCCACTATCAAAAACAGCTTCGCAGCTAGCGGTCTAGTACCATTAGATGCTGAGAGAGTGCTTAACAAGCTTAATATCTCTCTACGAACTCCAACACCACCAAACAGCCGGCCAAGCAGCAGATCTAGCGAATTCACACCACAAACGCCTAGAACCGCTACTCAGCTATTTAAGCAAGCTTCTATGTTGAAAGATCTACTAAAACGGCGGTCAAATAGCCCTCCGAGCCCATCAAAAGAGATCCTAGACCAGATAATCAAGGGGTTCCAGCTCGCGCTTCACAGCGGTGCACTACTGGCAGAGGATAACGCGAATTTGCGCATAGCGAATGAGAAGATGGTCAAAAAGCGCAATCGGTCAACTAAGAAGATACCCTGCGAAGAGGGTTTAACCATTGAAGAGGCTATACAGCTAGCTACGCAGCTAAACCAGCCAGAGGAAGATGATGGGGTAGATTCGCATGCAGAGGTCGAATTGCCTAGTCAGCCAACTAGGCCAGCAGCTAGGGCTCCGCCTAGGTGTAGTGGATGCAGGGAGATTGGCCACAGGATTAATGTATGTAAAAATCGCTATATCTAGTTGAATTGATAGGTGTTGGTTGAGATAATCGATTTTGAAGTATCCCCATGGGGGTAGGTGATCCGGTCGGCCGTGTGATCCGGTCGGCCGTGGACTACGTTAACTAAGCTTGACAGGATTCGCCGCTTACAAACTGCATGAAGTCTGTAATTGGCGGCGCGATCAGATAAGGTTAAAAATGTGCTCGCAGGCTCGGAGGGGGAATACTAAAGAATAGTATGAAGATTATGAATCTGCTTTCTAATCCCATATCTAAGGTTACCATCAGATCGCGGCATCGGCATGTGGAGTTTGCCGAGAAACCCGGGCTGGTAGCGATCAACCGGGAAATGGCGTAATTTATGCAATTTTTGGCTGGTTTGGTTCATCCGGTAATAACCAATGGTCTATTAACTTGCATGCATTACGTCTTTTCTCAATTGGCTGCTATCCACCGTCCCCTCTTTTGTTTGGTCACCCCGTAGTAATTCTCCACGGGAGATTTCCGCGCTGCTCAATAATCTTCCTGGATGAGGTGATACAACTCAGAATTGGTGACATGCAAACGAAGTTTGCAATGGAGCATTGTAGAACGTAATCTGACAGGGTTTATGCATATATAAGTAGTAGATGAGACCTGCAATGTTGCCTTAATCCATCCAACTCTCTTGTCAGCTTTCAAACAAGCCTTGGAAGTACCAATCTTTAAGGTTATTCCAGCAGATCATCATTTACCTCGTCGATCTAATTCATCATGGCAATTACTGGTGTGGCTGTCGCCGGTGTAAGTTCTATACAACTCTCCCATATTCCAACCATTCCTCTAATCCTTCATAGGGCACCGGTAACCTCGGACCAGCCATTATCACTCAACTCCTCGACGCCGGATTCCAAGTCACCATCCTCAGCCGCTCGGAGTCTCATCAAGTCGATTCCCGCGCCAAAGTCCAAATCGTCGACTACGCCTCCCTAGACTCTCTTGTCGCCGCCCTAAAAGACCAAGACGCCGTCGTCAACGCCCTCAGCGTCGGCATCGTCCCCCGCGACATTCACCTGCGCCTCGTGGAAGCAGCCCAAACCGCAGGCATCCAGCGATACATCCCATCCGAGTTTGGCTCCAACACCGGCAACCCGTTAACCGCCCAGCTGCCCGTCTTCGGCGACAAGGTAGCCGTTCTCCAGAAACTGGAGGAAGTCAGCAAGCAGGATGGCGCGTTTAGCTGGACTGCAGTGATCAACGGACCCTTCTTCGACTGGGGTCTTGAAAATAAGTTTATTATCAACCTCCAGGGTCCGTCGACACGTATCTTTGACGGCGGCGATGTCCCCGTCAGCAGTACCACGCTGGCAAGTGTTGGACGAGCCGTGGCCGGAGTGTTGAAGCATCCCGAGGAAACTAAGAATCGGTCTGTCTTTGTTTCTGATGTGCAGTTCACTCAGAATCAGCTTTTGGAGTTGTCTGGTAATGCAGATAAGATTCAGCGAGAGGATGTTAAGACGGAGGATGTGGAGAAGCAGGCTTATGAAGCTCTGAAACAGTCTCCTCCTGATGGGAGGGCGTTTGCTACTAATCTTATCCTGCGGGCTATTTATGGTGGTAAATATGGGGCTTTGTTTAGCAAGACTGATAATGAGTTGTTGGGTGTTCAGAAGTTGTCGGAGGCTGAGGTTGCGGATGTGGTGAAGAAGTATGCTTAAGGGCAGATAAGTTATTAGTAAATAATTGATCCATTGTGAAGATAAGAAAGGCTTAAGGAACTTTTATGCCGTAGCCGAGTTTGCGTTATTCTTTTATTTTTTTTGACAATGCTAGAAGCACGTAGCTGCTGAGCAGGCAGCGTCAAGGTTTGAATAAGCTTAAGAAGGCGCGGTGCTACCAAGCAAGGTCATCATCAATCCCTCTAACAGAGCGATGAACATAATGAGCTTGCTGGAGTGGAAAGAATGCATTTGCACTCATCGTGTCGCACTATTTGCAGCCTCCATACCACCCGAGTCCTTCGGGATGGGAGGTATATTGGGAAAGCTCGTCAAAACGCTGCGGCAGCCCCAAGAATCTCACGAGCTTTGCGAGCCCGAGAATCAGCATCACGGCCCTTTCGGAAGACCCGTTCGTCATCGGGATTGAAGCCACCACGGCCCCAAAGAGCCCACTCTTCTGTCTCACGCATATAATCCTCGGGAGTGAACGAAGTTCCGTCCTTCTTCTCCCTCTCCAATAATTCAAAGAAGCGGTCATAATCAATGCGAGTGTGCCACTTTCCATTCACATGGAAACGCTCCGATGCAAGCAAGACGCAGCAGCTGTGGGCGTGCTCGGCAGCAATTCCGTACTTGAGGCCGCGTCGCTGTAGCTCCTCGTTCAGCGCGACGACAAAGGCAGACACTTCTTCGTAGAAAGGCACGTTTTTCATGGTCAGGCCTGCGCCTGCGCTAGTGCTGGTTCCACAGAAGGTGACACCCTTGATCTCGACCAAGCCCGGCAATGCCTTTTCAACTAGATTGGCATATCCAATGACTTCATCTTCGACATTGAAGCCCTTTACAAGGGTCAACCGGAATACGGTTCTCTGGATGTGACGCTTCTCCCGGAGGATATCCAAGCACCGCTGGAATCGCTCCCAGAAATCACGATGAAGAGGACGATCGATCTTTCGCAGACTCTCGCGGTTGCTAGCGTCGATGGAAACGTAGAGCTGGGTCACACGGTGCAGTGCCTCCAACTGGTCGGGATGCTGGGCATTGCAGACCAAAAAGCTGGAGATGCGCTCTTCGTGCAACATATCCAGGAAGCGGTTGATATGAGGGTAGAAGATAGGCTCGCCGACCAGACTCAGGGCGCAATGCCTGATTCGCATGGCTTCGGCAAATCGCTCAGCTCGCACACCAGGCACGCCCTTTAACATCTTAATCTTCTTGTAGTGGCCTTCTTTCACACCATCAAAGATCAACTCGGGCGAGTCGACTTTCCATCGCCAGGTTGTCCCAACGGGGTTTGTACCGTGACGCCAGCAGAAAATACACTTGTTACTGCAGGACAGTGAAGGCGTCGCCTCCATGCAGAGGTGAGATTTAATGCCGTAGAAAGAGTATTTGTAGCAAGAGCCACGACCACGGAGCGCGGACTTGGTCCATCGACAGATCTTGACACCAGAGTGGGAGCCAACAATGGTATAACCCTGCTTCGTCAGAGCGGCATATGTCGGGGATGTCTTGGGAACCATCTCCTTTGCGGTAGGCTCTGCAGATACAGCCTTGCCTGTGGTCGTAAAGTCAATAGGAATCGGGCCAGCCGAGTCTCCATTCATCTTGATATCCTCGAGATCCACCATGGTCGAAGTACCCTTCTTCTTGGTCCTGGACTCGTCATCATCCTCCAAGTCCTCCAAATCTTCTTCGTCACTTTCCACGGCGTCACCGCTGCCAGGAACACCCTCTCCAAGACCGCCACTCTCCAGAATGTCGAAAATGGTATCCTGAAGTCCACGAGACCATTCTTTCAACGAGGTCTCTGCATCACTCTTGACATCACCCATTCCCAATGGATACGCTCGCTTGCGACCGGTAAGTTTCGCCATCCAGCGATCGATTTCTTTCGCCTGAGAACAGAAGCCCTCCTCCTCGGTCGGCCACTCCTCCTTGTCACCAAAGCCAAAGACCGAGTAGCCCGCCAATTGCGAGAGTGGTGCAGTGTCGATACGGAAATCATTATGAATCTCATCCAAGTGAGACAACAACATGTTCAGGACCGTATCGATGTTATACGTGGGGATCAAGATGCAGTACAAGTAACGAGTGCCGGGGGAGGTCGACGGCGGCTTGGGAGCAGCGGCGAAGAAGTCATCAAAGTCGATTTCGGCGATATCGTGGATCTGCGGAGGTAACAGACCACTTTCGGGGTTCTCCAGATCTGCTCGTTCTTGTGCCACCGTACGCAGATCCTCCAGCAGGACATTGGCGTAGCGTTCCGTCGTTGTCGTCAACGATGCAAAGAAGATAACGGGCTGAATGGACAAGGGGTGTCTCTCCTCGCTAGTCGCACGGCGACCGGTGACAGTCTTGGCGGGTTTCTTGCCCTGGACGCGCTTGGGACCCGATGTTGACTTGGGAGGTTGATCATTGTGGGTGAGCTTGCCATTGTTCGTGGGGATCAATGGTGGGGTTTGTTTCTCGGTCGGCACGGGGAGAATTGGGGACTTTTCTGGGGATTCACTGCGGGGCGAGGACGGAATCGAGGAGGAGGTCGGGGTCTTGGATCGCCACTGAACTTTGCGATACGCACGAAGAGCCACGGACAGGGTGAAGAGAGCAACGAGGAGGGGTAGACGGTATGTATGCCAGGCGGCCAGTAGGCCTGGAGGGAATGGTCAGCATGCATTCTAGGGTATGGTAGATGACTGGGAAGAGCGGAGAAAGATTCAAGATTCAATTGATCTCGATAGATCAGGATACTTACCGTCCGTCAATGTCGGCGAACTAGCCATCGTAGGTATATATCCAAGAATACCAACGATGGAGGAGTGCCGGACAAAAGATGTGGAGGAAAGATGAAAGTGAAGGTCGAAGCGGAACGAGTGGGACTCCTTGGGGAAACCCGCCAAAAGGGAAAATGCGGAGAGAACAAGCACATAGATTGCTCATAAGAATGTCTTTTCTATGCAATGAATAGAGGTTAATTATAGAAAGAGTATAAATAAATAACCATCCAGTCTTTTGTTATCTGATCATGGTCGAATCACTTGCCGGTGACTCTTCTATTGGACGATAAGGATGCCTATACACTATAGGTGCTAGACATTCCTTCGAATGGAACTGTCTAAGATTTATGATTCATAATTAAGATGATCGGAGCTGCAAATAAAATACTCTCACCTAACAACCACCGTTTTCTGATGTTACATTCAAGCCGTTGATCCATTCTGGAGCTACTCCAGATTAGACTCTGAAGTATACTTTGTGACCACCGACGAGCAAAAAGGAACCGATTTGTAGAAAACAACCTTGAGATATTAGTAAATACCCGAAGAAATCTGACTATCTCGGGGAGTATAAGCCAAGTTTAATAATCACCAGCAGATATATCTTAAACTATTTCTTTGTTCATTCCCCCTCCCGTCGTACAGCGTCTTATCGCCCCGGAGTGGATCGGCAGTCCGAACTTCTCCCTGCCAACTCTCCTCGACAGACAGCGATGGACGAGAAGGCTTCACTACGGGATCTCCCTCGGGAGAAAGCAGCTCCAGCAAGCTCTACAGCTTCTCCTGCTGCTCCTGCTACTCCCAAATCTTCCATTCGAGGCTGGATTCTGCTCCTCGGCACCCTCCTGGCTGGCGGATGGTTCCTGTGGCCCCACTATTGTCACCATACTCGCGTGCTCACCATCGAGGATCGAGTCCAGCACATTCTGTCCACCACCCCTTTGATCGGTATGATTGCCTGGTCTTGAAAGCTAAACATTCATCATTTCGAGTGTTATTCTCGCAGTTCAGAGTTAACACTGCCAGATGGTCATGATGATTTCCCCATTCAAATCCGAGCGCTATTCCACAATCATATCAACACTCCCAACTTCACCGAGGCTTTCGCTCACGGTACCCTCCCCGGTCATGTGGATCTGCCTCGTCTGAAGAAAGGACATGTTGGAGGCACCTTTTGGAGTGTCTACGTTCCATGTCCTACCGATTGGGAGGACTTTTCCGATGAGAACTACGCCCCCAGTATGATGCCGAATTCTGAGCCTTATCTTTTGAGAACATCTCTTGCTAATATAGAATAGGTATTCGAATGACCGTCGAACAGGTTGATCTCATGTCGCGCATCCAGAAGGCTTTCCCAGAGGTCTTCTCCCTACCACCCAATGGCACTACGGCCATGGATGCGTTCCGGCAAGGCAAGATCATCTCTCCCTACGGTATTGAAGGCCTGCAGTCGATTGGCAACTCCTTGGCACACTTGCGGATGTTCTATGACTTGGGAGTATCCTATGCTACGCTCACCCATAACTGTCACAACAAGTATGCCGACGCGGCCATCGTCGAGCAGCCGGACGGCACTCTAAAGCTCGCCACTCCTCTCTGGCACGGCGTCAGTCCCGCAGGCCAGAAGGTGGTAGCCGAAATGAACCGACTGGGCATGATCATCGATCTGGCTCATGTCAGTGTCGACACGATGCGTGATGTGCTGGGTGCAGGCAAGACTGAATGGACCGGCAGTCGTGCCCCCGTTATCTTCAGTCATAGCTCTGCCTACGCTCTGTGCCCACACCCCCGGAACGTGCCGGATGATGTCCTGGAATTGGTCCGACAGCGCAACTCCATTGTTATGGTCAATTTCGCGCCCGATTTCATCTCCTGTCACGCATCCGGTCGGGAGAATGGAATGCCAGATGTGGATTATGCTCATGCCACCGTCGAGCGGGTTGCCGACCATATCATCCATATCGGCACTGTTGCAGGCTTTGACCACGTTGGCCTGGGCAGTGACTTTGACGGAATTCCGACCGTGCCCAAGGGACTGGAAGATGTCTCCAAGTTCCCAAATTTGATTGCGGAACTTCTTCGTCGGGGTCTAACTGATGAACAGGCTGCCAAGGTGGCTGGTGGTAATCTGCTGCGTGTTTGGAAAGAGATTGACCAGGTGGCCCTGAAGATGCAAGCCGAGGGGGCTCTTCCTGAGGAGGATTAATTGGGAGAAATGTGAGCGAGGACACAACAGATGGTTTTTTTTCGGTCTGTCTATATGCATTGATGGCTATTCAAATTGGTTCTAGCAAACGACTCTATCAACAGTAGATACACTAGGATAGACTATTCACAGAGAAGCTCCTTTTTGCAGCTCCGTAAACAAGCCAAAGGCTTTCAGAATATTCGGCCCCTGATGTCCCACCGAAGGCAGAGGCAATTCATATTTCCCTTTCCTCGTCTGAAACGAATGCTGGACATCCTCCTCGACCGCCCAATCAAAGGCCTGGTGTTCGGTCGCCTCCAGCTTGACGGGGATCTCCTCGATCGGAACAACCTGAGCCGTTCCATGATCCAACTGCCTCATCGCCTCGTACACCTCGACAATAAACGAATATTTCGCAATCCGGATCTTCTCCCCATTCGAACGACGCGTATGAACCCAAACGTCGACGGCGACCAACTCCACGATCCGCGAGACATGCAGGCCCGTCTCCTCGGCGACTTCACGCACCACTCCATCCAGCAACGTGCCATCTTCGTCAGGTTCAGCTGCCCCGCCAGGACCTTCCCAGCAACCGGGCATAGAATCGGTCAGAGCTCGCTGGAGCAATAGAATACGTGGTGGCAGGGATCCCGCGTCGGATGTGGGAGGAGGTGAAGTCGCCCGATCGAAAATGAAGCCACCAACCCCGAACGCGTCGAATTCGGGTCGGGCTGCGATGAAGTCGGTGAAGGGAATATTGAAGTACTCCAGATGTGGAGCGATTTTGTAAGGGGGTGTCATTTTGGATAACACAGTTATGTATTCAGATTTGAATTGAGACTGGTGGTTTTTGACAGAGTCAAAGGCTCGTGGCTTTATTTACCCCGTTGATCTCGCGAAGAGAATGCGGCTCCTTGGGATACACAGCCTCATGACTCATCCAATACGAGATGAAGGTGAGCATACTTTAGGCTCTGAGATTATTTGATGCTCTAGGTCGTGTAGGCGATAGGTCGTCTTCTACTACTACTTCAAAATAGGCTGCCTTGTAAAACTAATCCCTGCAGTAATTATGGGATCTTCCGATCGGCCATATTCATCCGACGATAGTCCCACGAGACTATTACTATTCCAAGACTGAATAGGCTATCAGGTTATCAGCCCTGGAGATACACATTTCGGACACCCTCTTTGTATCCGAATCGGAAGTGTCTTTCAGCTATTGACTATGGACTATTGGCTATTACATAGCTCATGATTTGCCCCTCCAGATCATTTGCGGGGTGCATCTGGGGAAGAGTTCAGTGATTGGCAGAAGAGGGTCATTCCCCCACAACATCTCCGACATCCACATCGGCTTTGACCCGGTCGGATTCGGATTGAAATACTCAGACACATCGTGTATATAAGTATGCAAGATAATGGCAGAACGGTTCAACCTAACTAGAGACCATCTGAACAAGTCACGACTTCCCATATCTACTTCCATCATTATGCCCGGCACTCTACCCCAAGCCGAAGACCATGCGGACGTCCTCATTGTCGGGGCTGGTCCTGCGGGTCTGATGCTGGCAAACTGGCTGAGTCGATGCGGTGTGAAGACTCGGATTGTTGATAAGAGAGGAACAAAGGTAATCTATCATCCTGTCGTGGTCCATTTGTTGCAGTAATGTAAAATCATACTCACTCGTATAGATCTTCAACGGCCAAGCGGACGGTCTACAATGCCGAACCCTGGAAATCTTCGACTCGTTCGATTTTGCAGATCGCGCATGGCGTGAATCAAACCACATGCTGGAGATTTGTCTCTGGAACCCTGACGAACAGGGTCGTATTCGACGCTCCGATCGAATCCCCGACACCATTCCCGGGATCAGTCGATTCCAGCAAGTCGTGCTGCACCAGGGCCGTATCGAGCGCTTCTTCCTCGACTCTATCAAGGAGCACAGCGACATCGTAGTCGAACGAGGAGTGTTGCCCACCACATTTGAATTTGACGACGCCAAGGCAGACGATTTCAACGAGTACCCGATCAACGTCACGGTGCGCACCCTCTCAGATGTAGAGTCTACACCGCAGCAGCAGCAGCAACATCATAAATCCGCAGATGGAAAGGAGACAACCGTCAGCGACGGACTTTTCCGAAGTAATCTAGCAGCCGACGACACGGATGATCTCATTCGTGCTGCAGAAGCCAATTCCCGAGTCGACCAGGTCGAATCCATCAAAGCCAAGTTCCTCGTTGGTTGTGACGGGGCACACTCCTGGGTCCGTCGCCAACTAGGCTTCCAGCTCGAGGGTGACTCTACAGATTACATCTGGGGAGTCCTCGACATCGTGCCCATCACCGATTTCCCAGATATCCGACAGCGCTGCGCGATTCATTCCGCAAATGCAGGCAGTGTCATGGTGATTCCACGAGAGAACAAGCTCGTCCGATTGTACATCCAGTTACAATCCACGGAACATGCACAGGCAGGTGGCAAGGCAGACCGGTCCTGGATCACGCCGGAGATCATCCTGCAATCAGCGCAGAAAATTCTGCATCCTTATAAGCTCGATTATTCGTATTGTGACTGGTGGACAGCTTACCAGATTGGCCAGCGCGTGGGTAACCAGTTCTCGCTGAAAGAGAGAGTCTTTTTGGCAGGTGATGCTGTGCACACCCACTCGCCCAAGGCTGGTCAGGGTATGAACGTGTCTATGCAGGATAGTAAGTTACCCAGAACCCTCAAGTCGCCCAAAGTGGTCGCTAACTACTCGTCAGCATACAATCTGGGATGGAAGCTCGCTCACGTCGTGAAGGGTTACAGTGACCCATCCATTCTCAAGACATATCAGTCTGAGAGAAGGAAGATTGCTCAGGATCTGATTGCCTTTGATCACCGCTTTTCCAGATTGTTCTCGGGTCGTCCTGCCAAGGATATCATGGATGAGGAAGGTGTGAGTATGGAGGAGTTCAAAGCGGCCTTTGAGAAGGGGAATGAGTTTGCCAGTGGTATTGGTGAGTACCGATTAAGCCAAGAGCAACAGTAAACATGGTGGGTATCTCATACTAACATCTCAATCAGCGGTCAACTACGGCGCCAGTCTCATCGTTGCTAAAGAAGGCGACGACACAAGTATCGCCCAAGACAAATCCACTCGCGTGATCAGCAAGCCCCAACTAGCAGCAAAGATCGACATCGGCAAGCGCATGCCCAGTTTCAAAGTCCTCAACCAATCCGACGCCCGCCCCTGGCACCTCCAAGAACTCCTAAAGAGCAACGGGAAATGGCGAATCATCGTATTCCCAGGCCACCTAAGCGCACCCACAAACATGCAACGAATGCAAACCCTCGGCGCAAGACTCGGAGCCAAAGATTCATTCATCCATCGCTACACACCAACCAACCAACAAATCGACAGTGTGATCGAAGTATTGACCGTCCACGCCGGACCCAGAGCGAGCCTCGAGCTGCTAGATCTCCCCGAGGCATTCCATCCGTACAGTGAGACCCTGGGATGGGATTATTGGAAGGTCTTTGTGGATGATCAATCTTATCATGAGGGTCATGGTCAGGCTTATGTTAATTATGGGATTGATCCGGTTAAGGGGGCGAGTGTTATCTTGCGGCCTGATCAGTATGTGAGTTGGGTTGGGGAGGTTGATGATTATGATGAGATGGAGAGGTTCTTTGCTGGGTTTATGAAGGCGCAGAATTTGGAAAAAGAGTGAAATAGGGGGATCAGCTATCTTTTCTATTCCTTCACTTTTTTCTAAGCTACTATTTATTGTTTTGCTGGTTCTTGTTGTAGGTTCAGGCGGATAATGCTTTTTACATTGAATCTTATGTCCAATCAATTTGAGTTGACAACCGAATGATTTTTTTACAGTAACCTCGTAGCCCAACAAACATCTTGGTTTCTAAATGCCAAGCTAATCACATTCACAATAACCCACCTGTTCAGTTGCTGAGCTGTAGATCTAGATCACATTGCTCTAGAGCTCTTGTGTGTGCCTCAGGAATCAGGCTGACTCAGCCCCTCCGTTCGGGCTCTTTCGTCAGGTCCTCGGAGTGAACTGATTACTGGCAAGCTTGACTTGCACCGTATCGCAACCATCGAGCAGGACAAGAAGCTCTCATTTGGGTTTCCTTACGGTCGCATATCTCTTCTCTAACTTGGCTTTTCATTTCACCCGCAAACACCTCCTACACCAATCTATCAGACCAACGACATGACCCAACCCGCCGCTGGCAAGGCCACCGCCGGCGTGCTTCAAATCCCAGTGGCAGCCACGCAAAAGTCCACTTCAACACCTGCAAAGAAGGCTCCCAAGCCCCCTGCTCCACGCCTCAAGCTATTGATTCGCCGTCTGCCCCCGGGACTGACCCAGGCCGAGCTTGAAAGCGCCCTGGGAGCGGAATGGAAAGTGGGTGCGGGCAAGGTTGACTGGCTTCAATACAAGCCTGGCAAAGTTTCGAAAGAGTAAGAAATCTTATGTGATAGTCTCTGCACACAATGGCGACTTTCCTGGCATACGCTTACCCGACTTTATCTCTGTTCAGCCCCGCGAAACCCTCCCGCCCCTCTCGAGCATACATTCACGTACTGTCCAACGAACATGCTGGCCCACTCTCAGATCGAGTACGCCAATCCTCATTCCAAGATGCTAGCCACACCTCCAACGACCCAGTGCTTCTGGGCCCTCCTACGCTAGAGTTTGCGCCTTATGCGAAAACCCCCGGCAGTCGCGTGCGCAAAGATGCCCGTCAGGGTACCATTGACCAGGATCCGGAGTTCATTGCGTTCCTTGAGAGCTTGACACAGCCAATTACCAAACCTGCCACCGTGGACTCTATCGAAACCGAGGAGAAGAAGGCTGCGGTGGTGACTACCCCGCTGGTGCAGTTTATCAAGGACAAGAAGGCGAGCAAGGCAAAGGAGAGCGCGGCTGCCAAATCTTCCAAGCGATCCGAAAAAGAGTCTAAGCAGGAGAAGGTACAGGCGAAGAAGCTACTGCAACGGCCAGAGAAGAAACTCGCGCCCGGTCCCTCCTCGGACGAGAAGCCCAAGGGAGAGAAAGCGGGCAAGGAATCTGGCAAGGCAGCCAAGGCAGCGGCCAGTACATCTACAAAGGGAGGCAAAGCGAGTGCCTCTAGTACTACAAAGGAGAACACGTCTGCTGCTGCGTCTGAGCGCAAGAGGGAACGAGGGAATGTTGCCGCGGCAGCCAAGATCCTTCAACGGGATCTGGGACTGTCACAAGCTCCAGCCCGACGACGAGGGAAAGGTGCAGCCAACGACACGACCTCTGCTAAGAACGAAAGCTCTCGAGAGTCGTCAGTCCCCGCATCCGAAGGCAGCAAGAAGGAGGCACCATCCAAGCCCGCCAAGAGTGCCGCTAGCTCTACGAAAGCCAAGGATCGAGAGGGTGGTGCATCACCGTCTTCCCGAGCCTCTGGTACCGCAACTCCTCCAGCTAATGCGACTGCCCCGTCAACGAAATCGGCCAAGGGCGCCAAAGCTAAAGCAACTGCGAGCCCGACTCCCACCGCAACCCAAGCCTTCCTCAAGCACGCCAATGCATCTCAAGGTGTGACCGAGGCCCTCTTAGAGGCAGCCTTCACACCGTTCGGCACGGTGACCAAGGTGGAGATTGACAAGAAGAAGGGCTTTGGATATGTGGACTTTGCAGAGCCCGAGGGCCTTCAGAAAGCCATGGCCGCCAGCCCCGTCTCCGTAGCTCAGAGTCAGGTCGTGGTGCTTGAGCGCAAGGCCAATCCTGGTGGTGAAAAGTCACGGAAAGGAGGAGGTGGTGGTGGTGGTCGAGGTGATACGGCTCAGCAAGCCAAGGGCGAGAAGGCAAAGGCAAAGGCGAGTGCGAGTGCGAATGACGGGGACAACGCGAATGGCGGAGGCGGCGCTGGAGGTGGCGGATCGTCTCGGGGCTCACGAGGAGGACGTGGATCTCGAAACAAGGGTGCTAAAGGAGGTGATGGATCGAAGGGAGGGTCGAGCAGTGGCACGGGTGGTGGTGCATCGGGAGAGAAGAGCGGGGGAGGAGAGGCGAAGTGATGAGATGGACATTTTGTAGCAGCTTCAGGCCGAACGAGAGCATGATACCCTTAGTGCAACGCAATGACATGCCATGACGAATGATCGACAACTATACTCTGTAGACAACGTGGAGGTATCCGAGCCTAGCAGCGTTGATAATAAATTGGCTTGGCAGGTTTACAGTGATAAAAAGTACTGGCAAAAGCTGACTGAAAAATAGAAAAAATTCATTATAACTATGAAGCTATACCAAACCAACAGACTCAATTCACAACCGCCCAATTCCCAATTCTCGATCCCCAACATCAAAGGAAAAAAGAAGAGAAAATCAAAGCACCTTTCAGACCTCCTCGACACCCACCAGGACCAGCCGACCGAAGTCAGACGCCGAGACCAGGTCAAGATCATCACCACTCCCTAGACCAACATGCAGACGCCCCGAAGAGCACGCGTGTCGGTCGAGGCGGGAGTCCAAATGGCTTCACTTTAGGGCATCGAGGACATAGCAGTCATCAGCAAGGGTGAAGATTCTGTGGCTCGTTTAAAGAGCTTAGAAGTGGGACGTCTACTCTAAAGTGATTCTTTGAACTGTAGAGGGAGGGAGGTTAGCAGGTGCATCAAGAGAGTACAGTGTGATTTGCACTGTAGGGGGTGGGAGGCACATACGTAGAGTCGCTTGAAAAACAGAAATTGGATCGGGGGAAGAGCTGGCTTTATAGGTGGTGAGAGTGGGTCCCCGGGACGCTAGCGGCTAAGCGATTTTCTCGGTTGTGTTTGTCTGATTTGTTTGGATGGAGTGGGCGGTGTATACTGTCAACCAGTGAGATCTCTTCCGCCCCTGGATGGTGGATCCCCTTACGAGACCTGCGGCAGAAAAGTTTTCTCTCTTCATTTACCCTTGTCTGATTGGTTGGAGCTCTTGACGGAGAGAGTCTGGAGCTTCTCGACAATTTCTTTTTGATCATTTGTTTCCATAATTCCAGTTTCCGTTATTCACACCGGGTGTCATCTTTTGGAGTAAACTGAGACAGTAGCGTCTGCCTGCTGAAGTACCGGAACTTGCCCGGTACTACGGAGCCTCGGAGGTCGGCTTGCCGATACGGTCATACCGAGCAGCTGCCATATTATTACCGAACTCAACTCCGTAGCGATGGAGATGGAGAAAGGTTTACCTAAATATGCCATAAACTTAGAACTACCGTCTATGTTGTAGCTGAGGGCGACCCACTCCATTACTTCCACTGTCATCCGGATGGTCATGGATCTGATTAAGCTCTGTAAGGTGTACAACTTCTGATATGGATTCAGACAAGTATTTGCTTTAAATATGAAACAAAGATCCATGTCCATATACGGTCAATTCATTAGAGAAAGACCTACAGAAAGTACCACGTATTTGAAATCCGAGGTTGAGACTCCCGCAGTATAGAAATGGAGTGGAGGTATGACAGGTCCAGATATATATTTTCAACAAACTAATGGTCAGGATTGGAATGATTGGAAGTAATTCTAAAGTCTTGAGGCTCTACTTGGAGGAACATCCGAAAGACCAAGGTCACGTGCTGTTCTCCTCAGTGAAGATGCCATGGCATTCAGGCATCCGTCGCAGGAAATGACAAGATACGAAGAAAACAGCCTCGGAGAAGAAAGAAAGATACGCTAATCTCAAAACATACTCTAGTGATACTGTGATATCGCTCTTAATTCTGATTGGAACGTTGTGCTGCCACCTTGCTGACAAGCTATCTTCCGAGGGTGTCGGCCCGAGCACCACCCGACCCCCCCCCACTGGAGCTGCTCGCCCCAATTTGCGGGGACTTGAACAATCGCTAGACCCCGGATTCTCGTCCAAACGTCTCCCCATACCATCATGGGACGCCCAAAGGTCCTTCCAGCCAACCGCTTACGGGCCAATACCGCCTGCACCGCCTGTCGGGCCTCTAAGAAACGATGCAGCGGCTCTTTCCCGTGCACCAACTGCGTCTCCAAGGGTCGTGGTCACACTTGCATCCCGTTTAAATCGATATCAAACACGGACTCTCGTAACCGCCGTGAATCGACTATATCTCGACAGCCTCTAGAAAGTATTCCAACGGCATGGAGTGAGATCAACGCCAATTTACAAAGTCCCCGATCCTCGCAGATTCAAGATGCAAGTCCTTCCGACCGACTCATTGAACGTCCACTCGAAGCGGGTTCGCGATCACCAGAGGCAACGCATCGCACCCATCCTCGCATGTTACGGAATCTTCAAGGAGAAAGAGGTATGCATAAGCCGTACAGCAAGAACTAAACCGAACAAATCTAACCGGATTCCAGTTTATGTTGGCAAGGCTGCCTCGCTGTCCTTTCTTCAACTGCTTCGCGAAACGGTGACTCAGCATATCGGGCCGTCGCAGTTCTCACACAACTACAAGAGTGAGGATATGCTAGAGACGGAGGCTCATCATGATCCACTTAATTTCTCGGAAGAACACTGCAGTATCGAGGAGAAGCGCCGCTTCATAAAAACATTCTCCATCGCGGTAAGATCATGATCCGACCCGACCGACCGTTGAAGCGGCTAAGGCACTACTGACACCTCACTATAGACAAGTGGATTCATCTACATGGGATGCGACACAGATGCGTTACTCTCCGACCAGAGAGAGCCGAAGACTAGCCGTGAAGAGATTCACGCAGCCATCGGCGATCTGATGATCGCCATCGGAGCACAGTCATGTTCTGATGAACCTGAGAATGTTCAAGTGGAGCAGTTCTTTGTCGAGCGTGGCCAGCGCAGGGCATTTGCTAGCATGCTCGAAGATCCAAGCTTAGATATAGTGAGGGTGTTCCTACTACTATCCTTTTATATGTTCGGAGCATGTCGTCGAAATGCGGCTTTCATGTATCTGGGTGTGGCCTCTCGGGCAGCGGTCGCACTAGGTCTTCATGTAGATTCTTCGGGATCTTTAAGTCCGATTGAACAGAAAGAAAGGTATGCAACTTTGAAGATAGCTAGTGTCGTCAACTAACTTCGAAAAGATGCAGACTCTGGACTAGTCTTTGTGTAATCGATCTCCTGGCGAGCTCGATTCTCGGTCGACCCGCTGCTACCGCAGGACTACTGCCCGGAAGCCGCAGAGACCTCAGCTTGATTGAATCTACCCCAGCTGAAGTGGGCTTAGTCGCTTCATACCAGCTATCGTTGATTGTCGATGAAATCACGAGCCGTCTATACAGTGAAAGGGCTGCTTCTACCGAGACAGCAGATCTGCTTCTAGCAAAGCTCAATCGATGGAGCGATCAGTTGCCAGAATGTTTACGAATCGCATCTGAAACCGAGGATTCCGATGCCGCGCAGGAACGCATCATTGGGAATATGCACGTGGCATGTTCGTATCATTTTGCCGTGATTCTCGTTACAAGACCTTTCCTTATTTCAACACTGAGCGTCCGGCTGGCCCGGCTGCACCAGGCTTTTTCCACCGATGGAGCCAGTGAGACATTGGAGGAAGACCCGGCACACTCTCGACTGGCGGCGGCATGTATTGACTCGGCGGTTTACATGCTTCAGACATGTAAAGAAATCCATCAATCCGAGCTACTTCTTCGACAGATGTCTCTTCTCAAGTATGATCCATTCAGCAGAATCTTCTTTCAACCCCAAAGTTTCCAACACTAACCCAATTCTCTAGGGCATTTGTCTTTGCCGCAGCTCTAGTCCTCGGCTTCTCAATGTTCTCCCACCGCGACGTCGACACCGAAATCGACAATGCATTTACAGGGGCCCTATCAATCCTGCAAATGCTAGCGCAACAATCCGAACAAGCAGCCCACTACCTAGAAATCCTCACATTACTCGAAGCAGCCGTCACACAACAACGGCAACGACTCTCAGCGCAAGCACGTCAACGACGAAGTCAGTACGTCAGTCGAATCTTCAGTCTGAGCGATACTCCGTCGACACCGCGGATGCAGGGGGTGGACAGCGGTCGAGGGGGTAGTGCGACTCCACTGCTTGTACAGGGTGGTCCATTTTATCCGTGGATTCCGAATGACGAGGGAGCCGCTATTGCGACGCCGCCGATAATGGATGGGGCGTTTTTGGATTGGGAAGGGATGGAGTTGCCATTGTGGGATAGTTTCCCTTTTACTGAGCCGGGATCGTCGGTGCTATAATAGAGCTGGTGGATGCTTTCTTCAAGATAGTATCTCGGTGAAAGTATGCAGACGAACTACGGATTACTGTAACACTAACGACTACGCCCTTTGTTTACCTGTACTTTCACGAAACGATGAAGAGAAATACATGTATTTCATAGCAAGGACATTAAATATCTTACACAGCAATGTTCCCTCAAACCTTACCTACCACATCTAAAAAACATCCCTCCGATAGAACGGCAGCCCATCAGACGCCAAATACCGAATCCAGGTATAAACCATATTCAACGCCGCACTACACATATCTTCCGAAGTATAGAGCTCACCAGTTACCTTTATTGAATAACAAAGACGTTTTTCCTGCATGGTAGGCCAACTTGTAATGTCAACGCTACCTTGTTTGATTTCATCCTGCATCAGTCGGAGGAGGTCAATGTCGCTCAGGTAGGTGTCGCGATGATCGAAGTAGATGTTGACGTACCGAGTTTTCATGCCTGGGGGTTGGCAGTGGGTTGATGGCATGTTGGTAAGAGGGCTGGTATAGATGGATAAGTATGCTGGAGGTATTGTGAGTTTGGCTAGGAAGGAAAGGAGGGGAGAAGGGGTTGTGATAGTGATGATGGGAGGAGTATCAGAGGAGGAGTTTGAGGGATTGATATAGTTTTCTTTAGATTTGAGGTGCTTTATAAATAGTCTATGGCTTTGTTTAGTGTTTAAAGGATTGTGAATTCTGATCGAGGGTCTTTAGTCGATGCTTTGTTCGAGCTGTGAGTTACAATGGCTTTGCGGTTTCTTTGATCTACACGAAGCCATCGTACTTTATTTCTGCTACAATGGTCGAGTTCAAAGTACGAGTGTGTATTTCACTATTGAGACTATAGAACTATTATTAATGTTCCTGCAATATAGCAATATTGAAGAATACAATGTTCTCAGCCTCAAAGAAACAACGATCTGGTATGCTCAGACATCTTACATGTTATTAGACCTTCAACTCCATAGAGAACACACTTTTACCTCATTCGTCCACCTTGATTATTACTATCATCCGATACTCTCCTATCTTCCATCCCGTCAATGTCCGATTAACCTTCTCCTCCCTCTTCCTCCGCAATCCGACGATAAGCGGTGCGCGGCCCGTAACCTGGCGATCCGCCCAGTGCACCATCCGACCGATACTCATGACCAGACCAAACAAGATAAATGAAGTCAGACACCACCAGCTAATCGGACAATTTATTACTCTGCAGTACTTCAACCCTGTTCACCTATATATCCCCGAAAACACCCCTTACAAACAACACCCATCTCAAACCAACCCCAGGAATGCCCATCATGACCGGCTGGAAACGTCTAAATGTCGGCGTCATTGGAGGCGGAATCGGTGGCATGTCCGTTGCCATCGCCCTCCGCCGCGCAGGCCACGACGTGACCATCTACGAGAAATCTGATTTCGCCGGTGAAGTAGGCGCATCTGTTTCCTGCGCTGCGAACGGTACCCGCTGGCTGCATGAATGGGGGGTTGACATTGCCAAGGGTGACCCGGTGGTTTTGAAGAAATTGATTAATCGGGACTGGAAGACGGGTGAACCCGTTAGTGTGTATGATTTGGATGATTATGAGAAGCGGTGGGGGTATGTGTACAACATGTTTCATCGGCAGTATATGCATTCTATGTTGAAGGATTCTGCGTTGGGGGAGGAAGGTGAAGGGTCGCCTGCGAAATTGGTGGTTAATCATCGGGTATGTTATATTGCTTCTATACTATTAACTGGGAAGATATGTAAGTGCTAACCTTTGTGTACAGTGCCGTGATATCGATATGAAGACTAGCACGGTCATCTTCGAAAACGGAGTCACCATACACCACGATCTAATCGTCGGAGCTGATGGTATCGGCTCTGCCGTGCGAGGTATCCTGGGTATCAAACCCGAGAAGCGTCCCTCCGAGTCCAGCTGCCTCCATGCCAACGTCGACACCGACGAAGCCGTCCGACTAGGTCTAGTCGACTACTCCCAAGACAGCGCCCTAGAATACTGGGGCGGCCAAGAAGGCAAATGGGATAAGATCGTGCTCTCCCCCTGCAACGGCGGCAAACTCCTCTCCTATTACTGCTTCTTCCCCCGCGAACAAGGCGATTACTCAACCCAAGCCTGGGGCTCGGAGAGTCGACCCGTCGAGGAACTCCTCAAGCCTTACCCTCAACTAGACCGTCAGGTTTTCAAGCACTTGTCTATCGGCAAGGAGATTCAGCCATGGCGGTTGTGGGTGCACGATCCTTATCCGTATATTCACCAGGCGAACGTCTGTCTGTTGGGTGATGCGGGACACCCGATGATGCCTCATCAAAGTCAGGGTGCGTGCATGGCTATCGAGGATGCGGCCGCGCTGGGAATTCTCTTCAATAAGAAGTATTTCAACGGTGACGTTGCACAGTCCCTGGCTGCTTATGAGAAGGTGCGCTTGCCTCGTGCTACGCGAGTGCAGGCTGCGGCTGCCAAGGCGGCGTATAACATTAACGAGAGAATTGGTGAGTATCAGTATCGAGGATCGAGTGAATCAGAGTATACTAATGTGGGAATTTCACAGGATTCTCCGTGAACAAGGATACTCCTACCTACAAGGTTGAGGATCCGAAGAAGGTCCTGACGATTGAAGAGATGAACTCGTATGTCACCTACTTTCCTATCTACTGATTTTGACCTCCATAACTAATGAAATACAGATACGACATGTACCGCGATATCGAAGAGAAACTCGCGACTATCCGCGGAGTCAACTACACGGACAAGTTCGTCTGCGGACTCCCCGTGGGCTTGGAACTGCCAAATGGGATTATTGTCGGAGCAGCAGCATGATCTGAATCAAGATTGACCAGAATCTCTTGTATTTGATTGAGCATGACCAAAATTGTACATACATTATTCATGGAGTATTGAGAATATATCTAAGCCTTGTTTTATTTTACCCACTATTATATCTATCCACGTCCAATTAAGCTCGACGAAGCATTGACGGGCTTCTCCGATCGGAGACTCGCCCAATAACAAGAATTCTGATTACCCGACCGAGAAAATCTAGTCGCCATGCCGATCGGGTATTCCGGACACTCGTATAACTATTCCTTTGTAAATAATCTGTTCTGTCTCTGGCTTGATGGACCCTGGTTGACTCGCGTGTCTCCATCGTCACTCGGTGTATCTTCGCCCGAGCGGATTCAATTCACCCGGACCCGCGATCTCACGACTTCAGCGTACGAATACGCCACGCCTACGTATTTCTCGTCCGAAGCATCCGAGAACCAAGGTTGACACACGGCGAAACCGCCGTGTTCTCGCTCGTGTCGTGATATACCGAAGACTACCCAGTTATCTATGTAATTTTCTTTTTTCCACAGGGACGATGAACAAGGGACCAGAGGCGTGACGCGTTTGCGAGCCCCGCCAAATTTACCCCGCCACCAAGCCACCGTCAGAACTAAAAGATGCACGAAATACAAGGACAATGACAATACAGTATCGAGTGTGGAAACCCCTGGGTTGCAATTTTGGTTATATACATTCAGAAAAAAAGATTGAAAAGAAAAAGAAATAACAGAAAATAGTATTCATATCTTCATCACTTCATTCACTCTCAAGGGGGGTTGTATCCCTTTTAAGCGAACAGAGCGTCACCCAGGCGGTAGTGAACGGTCTTGACCTGAGTGTAGTTCTCCAGAGCGTAAGAGCCGAGCTCACGGCCCAGACCAGAGGTCTTGAAGCCACCGAAGGGAGCCTGGTAGGAGATCATGTTGTAGTTGTTGACCCAGACGGTACCGGCCTTGAGGGCGTTGGAGACACGGATGGCGGTGTTGACGTTCTTGGTGTGGACGGCAGCGGCGAGACCTATAGAAGAAGAGAAAGTTAGTATGTATACTATAGGGTGATGTGTGTTATTGAAGAACATACCGTAGCTGGTGCTGTTGCCAATCTTAATAGCCTCAGCCTCATCCTTGAACTTGGTGACGGCAATAACGGGTCCGAAGATCTCCTCCTGGGCAATCTTCATGTCGGGAGTAACGTCGGTGAAGACGGTAGGCTGGATGAAGTAACCCTCAGTGCCGTGGCGCTCACCGCCGAGAGCAACGGTAGCACCCTCGTTCTTGCCGTGCTCAATGTACTCCATGATACGGTCGAACTGGAGCTGAGAGACCTGAGGACCCTGGAAGGTATCCTGAGCGAAGGGGTTACCGAGCTGGTTCTTGGCGGCACGCTCCTTGAAGCGCTCAACGAACTTGTCGTAGATACCCTCCTGGACCAGCAGGCGAGAACCGGCACAGCAGCACTGGCCGTGGTTGTAGAAGATACCAAAGTTGGACCAAGAGATGGCGTTGTCAATGTCGGCATCGTCGAAGACAATGTTGGGGGACTTGCCACCGAGCTCGAGGGTGACCTTCTTCAGGTTGGACTTGGCAGCAGCCTGGAGGATCATACGGCCAACAAGGGTAGAGCCGGTGAAGGCGACCTTGTCAATGTCCATGTGAGAGGAGATGGCAGCACCGGCGGTGCGACCGAAACCGGAGATGACGTTGATGACACCGGGAGGGAAGCCGGCCTCGACGATGAGCTTGGAAGCGTACAGACCGGAGAGAGGGGTCTGCTCGGCGGTCTTGATGATGACGGTGTTACCGGCAGCAATGGCAGGGCCAATCTTCCAGGCCCACATGAGAATGGGGAAGTTCCAGGGGATGATCTGACCGCAGACACCGACGGGCTCGTGACGGGTGTAGGAGAGAGTCTCGGTGTTGGTGTCGATAGTCTGACCGGTGATCTTGTCGGCCCAGCCACCGTAGTAGCGCAGGCAGCCGGCGGCATTGGTAACGTCACCCTTGGCCATGGTGATGGCCTTGCCATTGTCGAGGGACTCGATGGAGGCGAGGATCTCGATATCACGCTCGAACAGATCGGCCAGCTTGGTGAGCATACGGCCACGGTTGGAGGGGGTCACGTTGTGCCATTCACCCTCGAAGGCGGTGCGAGCGGCCTTGACGGCGATGTCGACATCCTGCTCGGTGGCCTCGTAGACGGAGGTGATGACCTTTTCGTCGGAGGGGTTGATGGTCTCGAAGGTCTTGCCCTCGACACTCTTGACGAACTCGTTGTTGATGAACCTAGAAAGAGAGGAGGTTAGTTAAGAAGCTTTGTATTGACTCGGAGAGATTGATAGCTAAGAAGCCACGTAGAAAAGAGGAATAAATAACGTACAGGCCGAGAGGCTGCTCGTAGGTGACGTTGGGAGTCTTGATGGTAGTGGAGAGGGCCATGGTTGCGAGTGTTTGGGGAAAAAACAAGAAAAGGGTATCACAAAACGAAGTATAGAAAGGGGAAAGGGGAAAAGCACCGGGAGATGAGGGGGCGAGGGGTTTATATACTGGGAACCTCCCGGAAACTTGTTCGTTTACGAGAAAATGTTTGGTTGCGATGCTCTTCAATTGCGGGGTTTCCTTAATTGCTCCCGAGGGGGGAGTTTGGTAACGGTACAACAGTAATGATGTATTTACCCCACTTTTGGAGTAGATGAGTTTAGGTAATTACCGTACACTCGTGTAATTACCTCGTATGCGTGCGGGTCCGCACTGCAAGAAGTGGCGGATCCGCGTATCGTGCAGGTCTGGGCTGTTTAGCTCGTTGCTAACACAGTACTTAGTAATAATAAAATAATAAGTTAACTAACTTAACTAACAAGCTAACTGCTTGCTGCTCCTGCTCCCCTCCTCTTGGCGGTTCGGCCCTTGTTTCGCTTTGAGTTGGACCGAGGGATGACATCCTTAGAATTATGCACCCGCTTTTAACGGAGTTACAACAAAGCTACACCTATACAGACTATACACCACCAGCAGTCAGCTTATCCTGCACCATTTTATCGATTATCAAGCAGAGTAATCTAGCCTGTTACTTTCCGCGGCTTCATTTCCTCGTTTCATTCAAGGCGGTGCCGAGGATCTCTGGGGAACCGACCAATGTCAGCCTTTGCCCCTCTCCTGCAGGCGCAAGTTTTGCTGCATCAGGGTAAACCTTACCAGTCCTGATGAACCTAGTCTAAGCAGTAGTCCTAATAATAATGAAGACCACCGAAACGCGACGAAACTCGGCCCAAGGGGCGGGACTAGGCATGGCGGGGCAAATTGTGGATCTCGTCGGTGCATCACCCTCGAGGTTAACTCGCCGAAACGGACGAATGTCTCCCCGGTTACCTGCGGAGGGGAACGGTTGCTATGGAAGGAGCTGCGGAGAGAACGGAGAGAATAATGAGGAAGTTTCGGAGTTGATAGAGCTCCTAGAATGTAGACTTGTATTCTATCTACAGAAATTATTGACTTCAAACTCGGAGCACTTTAAGATGTAGAACAAAATAGTAGTACCATCAAGGTTAAAGTAGACGAAATTGGCGGAGCTACAAAGCACCCTAATGGTTTCATCATTCCCTATCCAGTATCCTTCCTGAAGTAGTAAAAGATGCCCCTCACGCTATCTAGCCGCTCAAAATAAGCTACTACCCTCTCTGACGGAGTTCTATTTTAGTTCTTTAGTAGTAGCCAACGATACTCATTTTTAACCTTGTTAGCCATTCTTAGTGGAATATCATCGTAACTCTTCTTGAATCCAAGCACGTATGAATTATTTCTCCAACAAATGGAGCTCGTTGGGATTTCTACGAGACTCGAGACCCACGCCGTTGGAACAAATCGGCCGAGTAAAATCACCTGACCCACTCTGTTTAATGGCCTATTGGGGTAGTCTGCGAGCAGCTTATTCGATTACAGTATCAAATGTTCAAAAATGCCCGGCTGCGCTGAAAGTTTAATCATCTGACAATGATCACTCATCTTTCCGATCGTGCTTAGCTGAGATGAACAGCCTACCTAGTGTATGTACTACACGATGCGAGTCAACGCGGAAGCGGAAGACCCAATCCGCCCTAAAGAACCCAGCCTCGGAAAGACCAAAGCCTAAAACAGTAAAGGAATAAGAGCAATAACCAACGAATCCGAAATCTCCGAGAGGGATGAGTCGCTTGGCAATTCGAAGATCTGCTCAATTAACAATGGCCCGTAACGTTACTCCGCAGATTCTACAGTACTTATACGATGTATAATATCCACATCTCCCATACTAAAGCTTCCCCCGATTCAAGAACCGCACGGGAAGATCGACATGTCGGCTCCGCAAGTATTCCGCCACGTTCTTCCCCAAAAAGTCTACCGTCGTGGTAACCCCAACTCCGCGATCTAGGTGGTTCTTAAACAAGAAATGCACAGCCTGAAGACCCGGTAGCTCGAATCGATCAATCTCCATGCCAGGATGGCTACCTCCCAAGAGCTGACGGGCTGTATCAACCGAGAGTAATGATCTCAGCCATAGATACTCGTCGCGGTGTCGAACCCAGAAGCCACAGTTCGCATCCGATCCTTTGTCACCGGAGCGGGCGTGCACAATCCATCCGAGGGGACCTCGGACGGTGGGGCCAAAGTCATTCTTGATGTTCACCGGATTGTCATTACTAGTGACTGCCTGCGATGGTTGTTGAGCCGGATACGTCTTGGTCACTGGTGGAGGGGCGATATCAAGGACTTGCGTCTTGGCCGTAGGCTTCCAGGGCAAATGGACCCGATGCTGAACGGCACTCTGAGGCAACAACGTCACATAATACTCGAAGATAGCCCGCGGGAATCCCTGACGTAGATCCAAGTGGAAAGTAGCTCCGGGGTAGCCCTGCATAATATTATCGGTAATAGGCTTTAAGAACCGCGTAGGTGCAAGGTCCTCTGCCCGCTTTGCTTGCACTACGATCCGGAAGGGCGCAGTAGCACGGTTTTGGTCAGGTGCATCTGATAATGAAGAGCCCAGCAGGTCAAACTTCAAGGAAGTGTAACGATCAGAGAATGGAGCAAGAAGGTGACGGATCTGTACTTCCAACATGCGTGCCTTTGCCTCGATATCCAATCCGGTCAAGAACCACCATGCTTCGGCCTGGAATCCACCACGGGCTGTGATGCCTACCTTGGTGGTTGGAGGCGGAGCCCCAGAGCGAACGCCATGCACGGCGACTCGATTGATACCCCTCTGTTCGAAATGGATACCATCCAGGACAGCAGTGACATCGGAGTTGTAGTACCAAGGTCCTTGGATCTCGTACAGTAACTGTGAGGTGCACGTATCAACCGTGACAGCACCACCAGTAGAATGCGCTTGTTTGGTAATGACAACATCACCCTCGGCAGAGATCTCAGCGATGGGATAGCCAATATTAGCCCAGCCATCACCGCCATGCTCCAGTTCTTTGAAACCGGTAAAGTTGCCACCGCAGACATAGTTACTGCACTCGATCAAATGGCCAGCAACGAATGCATTGGCCAATTTATCCAGTTCATGACGCTGCCAGCCGTGATACCAATAGGCGGCACCAATTACGGGGGAGGCATCTGAAACTCGACCGCAAAGGACGATGTCTGCACCCTCGGCCAAGGCTGCTGCAATTCCCAGCCCGCCTAGATAACACTGGGCATAGATGGGTTCAAAGGACCAGTCGGCTAATTTCTCGCCCGTGTAAATATTGCGGAATTCAGACTTTCCGCCGGTAAGAGACTGTTGAATGGCCGGTAGTACTTCATCACCAGAAACCCAGGCAACCTATAACCACAAAAGCATCAGTATCCAGATATCCAGAAAGCGTGATTGAAAACTAACCTTCAAATCCAACCCCTTTGCCTGTACCATTTTCATAACAACCTCATACAACCCCTTCGTATCCGTGACACCAGCATTGACAGTCAATTTAATCCCATACTTGGCCAAATCCTCCAACGCCGGTTCTAACGCCTCCAAAAACGAAAGGTCATAAGCCGGCGGTGCCCCGGCAGCAGCGCCATCAGCGATAGTTCCCTGGTCCACACGCCGACCAGCAGCGGTAGCCATATTGAACTCGCTCATGAAATCCGCGATAATCACATCGACGGGGTCCGTCGGGTAATGCCGTGCAAATTCAGCAATAGCATGGCGACGGTCTGAAGCAGAGCCCGATGCACCTGGATTATACTCTCAGCGATCGATGATGGTTTGAATTGTGAGTAAATTGACGTACCTGCAATGCGAATAGGTCGACCGGTGAATGCCATTATGGTTTGAATGTGATTAGCCTGGGGATAGGCGTTGGAATGGCCGAAGTAACATTTTAGGTGTGGTGAATGCGGCGTGTGGGGAGATTTCTGGGGAAGGGGGAGGCCGAGGCAGCTCGGCTCGAATGAATTGCGGGGTTACACAACGGGATCACCATCTGATATGAACAGCGGTACAAAGAGAAGAACAGCTGCTTACACAGAAAGTTACACTTTAAGCGTTTCAAATTGCGCAAGGAGCAAGTCAGTAAAATTATCGGCATTGGTTGTTGCTGGCATTGGCTTCCTTGTTGTATTATGTTCGTCCCACGGTTATCCGCGGCGACAGCTTCAATTGAATTATTTATTAACAGCGATAGCACTAAGCCTTGTAATCAAGAGCCGGGTAGATTCTCTAAATGTGCAACAAAAGTCTACTAAATCGGCCAGCGTTTGTTCTAGTGCCGAGAGTGCGAATCTCTTAGGAATAATGATATGGATTCGTTAAGCACACATGGAATAATTGTGCCTTTTGCTCTGCAAATTCGAGAACCAAGAAAATAGTGCGCTCCATGAACACCTTGAATGCAATTCAAAGAAGACCTCGCCCTTGAACGAAAATCACCGCCGCCGGCGTGAGGTAGAAGTACTCATTGGTTCAAAGGCATCGTCGTCATCATCGTCGTCGTCAATGCCATCGCTAATGACACTGACGTTACGAGTTGTGCGAGAGGCCCGTGTTGAACGCGCCGAGCTAGCTTGGGAGGCAGTGAAATCAAGGGTCGTCTGAGTTGGTTTGACACCTCGAGTAGTGCCTCGGCGTGAAGCAGTACCGCCAACAGTAGCCGATGACGGGGCTGGCGAAGCGGCCGCACGACTGCCACGACCTCGAGTTGACGTCGTGGTCGTGGATTTGCGTCCTCTTGAAGCAGTTGCGGCACGAGGTTGCTTCACGAACAAGGCCTGCGAGTCATCATCGTCTTCAGATATGATATTGGCGTTCACCTCGTCATCGTCATTGTCATCCAGCATGATGACATCCTCCGATTCATCTTCCGAGATGGCTTTCTTTTTGCGTCCCTTAGTTGAAGTAGTAGTCTTCGTTGCTGTGGCCCGAGAAGTAGCAGCAGCTCCGCGACCCCCCCCTCCCTCGACCCCGGCCTCGAGCAGAGACTGTGGTAGTAGTGGTGGTGACCCTGCGTGCAGGTGCTGAGCCATCTTCCCCAGCCTCTTCTTCCGCAGGGTCTCCACCCTCGTTATCGGAATGAATAAGAGCACCGGGTTGATCCTCCCATTCACCATCAAACTCGGTATCCCAACCGTCTGGCTTTGGCTTGAATCGTTTCTTGCCCCGAGTGCGTTTCTTCACTCCCTTGTTAAACATGTCTTCCATCTGGGTGCGGTATTTCTCCATGGCGTTGACAAGAGAGCTATGGGCTCGTTCTTCGTCATCCACATCATCTTCATCTCGGTCCAGGCTCATCAGGTGCTTAACTTGACCCTCGAGGGAGTCGTTGACAAACATTTCCATTGCATGCTTATCGTCTTTGTCAATGAATTGAGCCACGGCATCGCCGAAGGAGTTCTGTGGAAGGATGCTCAAAGATTGCGATGCGAGGTATTCCCGGACTAGCTGCTCAACCTTAACAGTATCCAACGCAGCTAGGCGCGAAGCTGCAGCTTCATCAACTGCGGTATCAGTCTTTCGAGAAGAAGCGCTCTTCTTCTTTCGATGGAATTGCACAACGTCATTAACGTTTGCGACCTTGCCCACAAATCGATTTGAAAATCGCTGCGGATTCTCACACTCAAAAGTTCCACCCTCGGGTGTAGATATCTCGACACGAAGCCGTACCAAGGGTAGAGGCGGTTCGCGAGGCTCTTCGTCGTCATCTTCATCTTCTTCGTTCTGGACACCTTGGGTTTCACGCCATTCCGCATTGGCCTCTTCAATCAATTCCTCAACGATTGACATCAGAAATCGGGTCACTTCTGTCCGATTGCCCTCCTTCCGAGCAAATTTTTGTGCGCCCTTCTCTTCCGACAAAACAATTTCTCGCATGACGAAAGGACGGACTGATTTCAATCGAATAGGCTCACACTTGAATTCGCGGCCAGTGATACTCACTATAGCCACTTGTTTTGTCACAGCCTCACCGGGGACCAGCGAGGTCGCAACTGAAGAACCGGGCTGCATGACGTGAAACTTGGTCTCTGGATTGAGCTTTGGGTTGATCAAACACTCGTGTTCGTGACCCCAGACGACCAAGTCCATGAACTCGGGTAGAAAATTTTCTGGCAAATAGCCAGTCTCGGTGTATGCGTGGTGGTTCTGATGCACGGACATCAAATTAAACCAGTCGCTCTTTTGCACAGACGGCTGGAAGAATTTGACTTTGCCGTCCCGAAAAGTGCGGAACAAGCGCTCATCACGTACATTGCTCATGCCGTAGAGAGCTAATTTGGTGCGGCCTTTTTGCAGTAAGACAGGTTTAATTTCGATATTGTCTGACTCGGGAGTTCGCCCGTAGTAGTTGAGTAAGCCCGAGACCTGCAAAAGATCCAACGCAGCTAGGTGACCTTCACCCGAGGGGTCATCGTGGTTTCCATGAATGGAAAAGATTGGGATGGCAATATTCATGTCAAGGTCCTCATAGTTGACATGATTGAATGCACCTTGAAAGGTCTCGCTGGCATCGCTGAGCATCTCCAACTCGCAGGGTTTGTCGCCGAAACAGTTCATCCGGATCGAGCGCATCACCTGGTACATGGATTTGCGAGACGGCTTGTTCTCATGAAAGAGGTCGCCGGCGAGCAAGACCATATCGACATCGCGTTCCCTGGCCAGACACATGACCTCGTGGAAGCTCTTCCAGCTGTCATCTCCACGAATAGGATCCCGCTCGTTGTACCCAACATGGTTGTCAGTTGAGACCAGGATGCGAATGGTTTCCGCTATGGAGAATGGTCAGCTCTTTGAACATGGAGATTGGAGAAACGACGACTCGGGTGCAGGGTCACTCACGACTGGTCGACATGATGCCTGATCGACTCAGGGGGTGACTCATCCACCTCAGATTGTTGAAAGGACCAGAACCCAGCAAAATTGAATGAGTTTTCTCCTCCAGTGACTTCAAAAGTAAGAGAAGTGACCAGCGTCTAGCATCATCTCCACACCGAATGGAAGCTGTTGGCTGGTGCCACGCGTGACACTTCGCGTTATCACGTGATTCGAAACGCGTGAACGGCAGGGTAATGATGGCTGAAAATGGAAGGCGGTGTACTCCTGATGTCTCGGGTTCCATCGGCCAGACTCACCTTATGTCATCACCACTGTCCCCGAGGGAATTGTTACAGACACCACACGTTTTACTAGCCGCACCACAAATTATGTAATACTCCCATCACATAATCAATTTTGCCAAGGATCGTTACCATACATTACCACAGCAACTGCATTACTTACTACTCCAGCAACTACATTCTATCAACTATTACTATAAGAGCTTCTCTTTCTTCTTGTTATCTAGTTCTTCATCTAATTCTTCATCTAATCATGGAGCCACCAATTGAACAAGTCTTTGAGACTAGAGAGCAACTGCTTACTTCTATACAGCAGCATACATTATCTCATGGTTATGCTATCACTACTATTCGTTCTAATAGAGATAGTGTCGGACTCTAGGCGGTGACCATAAAGTCGTGGTTATACACATAAGACGATAGTGTGCATAAGGATTGGTAAATACTCAATATAGTGTCTGAATACACGGTTATGAGTCTATCGGTCGTGCGTACTTCTATAAAGGAGAAATACCACGATTGTGGAAGAGTACCACCGATCTAGAAGAGAGATCAAAAGGAATGATAAACTTGATTCGATTTAACTAGGTAACATAGCAGTATTTATATCACAAGAAACATAGCAAAAGATCACATGATAAATCAACAGAATCAGAGTGTTGAGAGTCTCTTGCTTAGGTAGGCAATCATATGCGAGATCGTTGAGGATCAATCTGTTAGATCTTTATAGAAGAAGATCTATATGTAGAGAGGGGTTATATAAGTGGGTCCTTCGTCATGTGACCCCACAACATCCACATGTTGACACACCCCCTTAGTTCTCGATGTGTGATAAGAATGAGAGCAAAGTGAGAACTGAATGAGAGAAAAGAGAATGACTAGCTAGGAGGTGGTATCTCCATGCCTAGTTGTTTGATGAATTCGATATGCTTCCGCCTAGGTAGGCACTTAGTAAGACCGTCTGCGGGCATGTCGGTGGTCTTTACCCATTGGACAGATAGGCGCTTTGCCTGTACCTCTTGACGAATCCATAGGCGGTTGATATCCACGTGACGAAGTTTGGTCTGAAATACTGATTTCTCGCGATTCAATAGGTTAACGGTTTGCTTGTTATCGCAATTCAACACTTCTTGCTGTTGAGTGTTGAATTCGATGAATTCGAATAGCCGTTTAACCCAGTATAGCTGCTTAGCTGCGTGTGAGATAGCTAGCAATTCAGCTTCTGTGGTAGATGTGGTTATCGTCTTCTGCCTGCGAGATTTCCACTCGATTGGACCACCAAATAATGAGAAGATGAAACCTTCTGATGACTTCCTATCAAGATGATCGGCAAAGCTTGCATCAGACGAAGCAGTGAAGATCTGGCAATCTGATTGGCTGCCACCAAAGCAGATAGCTAGGTCTTTCGTCCCGTATAGGTAGGAAATCAGGTGGTCAACAGCAGCTAGGTGCTTCTCATCGTAGCGTGTGAGAGATTTAGCTAGTAGCTGATTGGCGAAAGCGGTGTCTGGTCTGGTCCATACAGCAGGGAAAAGGGTTGAACCACACTTCTGTTGGTATAGTTTAACGGTTGATTGGTCGATTTGACCAGAAACGATAGGGTCAAGACGTTGATTGCTAACTAGTGGTGTATTAGGCGGTTTCCTGCCTAGGAGGTTGAATTTAGCAGCGATCTTTTCAATGTAGGCTGATTGGTTTAGCCAGGTCTTTCGTCGCTGTCGGTCGCGTATAATTCGAATACCGATGAATTGGGTAAGTTTACCACAGTCCTTCATCTCAAAGCGTTGTGAGAGAAGCTACTTTATCTGTTGAGCGTGCAAGCTCTCATTTCGGTGGTAGGCGGCCAGGAAATCGTCAACAAACACCATAATAACCATGCGATTATCAGTGTAAAGCGCAGGGTCTTCAGGACAGCTTTTGAAGCCTAGTGAGAGAAGCATTTCTTTCACGTCGTCTTCCCATCTCTTACCAGCGATTCGAAGACCATATACTGCCTTATGTAGGCGTAGGACCATTGACTTTCGTCCTAGTCCTGGTGGGTATCGGCAGTACACTTCCTCTTTAAGATCACTGTTTAGGAAAGCGTTGACGGCATCCATCTGAAAGGTCTCTAGGTCAAAATGCGTGATGATTGCTATAAGCGTGCGAAAGGTCCTAGCAGTAAGCGTACAAGTACGTGGGTCTTCTAGTTCGTCTGGTGTCTGTGTATCTCCGCGTACGCATAGACGCGCTTTGAAGCGTGTGAGGTATCCTGATTCGTCAGATTTATAGGCAAAGACCCATCTCATTGGTATGAGCTGGTGGCGTGGGCAATCCGATTGGTTTAGACCTTTGCAATTCGATTGGTGTGTAAAGCTGATGAGGTCTTTGTTGATAGGTTCGAATGCATGCATGTCCAGAAGCTTATTGAATTCGATTCGCATAGCTTGTCGGAATTGGCTTTCGAAAGGATGACTAGCTAATTGGTGGTAGCTAGGTGGTGGCGGAGGAATTGATGAGATCGCAATCTTTGGTTGTTGATGTTGATTGGATGAGAAAGCTTGGATATAGGTTGTGAGGGATACGTGAGGGCGTTTTCTCTCACTTTCGTTATCGGTGTCAGAGTCAGAACGTGGGCGTTTAGTTGGTATATGAAGAGGTTCATATCTAGAAGGGTCGAAGTTTGTGTTGTCAATTAAGACGAAAGGGACTATATCCTCTGGTTCTGATTGGCTAGAACTCATCGATTCGTCTGATTTTGGGTCGAGCGGTGGTGTGATTGGTTGATCTCCGAGGATTTCGTCTGTTAGGATCTCGTCTGTTGGTATAGGTGTGGTATGATCGATGTTGATAGTAGGACTACTACTACTTCCACCCCCGAGATCTTGCTGCACCGGTTGGTTGAGGTTGAATGGGATATCTATATTTTCGAGGATTTGATTGATCTCCTCCTCGTCAAGGGTATCAATCTGTTGAGATAGATTGGTTTCCTCATAGATTTGGATGCGTTGGTTGGGTAGCGAAGGATTGTAGGATTCTTCCTCGTTGAATTGGACGTCTCGTGCACGAATTACACGTCGTTTGGTAGGTATCCAGATGCGCCAGATGTTATAGGCTTCATAACCTACTAGATAGCCAATAGCAGCACGTGGTGCTAGCTTAGCTAGTCTAGGTAGCTTAGTAATGCGTACATAAGCTTTACATCCAAAGATTCGAATGTGTGAGAGATCTGGCTTTGCCTGTAGCCAATGTGGTACGTTTTCACCGAGGTAGGTAGCAAGCGCTTCGTGTGGGGATTGCCAATCTAGTGTGCGGTGAGGTAGGCGGTTTTGAATATAGACGGCAGTTCTAGCTGCTTCATGCCAGAGATAGCTTGGTAGGTTTGAATCGATAATCATCTGCCTAGCCATCTTTGAAATCAATGCGCCATAACGCTCAGCGTAGCCGTTTTGGTCAGGTTGGTAGGGCGGTGTGGTTTCTAGATAGATACCACGTGATTGTGCTTCTTGATCGAAGAATTTAGATAGAGATCTCTCGTCATCTGAATGGATAGTGAGGACGCGTAGGTTGAATTGGTGTTGTACGAAATCGATCTGGTCGCAGAGAGATTGGGTCGAATCGGTCTTGGTAGATAGATCTTCTGCTAGTTGGTATTTAGTGATAGGGTCCACAGAGTGAGATAGGTAGGTCGTTCTGCCTAAGGATGGTTCGAAGTGTATAAGATCCCAATGCAGAGATTCGAAAGGGCGATTGTACTGCATAGGTCGTCGAGAGATTTGACGATGCGAATTAGCCAGTTTGTATGTCTCGCAGTGGTTGATAGGCGAAGATATATCTTTGATGGTGATGCCTGATGAGTGCTCTGGTAGATGAGATAGGACGTCCTTGCTAACGTGTCCTAGTCGTCTATGCCATAGGTCGATTGTCCCATCTAGGTGCTTCTTGGTGTGTGAAGATAGGGCAACCTTGCTAAATTGCTCAGTGATAGGTGCAACTTGATCGTGTGAGACAGAAGTAAGAGATAAGTGAGAGGTAGATGAAACATAAGCGTGGTTGGCAGTAGGTCGGTTAGTGGTTAAATTGTCCCATCGAATTAGGTAGATGCCTGATTTCGCGTTAAGCTTGCAGATAGGTCTTCCGTCCTTCTCTTCTAGTAGGCAATCCTTGCTATTCAGATAGATGCCTGCGCTAGCAGCTCTCTCTGCAGAGATTAGGTTGATGTGGAATCCAGGACAATAGGCAACTTGTTTCAAAGGGAAAGTGGTTCCATCAAGAGATTCTGATGGTTTGACGGACAGTTCACCATAACCAAGGATAGTGGTTTCGGTGTTTCCAACCATGACAGAGGACACAACGGGCCTATAGTTTGACAGTAGGTCCCTATTATTCGTGACATGAATTGATGCTCCGGTATCATAGCACTAGGTGTCGTTCTTCTTGGTAGGAATCCTGATTGTGCTCATCGCAACACCATCTTCCTCTCGAAAGAGAGTCTCGACCTGTTGTTTTGGTATATAGGTAGAGAAAGCGTCTCTAGCAGTTGAATTGGCCGAATTGGTCGAATTAGTCGAATTGGTCGAATTAGTTGAATTAGCCGGTTGGTAACGTCGAATTGCACGTTGGTAGGCTATCTTGAATCCTCTAGATTCATCGCATCGCTTTTCAAATCGCTCTTGGACCTCTGGGTCAGGTTGCCACCCCCTAGGTCTTGCCTTAGGATTCACATAGCGACACGTCTCAAAATCGTGGTTACCAG